TCCCCTGACGCAGAGAGTCAGAGAGCCATCTGGGAAGAACATTCCAAAGAGAGGACAGGACATGTGTGTGAGGGGGAGCAGGGCAGCTGTGGACGCAGGAGGGACAGCGGGGTGGGGCTGGCGCCTGCGCACGGCCAGCTTCACCAAGCATGTCAAGGACTCAGTGACCCCAGGACATGCCTAGGCGGATGCGCCCTTGGACCTGCCTGGGCTGTTGTGTCACAGGGAAACCATCACGGGTAAGACACCAAGCCTTTCCTGGTGTCAGCACCAGAGGCAACACCTAGCAGTCCCACAGTCCCTGGCAGGGCACCCGAGGATGGGGGGTTCTCCTTGTTGAAGGAGAAGCAACAAGATCCCGCCCCATGGAGGTGGCTGCCAGGCTCCAGGGGAACCAGGGTGGCAGACAATGCCCTCAACCTGGATGAATGTGCTGATGCAGAGAGAGGAAAGAGCTTAGGTGATTTCAGGATGGGGATGGGTGGGAAAGGGGAGTGGGGGTGCAGCTGAGGAAAATGAAGGTCAGATGGTCACGCACCTGCCAAGGATCCCACAGCCAGAAGATGGAGCCAGATGCGGCCCAGCTGTCTCGCGCTGTGTGCCCTTGGACTCAGCCTCTTGGGAAGCTGGGCTCCACAGGCAGTATTTTTTCTCTTTCCTCCCAACTTGCCAGAAGGTAGACACTGTCGTTGTAGGACAGAAGTAAACTGAAGAAGAGTTCCAACCCCTTGAAGTGCTTTGGACTCCGGCCTTCTTCTCAAGGCCTCCGGCTACAGCACTCACACCTGCTTGTGCGCCAGATTTCGGGGTTTCTCTTCTGCTTTCCTCAACCTAGAGCCAGGACAGGGAGCCTGCCTCCCACGCCAGCCAGCCTCCACTCTGCAGAGCGGCACGACTGGTTCTTCCAGGGAAGGTTAGCAAGGCAGGCTGAGAGAGCAGGCCAGGTGAGGCAGGGGGAGGGTAGTGAAAGTTCCTGAGGGCGGAGCTGTGGTGTGAGAAGACAAAGACCCACGCTGGGCACCGGGGCTGGTGAGTGTTAGCAAGGGGACCCCACCTGGCCAGAGGGCCTCCGGCTGCACAGGAGGAAGGAGGGTGTTTTGAGTTTGAGCTGAGCGTCTGTAGCAAGAGACTGAGGGGGGCACCCAGAGCACTTAGGGTGTGGGCTTTGTACAAGAGCAGCTAACATGCTGGCATACCGGATAAAGCTGCCACCTTGATGCCAGCATCCCACAAGGGAGCTGGTTCAAAGCCCGGCTGCTCCTCTTCTGGCCCAGCTCCCCACTAATACACCTGGGAGAAGATAGCCCAAGGACCTGGGCCCACCTGCACCCACCTGGGAGCCTGGAAGAAACCCTGGGAGCTGGGCTTCGGTGTGTGTGGCCATGCAGGGGAGGGAACCAGCAAGTGCAAGGAAGTTGGCTCTCTCGTTGGGAGATCTCTGTTTCCCTGCTTTTCTTCCTTCCTTCTTCCTTCCCTTCCCACCCTCTCTTCCTTCCTCCTTTCCTTCCTTCCTTCCTTCCTTCCTTCCTTCCTTCCTTCCTCTCTCTTTCTTAGCAGATATGAAGCCAGCAGCCTCCTCTGAATTGCCCACGTGGATGCAGGATCCCAAGGCTTTGGCCTGTCCTTGATTGCTCTCCCAGGCCACAAGCAGGGAGGTGGATGGGAAGTGGGGCCTGCCAGGATTAGAACTGGCGCCCATATGGGAGCCCAGCACATGCAAGGTGAAGACTTTAGCTGCTAGGCTACCATGCCGGGCCCAGGAATATTTTAAGTAAAGCTCTGTGCCTATATTTGGGGGGTGGGGAAAGCACCCCAGGAGTTTTGTTGGTGCTCCTCCACTGTGACCACCTCGAACCTCAGCTGGCCTTACACATGGCCCCTCATTATTTCTTGAAGGTCTGAATAATGGCTGAAGAGAGGGTAAATGTTCTGTAAACCTTTTAGACACAATTCTTACAATAGTTATGATTCTATACGTATATCCAAGGTCACATTGCTAGCTAGTGACAAAATGAAGTGTACCTTGATTGTCTTTGTTGCAGTGTGTGTGCCAGTAGCTCAGCTATCCCATCTGTACAATGGGTACATCAGTAACTGGATCTCATGCTGTCACAGACTGCAGAGCAAGCCCCTGGCACCCAGCAGGTACTAGGTAAATGGCAGGTGCCTGTGTCTGACCGCAGGCAAGCTCACCTTCCAGCTGTTTGAAGGCTTTCTTGAGTTTTAGGAATGACTTCTGGGAATTCCCTGATTACAAGTCATTGTAAGAGGATGCCATACTGTCATATGACTTGAATGACATTTCCATATTGCTTTTGAAAAGCCTGATCTTCATGGCATAGTTCTCATTTTTCTTGTACTTTCGAAGTGAATGTTTTTAACTACTATGTGCCCACGGGCCTTGCAGAGCTATTGGGCCCCGGGCAGGAGGGTGAGGAGCCCTTCAGGCTGTCCTGGCATGTGAATGGAGCTGAGTTCTCAGTAGGAAGGTGAGAAGGCGCAGTGTTCACCAGCCCTCCGCTTTGAGAAGGCTCCTGCGAAGACGCATCTGTCCATGCTTTCGTTCTACGTATTTGCCTGCCCCCACCCCTGCACTACACCTGCAGGGGACAGCAGCAGAGGGGACACAGGGGCTGGCTGGGGCAGGACATGGCCACTCCTGTCCTCTCCTGGTCCTGTCTCCTGTAGGCTGGGGCAAGTTGTTTTTGTCTTCACAGCCACAGGCAGTGGGGCTTGGAACTCTCGCCCTCCCTCATTCCCGAGACCTGGCACCAGATCCCTGGTGTTATCAATGACGAATGCACTGTGAACAGCAGGTCGTGGCTCTCGGTGCACTTTGGAGTGATGCTTGTGTGCTTTCTCAGCCTCCAGCGCTCAGCAGCATGGCTCCTGGGGCATCTGCACTGAACTGAGAGCTCAGGGCAGGCCTCTCCGCAGGAGGAAGGGGAAGTGCCAGGTTCCCAGCTGTCTCATTCCTGACCCCAAGGTCGTTGCAGGAAACCACAAGGCATGTAAGAGAACTTCCTTCACCGGCCCTTTCTCTTGTTTTATGTGAGGCTCAAAGAGACTTTGTGAAACCAGAGACCAAATGGCTTCCCCAAAAACCCTGCTAGGTTAGACACCATCTCCCACCTCCCCACCCGGGGTCCTGGAGTCCAGACCTTCATCTCTTTCTGCCAACTGGAGCCTACTGCCTTTGCTGCAGTGCCTCAGCATTATTTTTCTTCTTCTTCTTCTTTTTTTTTTTTTTTTACAAATAAAGATGTATTTTTATTGGAAAGGCAGATTTACAGACAGAAAGAGAGACAAAGATCTTCCATCTGCTCTTTCACTCCCCAAGTGGTTGCAACAGCCAGAACTAAATCAATCCAAAACCAGGAGCCAGGAACCTCCTCTAGGTCTCCCACACAGGTGCAGGGTCCCAAGGCTTTGGGCCATCCTTGACTGCTTTCCAAGGTCACCAGCAGGAAGCTGGGTGGGAAGTGGAGCAGCCAAGACATGAACCACCGCCCATGTGGGATACTGGTGCTTGTCAGGGGAGAATTAGCCTGTTGAGCCATGTGCAGCCCTATTTTTTTTTTTTTTAGATTTATTTATGTATTTGGAAGTCACATAGAGAGATGATTGAGGGAAAGAGAGAGATCTTTTCTATTTTTAAGATGTATTTATTTTTATTGGAAAGTCAGATATACAGAGAGGAGGAGAAACAGAGATGAATATGTTCTATCCATAGATTCACTCCCCAAGTGACTGCAATGGCCGGAGCTGAACTGATCTGAAGCCAGGAGCTCAGAGTTGCTTCAGGATCTCAAGGCTTTGAGCCATCCTCAACTGTTTTTCCAGGCCACAGACAGGGAGCTGGATGGGAAACAGGGCTGCCGGGATTTGAACTGGTGCCCATATGGGATACCAGTGTCATAGGTGGTGGCTTTACCTGCTTTGCCATAGTGTCGGCTCCAGTACCTGCACATTCTATTATGAATCTCATCGGCATAACATAACCACACCCGTGGGCCTGACAACACTGACCACAGCTTTGGAGTCAGAGAGGCCTAAGTTGCTGCCTCAGTTTATCCACAAAATGATCATAGGAACCTCTGCCTCATGGAAAAGCCACGAGCAGGAAATGACGTAACCCCGAGGATGGCCAGCTGCCGTTCTCCAAGTGGCCGCTGGCCTCAGTCCCGCAGTTTCCTCCCATTGTCTGCTCCGACGCCCAGGCCCTGTGATGGGTGCCGAGGACCCAGAGACGACTAGAGGGACTCCGCGTACTCACGAACTCGTGTGGGCAGGAGGGAAGGGTGATGGGCAGCCAGCAACACGATTTCATCCAGGAAGCATTCCTAATGGATTTTTAAACTTTGAATGGCTGAAAGGGAGAAAGAGAAAGAGATCTTGTATCCAATGGCTTACCGCCCCACCCACCCACCCACCAAATGCTCACAGTTGGGCAGGGTTACAGTGAAGCCAGCAGCCTGGGACTGAATCCAGGTCTGCCTCGTGAGGGGCTGGGACCCAAGTACTTGAGCCATCCCTGCTCCCCCCACCCTTCAGGGGCACAGCAGTTGGATGGAAAGCAGAGGAGCTGGGCCATGCACTGGGAACTTAATGGGGGAGCCTCTACCCGGACCGCCTCCCCGACAGTTTCATAGCTGGAGGGAGGTGAGAGCTAGCAGCCAGAGCAGTGAAGCAGGGGGAAGTGCCGTTCGGGGTGGTCTGGGTGGCCTTCTCTGAGGAAGTGACCTGGGGCGTGGAGATGAATGAGGAGGAGGAAGCAGCTACTTGGTGACCTGGGGAAGACCTGCAGGTCTGGGAGAGGCCCCAGAGAGGCCAGGTACCATTGAGCTCACTGAGATGTGCAACGCCCGCCTCCACCATGAGGAGCCCAAAGGGGTGGTATCACCCATCCGCCCGGGTACTGTCTCTGCCTGCCACTCTGGCCTCTTCTGGGGACACAGGCACCACCATGAAGTGTGAGGGAGGCACTGTCCACGTGCTGCCTGGCACCTGACTACAGAAACCTGTGCCTCCATCCCAACACAGCAGGCTTAGTCACAGAGGCACCTGGCAGGCTAGCGTCCCGAGGACCAGAGTACTCTGTGGTCTCAGCTAGTGGAGAAGGAGCCTGTCTAAGGCCACAACAGCTTCTGAGGAAGCAGGAGACCCACACACAAGAGATGAGTGCCAGCCTCATGCCGCCAGCCGGCCCTGGGGGCCTGGGGCAGCGGCAGGTGCCTCTTGCTCGCAGCATGGGCCTCAGGGCCTGCAAAGCCCAGCGCCAGCTGCCTGCTTCCTGTCTGGAACACAGTGGGGAGTGGTGAGGACAGCCAGCTGGACCATGCTGGTCAGAAAGATCCATCACTTACACCTGAAGGAGAACAAGTTTGGCTCGAGAGAGGCGAAAAGCACATCCAGGAGGACAGGTCAGGGAGTGCGGGGGTGGGGGTCAGGGCCAACTGCCCCGTGGGCCTGTCCTGTGACCACACTGAGTGTGCTGGGCTTGGCTGTGGAACCTGGACACCCCCGCAAACCTGAAAGCAGCAGAAGCAACCCAGATGCCAGGGCTTGGGCTTGGCTTGGGGTGTGAGCAGTGGGGAAACAGAGTCGCCTGTTGGCTCTGAGTGACATGGCAAAGTGACAGCCATGGCAGCCGGTGAGCATGTACTGGGCCTCACCCTGATTTAAGCCAGAAATCCAGGGTTGGGGTACAGGCCACACCTGCTGGGGCCTCCTTCTAGAAGCTGGACTGCTACCTGGCCCGCCCCTGCCCTACAGCCAGCACCCTGCTTGGCATGCCCGAGGGCTACGCCGCTGGCCACTCTTCCTGCTATTGCCATTGCTGCAGACCCTGCACTGGACACTTGACAAGGTCTTGCCAGAGAGGCCAGGAAAAGGCTGAAATTGGGAATGTTCTTGGCTCTGTCTTGGCCTTCCTGGACTAAACCAGGCCCATGGGTCTCCTTCTCTGATCCCTTGGTACCCAGAGGCCTCCTTGTGCCTGTGTACCAGCCCCTACCCCCAGCCCAGCCCAGACTTGCTCTCCAGCAGGACTCTGCCCCCACAGGGAAGTTCTGGCACATCTCAGACCTGCACCTGGACCCTGACTATCAGGTGTCAGAAGATCCACTCAAGGTGTGCCCATCAGCCGGCTCCCAGCAGGTTCCCAACGCCGGCCCCTGGGGGGACTACTTGTGTGATGCGCCCTGGATCCTCGTGAACTCCTCCATCTACGCCATGAGGGACATCGCACCTGAGCCGGACTTCATCCTGTGGACTGGGTGAGAGCAGCCCTAGTCCACCCTCTGCTGGGTGCCCAATGGCACCAGCCCGGCCCTTGCCTGAACCAGCCCGGCCCTTGCCTGCACCAGCCCGGCCCTTGCCTGCACCAGCCCGGCCCTTGCCTGCACTGTCTCCTCTCACTGTCACAGCAGCCCAACATTAGAGACAAGCAGTTGCATCCCTTTCCATGAGGCCCCAACTTAGTCCCAGACTGTGCCCCTAGCCCCTGTGTTTTCCAGCCACAAGCACTGAGACTGGAACCATGATGGAGTGTCCTTGGCCACCTGGACAACCCATGGCGTTCAAAGTAGGGAACAGACACTGGAGTCACTCCCATCTGGGGCTTAGGGATGATTCACGTGTCCTGGTCAGTGTCGGCCAGCAGGTGGCCCTGGGGTGGAGGGGGGTCCCTGATGAGTTCTCCTAAGTCGTGGCTGTGCTGTACATGGGCGCTGCTCCAAGGAACTTTCTCTCAGGACTTCTCATCCCAGTTTTTTTTTTCCTTCCTTCCTTCCTTTCTTTTTCCTTTTTTAAAAAAAACTATTATTTATATTGGAAAGGCAGATTTACAGGGAGAAGGAGACACAGAGAGAAAGGTCTTTCATCAACTGATCCACTCTCCAAATGGCTACAACAGCTGGAACTGAGCCAATTTGAAGCCAGGAACCAGGAGCTCTTCCAGGTCTCCCATGTGGGTGCAGGGTCCCAAGGCTTTGGGCCGTCCTTGACTGCTTTCCCAGGCCACAAGCAGGGAGCTGGATGAGAAGTGGAGCAGCCGGGACACAAAGCAGCACCCGTATGGGATCCTGGCACTTGTAGGTAGAGGATTAGCCAATCGAGCAGCTGTGCCAGGCCTCTTGTCCTGGTCTTTTACCTTCCCCTTCCTCCTCACTGGGGCTTCCCCACCTGCCGGGCAGCCCTTCCAGGACTGAAACTCATAATGTTGAAGGTAACAAGATGAGCCTGCCAACCTTTACAGTCCAGCGAGGAGGGAGGGTCCCTGGGGGGCTGCTCAGCATCCCTGACCCCAGGATGGCAGGACCTCCCAGGGGAGCTGGGAAGAAAGGCTGGCAGTGGCCCTGACTTGATGCACCTTCTGCCAGCCTCAATGGAAGCTTCTAGAAAGGCAGGATGGACCGTCTCTCACTGAGACGTGGGAGTGGTCAGAAATTATGAGCCTGTAGTTGGCCAGGGTAGGGGCACTTATGGATGCTGAGCCTGGCACAGGCTCATCTGAAAGAGGAAGAATGAAATAAGGAAGCAAGCTCAGGTTTCAAATTTTCAGCTTGGAGCAACTGGGGCACATTTGGATCCATTCAGGACAAGAGGCCATGATTTCTGGTTCCCCCAGGGTTTTATAACCAGTACTGTATGTGAGCAATCCTGCCTCCGCAAGGTGCCGTGCCGTGAACAGCAGGCTCCTGTGACGAGCGCAGCACTGTGAGACAGGGAACAAGGAGCCGTTACAGGAACAGATTTGAACATGTAATTGCTTTAAGAGAAACCAGTAACTGAAGTACCGATCACAAGGTTGGGAAATCATAAGGCGGACATGTTGTGGTCAACCAGCACTGGCTGGGGCCTGCTGGGGCTTTCCCAGAACCCACAGCAATTCCCTAGTTGCCTCAGTGTCCAAGCTAACTGACCTTGCCATTTTAATTTTTTTAAGATTTATTTCTTTTGGGCCTGGCGCGATAGCATAGTGGTTCAAGTCCTCACCTTGAATGCTCTGGGATCCCTTATGAGTGCCAGTTCTAATCCTGGCAGCCCCCAGTTGCCGTCCAGCTCCCTGCTTGTGGCTTGGGAAAGCAGTTGAGGATGGCCCAAAGCCTTGTGCTCCTGCACCCGTGTGGGAGATCCAGAAGAAGCTCCTGGCTCCTGGGTTTGGAGCCAGGACAGAGAGGAAGATCTTCTACTCATTGATTCACTCCCCAAGTGGCTGCAACAGTTGAAACTGCACCGATCCGAAGCCAGGAGCCCAGAGTCTCTTCCAGGTCTCCCACATGGGTGCAGGACCACAAGGCTTTGGGCCATCCTCAACTGCTTTCCCATGCCACAAGCAGGGAGCTGGATGGGAAGTGGGGCTGCCAGGATTAGAACTGGCATTCATATGGGATCCCAGTGCATCTAAGGGAAGGACTTTAGCCACTAGGCCACTGAGCCGGGTCTGGCCCTGCCATTGTTAACCTGACACACTTGACTGGCAGTTCAGCCAAACATGGTTCAGGAGAAAATGGGGGGCTGTGGTGGTCTCTGAGAGAGAGCGCTGGGCCTTTGTTTTGGGCCGTGTGTGGGGAGCCCCAGTGACTGGACATCGAAATAATAAGACTTGCCTAGGAGGGGCCTGGGCAGGGCGGGCCTTCCTGGGCTGTCTCCAAGGAGGGGCCCCAGGGGTCCATAGCGTGCTGCAAGGCAGCCACCTCCCACGAGAGGCTGCGGGGCATTTACGATCTTTCACGGGGTACAACTCTTCTTGGAAACCTCAGGTTTCTGGGACAGGTGTGCGGCTTTGGACAAGGTGGGGTCCTGTTCCTTTGAAATCCTTCCATTATAAACAGATGTGACTTACTGCACACAGCTGCAATCCATTGGCTAACCCATCAAAACTGGATGTGTTTTCTATCAGACAAAATGGAACCCTCCAAACTAGAAGCAGAATTTGGTTGCTGTCTTTGGAGTACTTAGCCTATCCCTGAAGGGGTATCAGAGCTAAACGGCTCTCCCTGCTGCCCTAATGAGGGATTACAGACTGGAATGATGTGAGTGGGCATCCCAACACCTCCTCCCTGTACGATCGGACACAATTCTGCATCTTTCCACTCCTTGGTTTCTTTTTCTTTCTTTCTTTTTTTTGCGTAGTGGGTCTAAAAACAGAGCCCCTATTGTAGGATTCTTTTAAAAATATATGTTTTGGGCCTGGCGTGGTAGCCTAGCGGCTAGAGTCCTTGCCTTGCAAGCTCCAGGATCCCATATGGGAGCCAGTTCTAATCCCAGAGGCCCTGCTTCCTGTAGAGCTCCCTGCTTGTGGCCTGGGAAAGCTGTTGAGGACAGCCCAAAACCATGGGGCTCTGCACCCACGTGGGAGACACGGAAGAGGCTCCTGGCTTCTGGCTTCGCATCGGCTCAGTGGCCACTTGGGGAGTGAATCAATGGATGGAAGATCTTTCTCTTTGTCTCTCCTCCTCTCTGTAGATCCAACTTTCCAATAAAAATAAATAAATCTTCAAAAATTGCTTTTTATTTGAAACAGCATTACAGAGTGAGAAGGAGACAGAAAGAGAGAGAGAGAGAAATCTTCCATTTGCTGGTTCACTCCCCAATTGATCACAATGGGCAGAGCTGAGCTGATCTGAAGCCAGGATATATATAAATCATGACAGTGGAATGGGAACTCAGTGGCTGGAGCAGGTCCTGAGGAGGACCAAGAGCTGGACAGGCTCTGCCTGTGTTCCGTGGGGGCTGGCAGGTGGGATGGACACTCCAGGGCTTCCCCCTACTGGCTACCTGTAGTAGTTGGGAACCCCACCTTATTATGTATCATCTTCCTCGTGGTTGTGGTCTCACAGCCACAGTGTAGGCACCTTATTTCCTCTGCTTTGCGGAAAAAGCCCAGAGAGATTAGTAACCAGCCTGGGGAGGCACAGCAGGCCAACAGCACGGCCTGGTTTTGAGCTCTGTCCAGCCTGGGCAGTACTCTTCAAGGCACATCGGAGACTCCATGCCACAGGTTCCCTCCTCCTTGCCTGCTGTATCTTGTTCCCCTCATGTCCCTTCCCAGGCTGCCCCCACAACTGGCACGGTGGTGTCTTGCAGGGACGACACGCCACATGTGCCCGACGAGAGCCTGGGGGAGGCAGCAGTGCTGCGGATCGTGGAGCGCCTGACCACGCTCATCAGAGACGTCTTTCCAGGTAAGGCTCGGCCGCCGAACCCAGAGCAGCACAGGCACGGGTGGTGACAGGGCAGCAGGTTCCGGGCCTTCAGCCACCAGCAACGACAGCTGCCAGCCAGGTGGTAAGCGGGCAAGCTCAGGGGCCTGCAGCCACACCCAGAATCCTGGTCAAGCAAATGCCTCTGGCTTCCCACTGTGAATCCCACACACCAACCCTTCTCCAGCTGCTTGACACAGGTGTTGTCCCTGGGCGGTTCTTGCACGGACTTACACAGCCCTTGTGTCCTTGCTGGTCCTGAAGTGGGGCACCCTCCGCCCCATACACACCCTCCAAGCTTGTCGGCTGCCAGGGCTCTGAGACATGCTGATTCCCAGGCCAGGCGTCTCATCCTGGTACTTCCAAGGCACTCAGAGCCTGGCAGCGCCAGCAGGGTCTGGGAGTGAGCAAGGCAGCAGCCCCATGGGGCACAGCAGGGACAGGAGGGGCTCCTTTGTCTTGTCTATGTATTTTTGTAAACTATAAATTTTATTTTTAAAAATAATGATTATATGGTGGATCAGGGTGGGAAGGATTGAGGTTTAGGGAAAATTGCGTGTACTCAGTGCTTCCAATTGTGCTATTTCTTCTTGTTGTTTCTGGGGAGAGGGAAGAGACAGAGGGGGAAGCCACTCACGGCTTTCCGCACGTCCCAGGACCCAGGGATGAGGAACCGCCACCTCATATCATATCTAATGTTTCTTAATGTTTAAGTTATCCATCTTCTTTGAAAACGTATGTGTGTGAGAGAGAGAGAGAAACAGAGAGAGAGAGAGATCTTTCATTCCCGAATGGCTGCAGTGTTGGGGCTGGGCCAAGCCAAAGCCAGGAGCCAGGAACCAAGCATTCCTTCTGGATCTCCCAGACAACATCCTCTGTTGTCTTCCCAGTTGTATCAGCAGGGAGCTAGACTGGACCTGGAGCAACCAGGACTGGAACTGGCCCCCTTCTGGGATGCTGGTGTCCCAGGCAAGGGCCTGACTCCCTGCACCTGATGCTGGCCCCTGATGTTTTGAATTGAGCGGTTTGAAACCCAAGGATCATGGGGACTGTATTTGGCTTAGGGCAGGGGTGGGGCTGCCAGCAGGGGTCCAATAAGAGTAGCCCACTGGATCCCAGCCTCTGTAGAGTTGCTTCCTATAAAGGTGTTGGGGCCAGCTGTGGGTTACTTATAATGAGCCCTCATAGCAGCAGCAGTCACTCTGCTGTTCTGAGAATGTCACCCCCTGAAATTCACCACTGCCACATTTTCCTCGGTGTGACCCACTTAGGCAAAGTGATACTTGGATGCCTCCAGTTTATCTAACCCAACCCAAATCAACTCAACCCAACCAAGACATGCTTGCACTTGCTTCAGAGCTCACCACTTATGGTGACACCACGGATCACCCTCACCCTGATAACAGATCCCATTGCTCCAGGTGAATAGTACAGGAACTAGGAGCAGAGGCAGTCAGATCCTAGGGAGGGATTCAAACTTGCACTCAAGCTCGAGCTCTCTTCTTCTGCTCCGTGAGCAAACGGGTAAGTCCATGCTGCACGGATCGGAATGTGATGAGCAGACGCAAGCTAGAGCCATGGAGCCAACCTCCTTCCAGCTAGGATGGCCCTTGACCGGGACAGGAATCATTATCTCATGTGTTGCCAGGAAAACAGCGCTGTGGTTATGGAATGGCACAGCATTTTCTCCTGAGCCATGTCTTTTGAGAGAGTGGAAAGAGAACCCACTAAAGGAGCTGAAGTGCTTTACAGGCTGGGTCAAGCAGAACACTTTCCACTTCAGAGCTAAGTAAACAAAGTACAGGGGACGCCAGAGGACGGGTTGGCACAATGGCTCACCAGGCTAATCCTTTACCTGCCAGTGCCAGCATCCCATATGGGTGTCAGTTCTAGTCCTGACTACCACACTTCTGATCTAGCTGCCTGCTGTGGCCTGGGAAAGCAGAGAAGGATGGCTCAAGTCCTTGGGTTCCTGCGCCCACGTGGGAGACCCAGAGGAGGCTCCTGACTGGAAGATCTCTGGCTGTTGCCATTTGGGGAGTGAGCCAGCAGATGGAAGATCCTCTCTCTCTCTCTCTCCCTTTCTTTCTGTTAAGTCTTTCAAATAAAAATAAATAAATATTTTTAAAATATTTTAGTTATATTTGAAAGGCAGACACACACACACACAGGAAGATCTTCCATCAGTTGGTTCTCTCCCCCCAGTGCCTGTAACAGGGCATGCCAGGAGCTGGGAACTCAGCTCTGCCTCCAAGCCAGGAACCCAGGCACTTGAGGCATCACCTGCCCCCTCCCAGGGTGCGCACATACAGGATTGGAGAGCAGAGCCTGGGACTAGAATTGAGGTGCTTGGGGGTGGGATGTGGGTGGCCGCAGTGGTATCTAAATGACTGTGCCTGATGCTAGCCCTAAAGCTGGAGATCTGGGCCTGGTGCCATGGCCTAGCGGCTAAAGTCCTCGCCTTGAGCGCACCAGGATCCCATATGGGTGCCGGTTCTAATCCCAGCATCTCCACTTCCCATCCAACTCCCTGCTTGTGGCCTGGGAAAGCAGTAGAGGACAGCCCAAAGCCTTGGGACCCTGGACCCGTGTGGGCCACCTGGAGGAAGTTCCTGGCTTCCGATCGGTGCAGCATTATCCGTTGCAGTCACTTGGGGATTAGATTTTCAGATGGAAGATCTTCCTCTCTGTCTCTCCTCCTCTCTGTATATCTGACTTGGCAATAAAAATAAATAAATCTTTAAAAAAAAGCTGGAGATCTGGGCCCTTGCAGCCCTGCTCCATCTGGGTTACTTATGGCGATTGCTGTGGACACTGCGCCTGGCTGGCAGGCTGGCAGGACTTCAGTGGTGGAGCGTGCAGGCGAGTGAGCCAGCAGGCTAGCTGGATTCTTGTGCTGCCACATTCTGGCTGTGTGATTTCAGTTTTCTTCTTATGCTGGAAGAAAGGTGGCGCTGCCCGCGCAGGCCCAGTGACCCATTCATGTCACTGAGTCCATCAACAAGGATTTACTGAGCAGGTACAATGGGTAAAACACCTTGCTAGAGGGAGGAGACGCTGAGCTGAGTCAGCGAGCGTGCACACGCAGCAGACAGGATGGTGGCACCTCCTGCCCGCCTCCTCCTATTCCCACTGGGTTTGTGTCTTTCCTTCAACGGAACGCTGGGGTGGGGGTCCTACATTTCCTTGCCAGGTTTCCCCACACAGGGACACGGCCTCTGGCCTCCAACTTCAGCAGAGCTTTCTGTGCTTCCAGATCTTGCTGGCTGCTGGCTGCACAGGGAATAGGGTTTATTAGGAGACATTTACCAGCCAGGAAGCAGGAGGGACCCCAACACCCTGGAGCTGTCAGGGGCTGCAGGTCACTCTCCAGGATGGGCCAATGTCCTACAAGGTCCGGCTCTAAACGCCAAAGAAGTGTCATTCACTGTTCCTTACTGTCTAAGCAACTATTTAATTCATTTAAACAAATGTATTTGAAAGGCAGAGAGGGAGAGAAGAAGAAAAACAGAGATCTTTTATCTGTTGCTTCACTCCCCAAATGTTCACAACAGCCAAGGCTGGACCAATCCAAAGCCAGGAACTGGGATCTCTCTGGCAGGTGGGTGGCTGGGACCCAAGTCCCTGAGCTGTCACCAGCTGTCTCCCAGGGACCTGCAGTGGAACTGGAGCAGCTGGAACTCAAACCTGGCACTCTGACACCGGAAGTGGGCAGCCCAAGTGTTGACTTAAACTGCTGTGCCAAGCACCGGTGCCCCCCAACTTACAGAGCATCTCCTGTGGGTCTGAGCAGCAAACCAAGGTGTGCTGAGGCCAATCAGGAGAAGGGGCTGAGCCTGCCCCATCCTCCATAGCAAGGCCTGTCCCCTCCCTTTGGGTGAGGGTGCTCAGCCCCCTGTCTGCAGCCCACTGCACTGCAGGGGCTCTCGGGCCAGGCCAGGTGCTCACCAAGACTTCCAGGCATGACCACTCCCTCCCCTGGCAGCACTGATTGCAGCTCTGAGCTGCGAGCTGCATGGATCTTCTAGCTGTCTCATTCTCACCAGCCCCAGCTTTTCCCAGCTTTTGTCCTGCCAGGAGTGGGGTTTAGGGCCGGGACCACAGGACTTGCTGCCCTTCCCCTCAGGCCTGAGCCAAGGTCAGCCAGAGTCTGTGGGACACGCTGTCTGCTTGGATCTTTGCATCTGACCACTCTCCGTTCCGCCACTCCAGCTACGTGAGATGTGCTGTCCCATTTCTGCTTTCCTCACCAGATACCAAAGTCTACGCTGCTTTGGGGAATCATGACTTCCACCCCAAAAACCAGTTTCCACCCAGAAGGAACAGCATCTACCAGCAAGTAGCAGAGCTCTGGCGCCCCTGGCTTAACAACGAGTCCATCACTCAATTCCAAGAAGGTATCGGCACCTCCCGCAAGCACGGTGGTACTTGGCACTCCTTGGAGGCCAGGGACTCACTTCATTTCTGCTTCCCCAGACTCTTTGAGAGAGGTGCTGGCTTTATCAGAAAAGGAGATGAAGGTTTAGAAGATATCAAATCCCTAGGCCAAGATCATGTGGCTCAGAAAAGGCAGACTCAGCACCAGGAGCCAGAACAGACTCTGAGACCTAAGGTCACAAGCTGCCACCTGCAAAGTGTGTCCTGGGTGGCACGCCTTGCCCTGTCCAGGGCCAGCTTCTGGATAGCAACCCTGGGCAGGAGCTAGAACCTTCCACCGCAGCCAGCCTGACCCTTTGCACCTGTGTGTGGTAGCTGGGATTCTTTTCCTTGGGGGTAGGGTCTGTCTTGAGCCCTGGAGGATGTTTAGCTGTAGTCCTGGCCTCTGCCCACTAGATGGCAGTATCACATCCAAAAGCTACACCTGTTGAATGAGAAGCAGGATGGACTCAGGCTGCCCCAGGCAGCGGGGCACAGATGGGTAGATATACATCACTGTTATTCCCACTATACAGATGAAGAGAATGAGGCACATGGAGGTGGTGCAACTTCCCCGAGCTGTGCAGCTAGCAAACGACAGGCCCGGGAGTGGATGCCACATCCCTCCAAATGACCCTCTGTGGGAAAGTTGGGAGGTGAGGCTGTTGGGGAGGGGCTGGAATGGACAGAGGTGACAGTGGACAGGGCCAGTGCTCCCTTCAGATCCTCCCTGGCTGTGATACCCCAGGTGCTTTCTATTCGGAAAAGCTGCCGGCCGCTGGCAGCTTGGGGCGGATGGTGGTCCTGAACACCAACCTCTACTACAGCAACAACCAGCAGACAGAGGGCCTGCTTGACCCTGCACAGCAGTTCCAGTGGCTGGAGGCGGTGCTGACAGATGCGGCCCAAGCCGGGGAGAGGGTAAGGACATCCGCCCCTCTTCCTCCCATTCTGTGTGACTCCCTGAATGTCTTCCTCCCAGCCCACCGGTGCATCCTGATGCCCCTAGCCTGCACTAAAAGAGGCATCTTCCATGCTCAGCCTTGTGGGTTAGAACCCCAGGCCCTCCGCCAAGGACCCCGAGGCTGATGAGGAGCTAAGACAGTGCCAGCCAGGTTGTCCAGTGGCAGAGCTGGCACCAGAGGCCTGGTCTCCAGACAGCACGTCCAGGGCCTTCCCCATGACCATCACCCAGCACAGCCCATGCCCTCCTCTTGTATCCACCCAGGATATGCAGGGTAGGCGGCTCCTGGAGGGTTGGCCCCAGATCTTCCGCTGCCCTGCTGGCCCCGGGGCCCAGCACAGAGCTGTCTATTGATGATCTCACTCAGCTCTTAAAACCCTGCCAGGCGGCACCATGCCAGGTGTGTAAGCAGACCCCAGGGCAGTGGGGCCCAGCTGGAGATCCCAAGTCTGACCCCAAACCCTGTGCTCTTCTCCCTGCCCCCTTGCTGCCTCCTGCTGAGGTGGCTAGGTGCTTGAGTGACTGCAGGAAGGTCGGACATGGAGGCACATCACCACACAACAAATGTGACTCAGCCATGCAAGGCTGGATTGCTTGGCATCGCCAAGATTTCAAGGGACAGCACTTGTCTGAAAGATTAGGAGAGCTTCATGGAGGCAATGCTGTGAGCTGGTTTTTTTTTGTTGTTGTTGTTGTTGTTATTTATTTCAAAAGCAGAGAGAGAAAAAGAGAGAGATCTTTTATCCACTGGTTTATTTCCCAAATGGCTGCAATGGCTCACACTGCAAGCAGGAGCCAGGAACTCCATCTGGCTGGGTGGGTGCAGGGACCCATGTACTTAGGCCACCCTTTGCTGCTCTCCCAGGGGCATTAGCAGGAAGCTGGATCGGAAGCAGAGCAGCCGACACTCAATTAGGGGCCCATATGGGAATGGTGACGCTGCAGAAGGCAGCTCCATGTGCAGCACCGCACACCAGTCCCATCCGCACTAGGTTTTGATATAGGATTTACGGAAGTCAAAGTGTGGAGGGTACTCCAGGCATGGGTATGTGAAGACACGTATGTGGCACCTTCATTGCTGGCTTGGAGACGGTGCCTGAATGGGCCAGAGTGGAACTTCAGGGAAGAGACATATGTGTACCTGCCTACCTCTGGAGAGAGGGCAAGCGTGCTTTTTAAAGAATACATCTGGGGCCTAGTGCAGTAACCTAGTGGCTAAAATCCTCACCTTGCCTCCACTGGTATCCCATATGGGCTCTGGTTTGTGTCCTGGCTGCTCCACTTCTCACCCACCTCTCTGCTTGTGCCCTGGGAAAGCAGTGGAGGATGGCCCAAGGCCTTGGGAGTCTGCACCCGCATGGGAGACCTGGAAGAAGCTCCTGGCTCCTGGTTTTGAATCAGCTCAGCTTTGCATAAATGCTGCCAAAGCGAGCACCAGATCAGCTCAGCTTTGGCTATTGCAGCCACTTGGGGAGTGAATCAGTGGATGGAGGATCTTTATCTCTCTTCTCTCTGTATATCTGTCCTTTCAATAATAAGAAATCTTAGGGGGAAAAAAAAGAACACATTTATTTGACATACAGAATCTTCCATCTGCTGGTCCATCCCCAGATGGCTACAATGACCATTCAGACTAAAGTCAGGAGCCTGGAGTTCCATCCAGGTCTCCCACTTGGGTGCAGCAGCCCAAGCACTTGGGCTAGCCTCTGCTGTTTTCTCAGATGCATCAGCAGGGAGTTGGATGGGAAGTGAAGCAGCTGGGACTTGAACCAGTGCCCACACGAGTGCTGGCGTTGCACTGGTAGCACTGCTTCCTCGCCGTCACCGCCCTCACCCCTCACCCCCTGCCGGGACTGGCTCTGACAGGGAGAGCAGGAGCAAGTGTCTCTGAGCCACGCGTGGTCCCACAGGTGTACATCATTGGCCACGTGCCCCCTGGGTTCTTCGAGAAGACACGGGACAAGGCGTGGTTCCGGAACAGCTTCAATGAGGAGTACCTGAAGTTGGTGCGCAAGCACCACCACGTCATCGCGGGGCAGTTCTTCGGACACCACCACACCGACAGCTTCCGGATGTTCTACGATGATGCGGGTACAGCAGCGAGGTGCAGGTGGCGAGGGGAAGAGCCACCAGTTGCTCTCACTCAGTCCTCCACTCTCTATTTGTGTCTTGCAAGGCACCCCCATCAGTGTCATGTTCCTTGCACCTGGAGTCACTCCATGGAAAACCACGTTGCCCGGAGTGGTCAATGGTGCCAACAATCCTGGCATCCGGGTGTTCGAGTATGACCGAGTCACACTGGACCTGCAGGTCAGGAGGCTGAGTCCTTTGGAGCCACAGGGTGGGGTACCGGGAGTACTAATGCATCATTGCCATCCCTGACCCTCAGCTTTGCCCATCCTTGTTGACCGTGTGGCTTCAAGCTCAGGTTTAGAACCTGCCATCAAGGAAGGTCAGTTCTTCTTCCCCAGACCTCCCGGTCACAGCTCCCCGCCTGCTGGTCTACCTGTAGAGCCCTGCCCTGAGCAGCTCTTCTGCTACCCACTACAGAAGCGTTCCCTGTTTTAAATTTACTTTTATTCTATTTTGAATAGTTCACATAGTTGGGAGGGATGCATGCCCTCGTGGGCCTCCAATAAGGGTGGAGAGGGTCAAGATATGGAAGAAAGTGGGTGGGACAAATGTCTCAGTTCTTTTTCATTTTTATCCTATGTCTGCTGGGGGGTTGCATAGAGAAAGGATCCTTGCTGTCAAACTATATCAGCAAATGAAGAGGGGGAACAGTCATTGGATGATGCCTTAGAGACCCTAATGTGAGGAAGCATTCCGAGGGTGTTACTGGAGTGGTTTTGACAGTGCTGAGATGTCATCTTCATTGCGCTGGGGTTGAGACAATCCTTCCAAGGTCAATTTGGCTGACCAAGTCCACCTTAGTGCATCCACAGATCCAGAGACGTGTTGCAGAGCTTGACCGGGAGAGCTGTCTAACCTGTTCTGCACTGGACATACTCTGTCACATCCCCCGTGTGCAAAGGATCCCTCTTTCTAAAGTCCTGCTTTTGTTCTGCCTCTCCCCCACTTAAAAGCCTTCAATGGCTCTCTAGTGCTCTCAGAATGCAATTGTCTCCTTGGCCTGGTGTTCAAGGCTGCCCCTGCCTCTTCCCTTGCACCAAGCAGGCTCCTTACCTTACAGGCTGTGCAGGTGATGGCTGCAATGACAAGGTAACATTATGCCAAAATCTCATAACAAAATGTATTAAACACCAGCCATGCCAGGCCCTGTTCTAGGCTCAGGGGATCCACAAGTGAACAAAACCGTTGCTCTCCCGGAGCTGGCATTCCTACAGGAGATGATGTCCTTAGACACTGGAGAAGGGCTAAGGGCCAGGACAGGGTGGTATAGTTAAGAGGGCTGTGTGCTGTGTTCAGACAGGGACGTGAGTTCTGAGTGAACCAGCCAGCCATGGGGGAACTGGGGAAGGCGGAGGAATAATGGTCAAGGGGCAGGTGCAGGGGACTGGGGCAGACCACGGAGGCCACAGCGAGGGCTCTGGATGGGGCAGGGGGAAGAGGGGCGGCTACTGCATGACTCACCTGCCTGCTGTACAGCAGCTGGCAGGCGGCTGAGAACAGCAGCTGCAACACGCTGGGTGGCAGCTTGGGGCAGGGTGTGGAGGGAAGGGTCAGAGGTGTACCGGAGGCAGAGCAGCCGGGATGTGCTGAGGCTGTTGTGGGGTGTGCACTGGGCAGAGGGGCGGGGACTTGAGGAGGGGTCCCAGGCTTTGGGTCTGGGCAGTGGGAAGGCCGGAGTGGGGTGGGCTGGTTTCGGGGGAGAAGACAGAGTGTTCTTCAGGGTAAGGGTAACAACGCATCCTTCAGTGAACCGCAGCTGGCCTGCTGGAAAGATGTGAGCGGAAACTCCTCCGGCTTGGGTGGAGAGAGGACATTGAAGCCAAGGACCTGCTGTGCTAACCCAGCACCTGCTCCAGAGAGTGAAGCAGATAAGGACGACTGGCAGCAGTTCGTCATTTTTTGAAAAGTTATTTATCTGAGATGCGGAGTTATAGAGGGAGAGGCAGAGACACAATCCTGTGCTGATTCTCTCCCCAAATGTTCACAAGAGATTGGGCCTGGGCCAGCTCGAAGCCAGGAGTCAGGAGTTTCATCTGCATCTCCTACATGCGTACAAGGGCCCAAGCACTTCGGCCATCCTTCACTGCTTCCTCAGTGCATTAGCAGGGAGCTGGGTTGGAAGTGGAGCAGCCATGAAAGCCATGAGATGCCGGCATTGCATCTTAACATGCCACTCCACAGCACCAGCTGCACGTGCAGTTTGTGTGCACACAGCTACTCAGGGGACCTGAGCAAGAGGCCTCTTGGGCTCAGCCCCCTGCCTGTCCAGTTCCACCTTGTTAGGATGGAGTGAGCTGCACCTGGGCCCAGCTCCCGGCTCCCAACATTCAGCAGCCTCTGGCCTTTCTGTGCCTTACAGCTTCATCTGTAAAATGGTACACCAGCTCAGGGCTGCGGGAGGCTGGAAGAAAATAGTGTGACATTCACAGGCTGCAGCTGCCGTCCATGGAGCAGCTCCTCCACCCCTCCAGTCCCATGCCCTGGTGACCTGAAGCAGGCCCACAAGTTCAACTGCAAAGTGCTGGGCTCCAAACCCCTTTGGATTCTAGTCCTGAAGGAACACATGGGCCCTGCAGGAGCCTTGGCCATGTCCTGAGGCCCACAGTGCCCGCCCCCTCGCTGTCCACCATGGCCAGAAGTCCCCGTGCCTGTGTGTGCCAGGCCCTCGTCTAAGCATGCCACTGTCTGGTTTACACAACTAAGATGTGGCTGCGGTTAGTCTCCTGTTACCCCAGGGACACTTGGGTCCCAGGAGGTGCTGTCCTTCCTCCTGCTGCCTTGGAAGGCGGCAGAGCAGAGACTGGGAACAGCCCCACTCACACGCTTTGATCTGGGAAGCTGACAGGCTATGGCTAGTCCCAGGGCTCCTGCACTAACAAGGGCTAGGCCAGGCAAGAGCCTGCAGCTGGAGCCTGGAACTTAGCCCGGGCTGAGCTGGGCCAGAGTCTGCAGCCGGAGCCAGGAACTTCATCCAAACTTCCCCAGGGCAGCAGAAACCACTCAGTGACTTGACATGGATCAGAGACACAAACACCAACCCATTTTAGACTTTCAACTGGGGCAAAGGAGCAAAGACAAGGCACGGATCAAAGCCACGGTCAGCCTGACCTGGTCCTTCTCCAACACTCTAAAGAGTCCTCTCTTTCAAACCCAGGGTTGGCCCTTAGGCCATTGCTGTTTCTACTCCCTGGGCTAACTCATCCCCTACTGGCCAGCCACGCTCCCCTCTCCAAGGCTCTACTGAGGGCTGCCACTTTTAAACCGAACTCCAGTGCCTGCCCCTCCTGCTCCCTGGGAGGCACCTGCTTCCCTTGGCCAGTGGCCAGTGGCTGGCTGCACAGAAGGGTGGGGCCTCTCGGAGACTATGACAGTCAAAATGGTTGCAGCCAGGCAGCCCTCATGGTTCATCCCGCCTGCTGGGAATCCACATGGAACAATTAAATGTCATTCATTCATTCTGCTAATATTCACTGGGCGTCTTCCACGGCAGCAGGGAACCTGTAACCTGTGTTGGACAAACCCTCAGGGCCCCTTATCCTGTGTGTACCATGAATATCCCCAGGATTCTGGCCCAGAGAATGAATTTCCTTATGGCCTGCAGTTTGCTTGTTTGCCAAGAGGGGCTCATGGGTTCATCAGGCACAATCAGAGTCCCTGGGCTAAGTACAAAAATGATGAATACACCAACTGCTGGTGGGGGGAGGGGATGAGGGTAAAACATGACGGCTGCTCACCAGTCTGCCCCACTCTCCTCTCTCCAGGACATGGTGACCTACTTCATGAACCTGAGCCAGGCCAACGCGCAGGGGCAGCCGCGCTGGGAGCTGGAGTACCGGTTGACCAAAGCCTACGGCGTGCCGGATGCCAGCGCCGGCTCCATGCACGATGTACTGGGCCACATCTCCAACGACCAAGGCGTGCGCCAGCGTTACTACCTCTATAACTCGGTCAGCTATGACGGCCAGCCCTGTAACGAGGCCTGCCGAGTCGAACACGTGTGCGCCATAAGCCAAGTGGCTTTTGAGAACTACAGCACCTGCTTGCGCGTGGCGGCTGCTGCGCCTACATCTGTGCCCGGGTTCCCACTGCTCCTGGCAGCGCTGCTGGGCTTGTGCTTGCTCTGCGGCTGGTGACTTAGGGCGTCCCAGGGAAAGCAGATCAGCGTCCTATCACTGTCCTCCTGGTGTGAGAAGGGGACAGCCATATCGAGACCCCAAAACCCTTCCAGAAGTGCATTGCTTTCTCAGGTTTCATGGGATGCCCACAAAGCAAAACCTTTATATTCTGGGAGCTGCCCGTCCTAAGGCATAAAGAATGTTCAAAGTGACACCCATACAGTGTGTTGCACACTTTTTGCTGCCCACGACCCTCGCGGCGACCGTCTGTGGTGCCCTGCGTTCCTGGGGTAGGCCTTCCAGGCTCCGGGCCCCAGCTGGAGGCGCACGGACACGGACGGGCGTTGGTGACTTTCCGTTTCCTTGTTTTGGTTGGTAACTACGCAAGCGTAAGGGGTCGCCGCTGCAGCCCGAGCTTGGACCTCCGGGCCATCCTCACCTCTCGGGGCCTCCAGTGTACGCCCTGGGCGCCCGCCCAACCGTGGCCGTCGGCCTTCCCCGGCCCTCTGAGCTCGGCTGGGATCGGGCCGGGTGCCGTGACCCAGGCGCGGACTGCACCGTCCCAGGCCAGGGGCGGTGTTCGGGTTGAGGTTGAGACCCGGGACGTCCGCGCGCCTCGCTCCACCCCGGACGGGGCGGGGCGGGCGGCGAAGTTCCGCCCAGTAGTCGGGGGCCCTGGACTGCCCCGAGGGCTGCTCCTACCTCTTTCCGTTGCTGCGGCGACCCCGGGCCCCAAGGGCGGGTCCCAACGGCTGGAGAGCCCGACGGGGGCAGAGGCACGCGGGCCATGCCCTGGTCGCCGCATGCCGTCATCCTTCGGGACCTGGTCTTGGGCGCCTTTGGCACCATCGCCTTCTTGCTCGACCTGGGCACCGACCTGTGGGTCGCGGTGCAGTATGTGCTTGGCGGCCACTACCTGTGGGCCGTGCTCCTGCTGGCGCTGCTGTGCCTCGCCTCAGTCGTGTTGCAGCTCTTCAGCTGGATCTGGCTGCGCGGCGACTCGGTCCAAATGCAAGGGGTGGAGCCCCCGAGCCGCCGCCTGGCGCTGCTGCATGTCCTGCAGCTGGGTTACCTGTACAGGTGAGCGCCCCGCCTTCGGGATGTGAGAGGGGAAGTGGCACCTGCTGCGGTGGCATCTGGGTCACCTGAACACGTGAGCGCCTTGCCCTCGGGGAGGTGGTGGGGAACAGCACCACACTTCACCTGTGTACCCTTGAGTTCTGACTCCGGAGAGGTGAGGGAAGAGGACCCTCCAGCCCAGGAGAGGCAACCAAGCCCCGTGGGTGCTTTAACCTAGATGAGAACGTTGGTTGACAGTTCTGGGAGCTCAGCCAGCTCCACCCTTCCTGGCACAGGTGAAGAAAGAGCTACGCTTGAGTTCCAGAGTCAGACTGCTCTGGAGCTACAGAGCCTCAGTTTTACTCCTCCAGACAAAAGTTAAGAATCCTGCATCCCGTGTCTGCGTTGTTGGAGTCTCTGTCCGGCTTCCAGCTCACGCTCACCCAGGGAGGCAGCCCGTAGTGGCTCAAGTCTTTGGAGACCTGGGCTGGGTGCCTGGCTCCAACCTGGCTCAGTGCCCCCTGTAGCAGGTGTTTAGAGGGTGAGCCAGGGGATGGGGTATCTGGGTCTAGTTATTTCTCAAAAGAAAACCCAGTGGGGGCAGTCACACCTGCAACCAGGACTGGCGGGCAGGCCTGTTGGCAGGAATGAGTGACCGGATGAGAAGGTTGTGGGCGTGAAACTGCCCCTTGGTCAACAACAGATGGTCCTTTAGGCAGCAGGCAGGGCCTGGGGCAGGTCGCTGACCACCCCAGCTCTGTTTCCCCCTTGTCCCTGTCCTTTTGGTGAGGAGTCAACGAAACAAAGAGTTAAGCATTGGACACCTGACAGCCAGCACTGATGTTCTGCTGCCGCTCCCGCCACCCCACAAGCTCTAGTCCTGGCAGCCTGGCCCCCACAGCAGTGTGGGTCCTCCTGCCCAACTTTGCTGCCCGTGCCCAGGCACAGGCTGGGTCTTGGGACATGGGCATGGATGGCGCTCCTTTTCCCTCCTGGGAAACAAAAGCAGGCCGCAGAGTCACGTGACACGGTCATGGCTAGGATGGGGCGACTGAATCAGGGCTGGCCTTTGACTCCATTTTCACAGGTTCTCTCCTGCCAGCCAGGCATGGCTGTGCAGGGTTTGCGGGAGTCTGGCAGAGGAGTTTGGCATGCTGTGATTTTGCAGGGAGGACTGTCCCAGCATCAGTGTGACTTCAGGTGGGCCCAGCCTGGGCTGGCCCTAATGATGAGCTTCTGGTATGCGGCTCCTACCACCCTGCCTGGCTCCCACTACCCTGCCTCAGTGCTTCTCCCCGTGTGTGCCGAGCCCCGACTCTGTGTTGAGTTGTGGTTTTAAAATTGGGGTCACTGTTCCTGCTAGTGCTTGGGACCAAGACTGCCCAGGGGAAGGGACAGTGTCTGGTGAATGGGCTCACCTCCCTTCACTTGCTTAAACCATTTCCAGCGTGGAGAGACCTTTTGCCTCTCTGTTCCCACCCCACCCATCTCCCAGTGGCTTCCCCAGTCTGGGTCATAGCTGCTGGACTCTGGACTCTGTCTCAGCCTCCATCCCCACCCTCTGGGCTGGGCTGTCCCTGAGCCATGTGAACGGCCGGCAGCAGCCTCCTAAATGGAACCATCTTCTAGTCTGCTCTCTCCAGTATTTGCCCCTGTCCACCCCGGGCAGGTGCTCACCCCAAGGCCAAATGCTGCCCACCTGCCTGGCCTGTGCTCTCCTGCCTCTGTGCTCAGCCCTTTGCCCCCGGCATGTTTAGCCTGTAAAGGGTTATGGGTTCAAATCCTGATTCTGCTACTTATTAGCTACTTCCTTTTTTAAAGCTGTTTTTATAAAAACTGTTTATTGGAAAGGCAGAGATGGACAGAGAGGGAGTTCTAGAACAAGCAGTCTTCTATTGGTTCACTGCTTGAACGCCTGCAAAGAGCTGGCACTGGGCCAGGCTGAAGCCAGAGCCAGGAACTCTGTCAAAGTCTTCCATGTGGGTAGTAGGGGCCCCAACTACTCGCTGCCTTCCAGGGTGTACATTAGCAGGAAGTTGGATTGGAAGTGGAGTTGCTGGGACTGCAGGGGCAGCACAGGCCCACCCCACCTCCTCAGCCCCCTAATCCTGTTTCCTCCTCTGTCAGAGGGGTTTTGTGAGGAGCTGACAGGCCAGGGTGGACAGTGAACTGAAGACGGTGACCGAGAAGCAGGTGTAGAGGTCGTATTTATCTCCATTTTACAGCAATGTGCAGTGGCTTGTCCAAAACCCTGGATGCTCAGAGCCGGCCTACCATGCATCCCTCTGGGGTGGCAGATGGAGGAATCCCCCCTCTTAGGATGTTGATCTGGCCCTTGGGGCATCTGTGTGTGCCAGGTGCCTGCAGGGGCTGCACCAGGGGCTGCAGATGTGGAGGCAGAAGACGCCCTCTGACTTTGAGTACGCCGATTGCCTCTCGCTGGACATCAGCATGCTGCGGCTCTTCGAGACCTTCCTGGAGGCGACACCACAGCTCACGCTGCAGCTTGCCATTGTGCTGCAGATCGGCCAGGTCAAGCCCTTCCAATGTGAGTGACAGCCCTTGATCAGGGCCACTGAGAGGGAAAGGAAGGAGGAGCCCTGGGTTCAAATCCAGCCCCTAGACAAATGGCATGGCTTCCCTAGGGTATGGATGCCAGAGCCATTGCTGCCTTCTTGGGTGGATGTAGAGGGTGAGGGAGGTGAGGGTGGCAAGTCCAGTGTCCGGCATTTAGCAAATCTTAGCTATAACCTTTGCTGTCTTTTTAAAAATAAGTATCTATTTATTAATTTGAAAGGTAGAGTTGAGAGAGAAAGAGAGAATCTTCCATCTGTTGGTATATTCCTAGATGGCTGCAATGGCCAGACTGGGCCAGATCAAAGCCAGGAGCCTCTTCCAGGCCTCCCACATGGGTACAGAGGCCCAAGCACTTGGGACATCCTCTGCCGCTCTCCCAGGCCTAAGCAGGGAGCTGGATTGAAAGTCGGGCAGCAAGGACTTGAAGTGGTGCCCATACAGATTGCCAGTGTCAGTTTTTCTTGCTATGACCCATATTAGCTTCAGTCTTTGCTGCCTTGAGGCACACAGGAATGAGTGTGTTGTGTGCTGGGTGTATTCCAGTCTGCATGCTGGTCCATCAGCTCCCTCTGCTCGCACCAGAACGCAGTGAACCTGCTGTGTCGCTGTGCTGCTGAGACGCCTGTGAACATGAACGAGTTGCACATTGTAGCTGCCCTACTGGGAAGCCATGCTGAAAAGGAGCCACAGGTGGCAGAGACAGGGCTGGCAGGGAGATGTGGGTGGCAGAGGCCGGGCTGGCAGGGAGCTGGGGGTGGTGGAGGTCAGGATGGCAGGGAGCTGTGGGTGGGGGAGGTCAGGCTGGCAGGGAACTATGGGTGGCAGAGGCCAGGCTGGCAGGGAGCTGTGGGTGGTGGAGGCCAGGCTGGCAGGGAGCTGTGGGTGGCAGAGGCCGGGCTGGCAGGGAACTATGGGTGGCATAGAGCTGTGGGTGGCAGAGGCCAGCAGGGCCTCAGAAGCTACAGGATGCCCTCACCTGGCACGGAGCTGCAGGAAGGATTTTGCCTGTTAAAGGGAAAGGGCTGGCTCGAGGTCACAAGAACCAATCCTGGTTTCCCCTTGGCCCTTAGCACCCTGCACATATGGAGACCCCAGCCCCCACCTTGCCCCATGTACTGCAGCCTTGCATGGACCCAGTCCTCCTGCTGTGCCCCAGGTGTTGGGTGGCCTGGACAGTTAGGTTGTTGCCATGACTGAGCAAGACAGGGTTGGACCTTCCCTCGAGGCGCAAGTGCTTCCACCTCGTTGCTGATTGTCTACAAACATTAACTGGAAAAATCATGCCGTGGCTGCGACCATGGCAGTTGAGTGCTGCCCTTGCCTCGGGGCAGGAATAAGATGGAGGATAGGGCACCATAGGGGATGTGCAGACTGGAGCCCACCCGAAAGGGAGCCAGTGGCAGAGAAGCTGGCTGGAGGAGTGTCAATGCTGCTGGCACCCAGGGCAGGGCCAAGGGGGGGGTGAAGGGAGTGTTGGCCACAGCTCTGACCTTGACTAGGTCTGGGTTCCCAGTAGGCATCTGAGGAATGCATACTGAGGAGGTGCAGGACAGGAAGTCCCTAGACACCTTCTTGTGCAGCTTCCTTCCCTCCCTGGAGACTCTGATGCTGCCAGTCCAGCATGGCCTCCGGGAGGTAGGACAGGACCTCTTGTGTCTTGGACAGTCAAAACCAGGGACTGTGTAAGAGGGCCTGACCATGGGAACTTCACCCTAAGGGCAAGTGCAGCCTGCCACCTGTTGCCACCTGGATGGCTTCTTGCCTCCCAGGGGCTGCAGTTACAGATTTTCAGTGTTCTTCCAGGAAAGGGAGGATTTAGGAGCTTCTGGGAAAGGCTCTGGAGACATCCCTACCTGATTCTGACTCATTTCCAGCCCTGTCATGGAGCAATGTCGCTATGGCAGTATTGGGTGGAAGTCAGACAACATACCCAGGGGCTGGCTCTCTGCAAGTCCCAACTCTGGTTGCATGAGCCTGCCATTCTCCAGCCCTGATTCAGGGGTCTGCCACCTGCCTCAGGGTTAGCTGTGACCCTGGAGGTTGCCAGGCAGACTGCCCATAGCACTTACTGGGTTCCTTTTCCTCTTGCAGGGATCAGCATCTGTGCATCCTTCCTAGGCATCTCGTGGGCACTGCTGGACTACCATCGGGCCTTGCGTACCTGCCTCTCTTCCAAATCTCGCCTGGGCCTGGGCTCCTCTGTCGTCTATTTCCTGTGGAACCTGCTGCTTCTGTGGCCCCGGGTCCTGGCCGTGGCCCTGTTCTCGGCCCTTTTCCCCTGCTCGGTGGCCCTGCACTTCCTGTTTCTGTGGGTGGTGTTACTGATCTGGGTCTGGCTGCAGGGCACAGACTTCATGCCAGACCCCAGATCAGAGTGGCTGTACCGGGCCACAGTGGCTGTCATCCTGTATTTCTCCTGGTTCAATGTGGCTGAGGGCAGCACCCGAGGTCGGGCCACCATCCACCTGGCATTCGTCTTAAGTGACAGTGTTCTCCTGGTGATCACCTGGGTGACTCATCGCACCTGGCTGCCTGGTGGGATCCCATTGTACATATGGCTGCTAGTGTCCGGCGTCAGCTTCCTCCTGGGCCTGGCCCTGCGCCTCGCCTACTACAGCTGGCTGCACCCCAGCTACTCTCAGAAGCCTGACCGGGTGGATGGGACCCGCAGCCTCCTTGCCCCCGAGCCGAGTCAGGTGCTCCACAACAGGCGCATGACTCAGCTGGCACGGAACTTTTTCTCTAAGGCTAAGGACGAGGCTGCTTCACCAGGGAGGGTGGAAGTGAATGGCACCCTTTGAAGCTGGGTGAGACCCCATCGCAACCGTTCACCATGTGCACAGTGTGACGTGGCCGGGTCCTGGGGGCTGAGGGCCATGGGCGGTATGGAGGACATCTTAGAAAGATGGCCTTTTCTCTTCTGCCAGCTGACCGGAACTCTCCCCTTATGGTGTTTGCACCTCGTGCCACTCTGTCCCACGCCCCATTCTTGTCTTCTGGGCTGAGAGGCCCAGGACTGCCAGGGGGTATTCTCTAGAATTCTCCATCCTCTCCCCATGCCCATGCTGCCATTCTGTTCCTTCAGTAGCTGTTTACTGAGTGTGTTCTATGGTAGCAACATGATCCCATCCTTGGGACCTAGATCCATAATAGCTGCCATCCTGGCCACATCCCTTACCTAGTCAAGCCTGTGAGCCAGGGATGCCCAGTGCTGGGAGGTCTTTGCCAGCCCCTGCAGGACCTTAGTGCAGCTGGTCCAGCCCTGTTTGGCTCTCAGGGGGCTGGCTGCCTTCCAGCCTATGGCGGGATGGACCTGTGTTCTGGTTATGTGGAGCCATTGAGTGTTGCCTCCTCCTCTTGCCAGCAGCATACCTCCTACCTCAGTGTGTGCAAGAGGAGCCCAGGAGTGCCTCTCTCCTGGCCTGTGACAGACACTAAGTGTTGTTTGACAGTATTACTAGGTTGTTATTAAAACCTCATGGAATCTGCCAACCAAGTCTGTGTCATTCCACACCATCCAGAGTTTGAAGTTTAAAGGGCCACAAAATCCTTTAACACTGGCAGTGTCCCCTGGGACACAGGGCCAGTGTGGGTGGGACTCCACAGCTTTTTTTTCTGCAGTTTCAGGAGGTGTTGGGCCTCCAAAACCAGATCTACACACATCACTTATTTATTCTACTGGAGATAACTGGGTGAGTAGAGGGCCGAGATGACATCAGCTGTGGCTGGGGGACAGCTCACAAGTGTGGCCAGGGCTGAGCCTGGCTAACTCGCCACCTGTTCGAGCCATCTGGCAAGCAGGAAGGAAGAAAAGTTGCAATGCTCACTTCTGCTGTGAGGGCTGTGGCAATGCCTCGGCCCAGAGGTGATGGGCTGGGGGAGCTGGACAGGGGGACACTGGGAAGCCAGTGCTGGTGAATTCTATACCCAGTGTTACAGGCAGAGGGTCTCACACAACTTGCACTCCAGTGGTTTCCAGACGAATTTCATGGAACAGCCTGGCCCATGGGGTGGCCAACATAATGTAAACAAAGAAATTCCCACCTGTTACCTCTTATCTGTGTGAGAGAATATGGCAATCTCGGAATAAAGAACCATTCTTTTCATTGAATACTGCTTTCTTTTAAAAAAAAGTGGTTATTTGCTTTTTAAAAACAAGATTTATTTTTATTGGAAAGGCAGATTTACACAGAGGAGAGGCAGATCTTACACCCACTGGTTCACTCCCCAAATGCTGCAATAGCCAGAGCTGAGCCAATCCAAAGCCAGGAGCCAGGCATTTTTTCTGGGTCTCACGTGAATGCAGGGTCCCCAAAACTTGAACCATCCTCCACTGCTTTCCCAAGCCATTAGCAGGGAGCTGGATGGGAAGTGGAGCAGCTGGGACACGAACCACTGCCCACACGGGATGCTGGTGCTGAGGGGAAGATAAGCCTGATACGCTGCCAGGCGGACCCCTCACCGAGTACCTTTAAACAGACACATAGAGATCATTACATTTTCTCTGATTCCTGCAGGAGTTGAGAGTTGGAGATGGTAGGCCTTGTTCTTACAATCCCTGAGTTCAGTGCTCACTGTTGCTGTGGAGACGGGTTTCACCAAGTCAGTTATTTGTTCCTTTCTTTGTCCACCACTCTCTGTCTCCTGTGAGGACTGGGCTGAGGAGAGAAGGATGCATGTCCCAAAAGGAGACCAGGTGTTTAAAAGCTTTGTATTTTCAGCTGAGCTGTATCTGTACTCTGCAGATGAAGCTGTTATGGTAATATGTGTGCAATAAAATTCAGACCATGTATTTTATGTATTTGGTAAATGATCTAGAAAGCTGTGAAAGTTAGCAGTTGACTCATTTGTGCTGCAACGCCTAGAGCTGAGCTGATCCAAAGCCAGGAGCCAGAAGCCACTTCCAGGTCTCCCACACAAGCGTAGGGTCCCAAAACTTTGGGCCAGCCTCAACTGCTTTCCCAGGCCACAAGCAGGGAGCTGAAAGGGAAGTAGAGCAGCTGGGATACAAACTGGCACCGACATGGGATCATGGCATATGCAAGACAAGGACTTGAGCCACTAGTTTACTCTGTTGGGCCCAGGAATCAGAAGATTTCTCTCTCCAATTTTGCCTTTCAGATAAATTCAAACAAAAATAATCCTGTTGTTTTGCTAATTTTTACCTGTCATCAAAGGTTTATAAGATGAATATGTGACATGCAGCATGTGTGTGTCAATATATACTCTTTGAAAGGCAGAGTTCAGAGAGATACACATATACCCCATCTACTGGCTTTCTCCCACATGGCCCTAATAGGCAGGACTAGACTAGGTCAAACCTACAAACTAGGAGTCCATCTTGGTCTCCCACAGGGGTGGCTAGGGTTCAAGGACTTGGACCTCAGTGCCTTCCCTGGGCACATTAGCAAGAAGCTGGAGTAGCCAGCTGGGAAGGAGTACTCCACCACAGGCCACCTGCATCACAGTGGCAGCTTCCTTCCTCTGTGCTGTGACGCCAGTCCCGGTATTTGTGTTAATTCAGGCTAGCACAACGAATAGATGTGCTTCAACTACAATGTGGTGTGAGATCTGTATCCAAAGATGAAAAGCTTTAATTACTGGACTACAAGGCAACAACTTCCCTTCCAGAGGAATGCAGGGAAAAAAAGATCTTTCTCTGACATGCATGGTGCTTGAAAGCTAGCTCCAAGCTCTTCATTTCCTCCATGGTGACAAAAGCCAAGAAGCCTAAACTGTTTTCCAGACCAGAGAGGGCTGGTCACTCAGTCTGGAGAAGCAAAATGAGAACATCATTGCTATGATATGAAATCAGGCTAAGTCAAGGAATATATGATTCCAGTACTAAGCTTCATAAAGCAATATATCTCACTATGGAGAAATAGAAATCTCTCTTATAAATTATTTAAAAGGGTTTATTTTCCCACATACATTCATGGTAGTTTGCTTCACTTTTTCATTGGTTGCTGTAGGGGTGAGGCCTCTCAGGAACTCCTCAGCCCTAATGAGGCCCCTACACAGCTAGGCAAGCGGCCAAGCTTATTCAGATAAGACACAGGAGCAAACTGTATAGAAAATAAAAACTTTATTTTTTTTTCAAGTTTATAAGATAGTTCCCGTTACATATAACATTATGGTCAAGGATACTACAGCCACGAATGCCCGCAGTCACATAAATAGATCCAACCCACTCAATGCCTGTTCTTGCAGCATCGTGCTTTCAGAAATCATCCTTAAGGAAGTGGCTCCTGTCAGCGCATCAGGGACCAAGGAGCCTGGCTGGCTGGAGCTGAGTGACTGGAGGTGAAGGAGGGGCAGCTGGCCCACTGGTCATAGCTCCGCTCTCCCTCCTGTAGCTGCAGGTATTCTAGAACCTCAGAGCTCAGCTATGGCCTCTCTAAAGTGAGGGTTCGGGAGGGGGTCCTAACTTTGAGATGAACAAGGATGCTCACCGATGAAGTGGTCACACAGAAGCCTGCTGAGGGGGCAGCCCTCATGGCCCCTTATGGAGGAACAAGAGGCTGTAAGCTCATCACTCTGGGCCTAAACTGTCCCTCTCCCAGGAAGAGGGGACCATGGCCCTGGGGTTCAGTGACACCAACACCCATTCAAGGCTCGGAACAGCTGCGAGTTCTGCAAGCTGCAGCTGGAGTTTATCAATTGGATTCTACTTGGAGCTTTGAAGCTGAGTTTGCATGAACTGCGAGCAAGTGAGCTGTGGCACATCTTGGGACACTTGCCTTGCCCCTCACCAACTTGCAGAGCAGAAGACAGGAATACCCCAAATCACACAAAAGCCCAAACAGGCATCTAGGTCTGGAGCAGGCCCCAGGGCCCTGGACAGAGCGATGCTAAGGCACAGTCAGTTTTACATTCAGAAGTTAAGCCGCCTCTGAAAGCCACGACCCACCTGGCCACTCCATTAGCCACAGTCCTCACAAGAAATCCATGCACCCATTTCTGGGTGCTCAGGGTGCCCGAAGGGTTTACTGTGTGGCTCATTTCATGGGGACTCTCCAGGAAACAGGGCTGCCGTCGGCTAGGCAGACCCAAGGCTCTTGGTCTCCCTCTTACTAAGATCTCTATGCTGGGGAGGGGACAGACAAGGTGAGAAGGGGAGTGTTTGCTGGAGACTTCATTTTGGCAAAGATGAGCGCCTGCCCTCTTATCCTCCTCTGGATGAGGGAGGGTGGCAGCAATGGAAAAGAACAGAGGCTGCTCTGCTCAGAAAGCCTCCTCGCCTGTCCTTGCCAAGTTCAAGTTCCCTTTGGAAAAAGCTAAGCTGGATAGTCAGGCAAGAGGAAAAGGCCCACCAGAAAAATACCAAGTTGTATTCTATGCACGAAGAGTTCCCAGAGGATGTGGTATGGGGAGGATCTGTGTGTGTGACAGGGGTATTGTTTGCAGCCCTGCCGGCCTGAGGCACGGCCCTGACAGGGTGGCCTTGGCCAGAGCCACCAACCAGGTTACCCCAGTGGACAGAGGGGGGTTTTCTGGGATTGTCATCGTGGAGCACTAGTACCAGGGTCTCATGCTTGAGGACAGGTCTGGGGAAGGCCTGCCTCCGCCGTCTGTGTCTTCCACCCCACATGGAAATGAGGCCAAAGCAGCAGTTCAGTGATGGAGCAATTGCTTCAGCAGTCTCACATAACTTGCTTCCTAAAGCCGGTAGACACGAAGCACTCTGCAGACAGCTCCGAAGGAATATGTACACCAGCCTTTCTTGGTTGTTATCTGCCTGCCTGGGCAGAGTCAGCCTCCCTGTGCGGTGACATCTTGGAAATGATACATGGAACTGGGGAAAAGCCTGCATGGCTGGGATTGGCCAAAGATGATCCCTCCTCAGGACCAACACTGTGTCTTTCTGAGGGACTCAGTCACCCTGCTTGGTGCTGCCTGGACAGTCTGAGTTTTGTCAGTGCCTGAAAATTTATCCTGGCTGAGTAGGTACCTACTTGGGCCTTAGAGGCAAGGCACATCCAAACAAACCCAGCCAGCTGGAAGGCTGGAGCCAGTGCCGAGGCACCTACGAACACTGGGGTTGGGCTGAGATGCTCCTGTATTTGGTCTAGGATTAAGCCTCCAGTCATGCAGAAAAAGAGCCAGCATTTCAATCAGGAGAGTGTGGCCTCGCAGATGAAAGCAGAACAGGCTGCTCTTCAGTTACAGGCAGAGGCATGGGTGCATGTGAGCCCAGACCCTGTACACGGCTTGCAGGTTTCCTCAAAGGAAGCCAAACACCGTGGCAGCTTGGGACAAAATGCAGTGACAGGACTGTTTTCAAGACTCGATGTGATGCCCTGGGACCAACGTGCGGGACTTGGCCAGGGCTGAATGGAGCTAGAGCGAGCTGAAGAGGTGGAAGGCTCAGAGCCCCGCGGCTGTGTGGGCAGCAGGCGATGGGAGAAGCTGCTTTTGTGCAAGCGCGGAGAGTGTCGTCTTGCGAAGTGGCCGATGTCTAGGGAGCCTTAGAAGAAGAGGCCTTAGTTTCCCTTTTCCAGTTGAGAGGCGAAGCCTGCTAGGACATGGTCTCTGAATTACAAATCAAATTGGAGGCTTCCAATCTACTGACTAAGAGAAGCAGTTTCCAGCTTTGTGTCATCTGGTGAAAGGGGAAGCTGGATTGGAGAAGGGACTAAGGCTTTTAGGAAGAGGGATGCCAAACCTAGAATTCCCAGTGCCTAGCACCCTGGAGCTGGGCTGAGTTAGGAGATGGAAGAACAGGAGAAGCCATCCTACGGAGCAGACCCCTGGAGCAGCATCAGGGGAGTGACTGTCACACAGAGGTATTTAGACATTTCAACAACTATTTTCAAGGAAACTTTACATGCCCCTTTCTTGCTAGAAGAAGAAAGAGGGAAAGCCTGCTTCAGAGACCCTTACCTAAAAAATAACATACACAGTCCTGGAAGTTTGTGCTACAGCTACGGAGGGTCTCCAGGCTGCAGGAGACAGTACAGAGGCTGCTGCGTTCATCCTCTCCCAAGCACACAGCAGTCTCAATCTGATCACAACTCCAAGTACAACTCTGCTCCAAGAATTTCCTTTTCCTTTCTTTGCTTTCTCAAAACAAAACAGGAGAATTAAAGCACAGGAGCCGCAGCAAGTCAACTGTTCTCTCCATCCAACTGTCTTGGGCGTCTGGGCAAGGATGAGCGCGGGGCAGTGGCTGGCTCCCAGCCCCACCTGTGGCTCTTAGTCCGACTGTGTTCTCACCAGCTTCCATGGAGCAAAGACAGAGATTTCCCAGCTGGTTCCAGTCTCTGGCTCCCTTGGGATGAGAAGGAGCTCACACAAGACTTTGTTCCAGTCCTGTTAGAGGAAGTCCAGCTCCAGGGCCTGGTGAAGGGACACAAGGTCTCCGTGGTTTGTGATCCTCCAGAAAGGCATGTTGTGCTGGAAAACAGAAGGCAAGCGGTCAGGGCCTGGTCCCATTCCTTTTGGGATTTTATTTCACTCATTCTGCTCCTGCTACAGACTTCCCTCCAAGGTGCATGGTAACCGTGCCCACCTTGGGGCTGTCACAGGGATCAGCAAGCCACACTGATAGGGATTTGTCATGTTACAGCACATTTTCTACATGTAATATTTTGTTTTAGTGGTAATTGTGTTTTTGTAAGAGATACATCAGCCATAGCCACTTCACTAGGGTCTTCAAAAGGTTTATAAAAAATGGTATGGAAAAAACTATGCATGGATGTCAACATTTTCTGCACCAAAGCAAACTTACCTTTTAATTGCACTCTCCATCTTTTTTTAAAATATAATTTATTTGAAATAAAGAGAGATGTAGAGACTTAGAGACACATTTGTATCTAGTGGATGGAGGAACATCCTATCAGCCTGGACAAACCAGCTGGGAATCAACATCTTCAAACATGGCTTAGTGAGGCAAGCACTTGAGAGCCTCCAGCAAAGATCCCGCACAGGGTGGAGGGGACCTGTCTACAGCATGAAGGTGTCTTCCAGTGGGTTAGACAACAGGAGGTATTCAGACATTCTCTCCCCACTCTTCTCCTTCAAACTGGGAGGCAGTGAAGCTAATGATGCCGACACTGCTGTCTTCCCCAAAGGGGCAACAAGAAACACTTTGTAATAAAAGCTTCCGTGCTAAGATATGTGAAGAAAGTCTTTGAACTGCTACACAAGTGGAAAACAAAAACATCACGAGGCAATAATGCCAAAGGACAGGGCTGGTGACGCGGTACTGTGGGCTGAGCCTCTCCCTGTAGTACCAGCATCACATATAGGCACAGGTTTAGGTCCCAACTGCTCCACTGCCAATCTAGTTCCTGGCTAATGCTCCTCAGAAAAGGAGATGGTCCAAGTCCTTGGGCCCCTGATCCACGTGGGAGACCTGGAAGAAGCTGCTGGCTCCTGGCTTCGGAATGGTCCAGCTCTGGCATTGTGGACATTTGGTGAGTGAGCCAGAGGATGGAAGATCTTCCTCTCTCATGTGGATGGTAAGGGCCAAAGTACTTGGGCCAGGGCTCCTAAGTGTAAGAAACAAGAGTTGTTGGAAGAAAACAAAAAGGTAGAGAAGGAAAGAACTTGTGTAGATCCATTTAGTCAATGAGGACACTCAAAAAGAAAAGAAGGGAATTGTCTGGAGTCAGCAGAGCTTCTACACTGAAGCGGCCTCACTTTAGATTCCGCAGCCAGACGCTTTCATCTGCTGCTCCCTGCCCTGAGGATGACACGTGGCTGGGGATCCACATGGCTATGGGGTTAACCTCAGAACCACCCGTCAGGGCTCAAAATTGGAAAGGCCTTTCTATACAGCAACAAATCCCAATTGTAGTGCTTTTTTTCTTTTTCTTTCTTCTTAGCATCTGAGCCTAGAAAAGTAGATGATTTGTGCTTTTGGTGACCAAAGCTGATATTCTTGAGAAAGGCACTGCCTTCTAAGATGAAAACAGAAGAGGGGCCCAGTTAGGTTTAATATGGATATTCTGAGGGGCTGGCTAAGGGGTTCTATCAACTTCTGCTAACCGCTCAGGGCCTGACCTCACAGTCCGTGGGCTTTACTACAGTTACCTGTTTGGCTGCAATTTCTTCATCGCGTCCATCTCCAATCACCACATATGTGACTTTCTTTCCAAACCTTGACACAATTCTCTCAAAACAGCTCTCCTTACCTGATGAGAAAAACAAATTTCTATTAGGATATTTTTTCCTTTTTTTCCAATACCAAAGAAAAAGGCTGCAGGGCTCAGGTCCACTCAGCCCAGGTGGTAGCCCATGTAGTTTGCAAGCAGAGGGGGTGACTAGGTGCCCTGCCCAGAGAATGCGAAATTGGGCCATCAAGACAACTTAGCTCAGCGCTCACACTGAGGCAATTTCTACAAATGGGAGACTTAGCCTGGGGAGTGAGAGAGCTGAGAAACATCACCTTGCTCTTTTTCTTTTGTGCATTATATAATTTATAAAACACTCTTCCACTTATTTAATTCTCAAAATAGTTTAGTGAGAGAGGCACCATTCACACAGGTCTAGTGACTTGTCCCAGATTACACACAAGCTATTAGCAAAAATTTAGACCCTTGATCCAATTCAAATCCAAGTTCTAGCCATTGCATTATGATGAATGTATAATTTTGAAGGGAGATGTTTTAAGGTTTACACTTCCTTTTCCTTCCTTAGGTGCTGATCTCCTGTTAGAAACAAGAAGCAGAGGCTTGGCCATTTCCCTCCATGTCTTCATTTCCCAGAAACAGTCTGGGCATGAGCCTTGCGGAGGAGTAGTAGAGCAGAACTGAGAAAGTGATCCAAAGATGTGACTGCAACATCGGTCCCATTTGGACTTTCCTCACTTGCCACACCACGTAGCAGCAATAGACATACAGCATCACCAAAACTGACCTTGGGAAACAGGGACTTGAATCCACTGTAGGCATTTTTGACAGTATATACAAATTCAAACCCTATCTGAAACCAATGTTTAAAACACACAGAGATGATACCGATGTGGGAAAGATAATTTATTTGTGTATATATAAGGAAGTTAAACTCCTTGTTGTTTCTTCACATTTTGTATTTTATTTCCCCGTTTCTGACACCTTCTTCAGGTAAGCAAGGTTCTAACTTTGCTTCCTTTGTATTACTCTGCTAAGCTCATTTCTTCTTTTTGCCATATCCAATGACTTGGCACCAAGATTCTCGAGTTTATTCCTTAAGACACTTACTGCCATCTGCTGCACATTTTTGTAATAAATATATCAATATATACATCTTTCTAAGAACCTGCATCTGTGCATATGCCCAGTAATCCTGCCTGGTGCACCTGGGCAAGTCCTCGACACTCCTAGTCCAAGTGGCATCTACAAACAGATAGACTAGAAACCTGGAGAAGACACCAGTTGGCTCTGGGCCTCAGTGGGCCACCCACAGGGCTTGGCTGAATTATTCACAGATCCCCTCTCAGTGCTAACATTCATGACAGGGTGGTCATGCCTCACATTCACATGAAGCTCATAGTGGATGTTTGCTGAGTAAATGCACATGAACTTCAGAAATGACTCAATCCAATGGGCTGCTAGTGCAGGTCAAGCATTAAAGAAATCAACAATAATATTCTGGCATATGTTCAAGGTGTTGAGGAATCCTTTGTTTAATTCCACTTGACTGTTAACAACTTTACAAGACAAGGATGATGTGCTTACAGGAAAAAAACAAAAACCGTCAGCCTTCCTGCTTTCTCCTTAGGACCCAGCAAAGCACACTCCTCACATCTTCTCAAAACAAGTCAGATAGGAGCGTCCCTGCTCAGCAGGGTGAAGCTAAAGACCAGTCAGACCCCACATGACAAGAGATTCTGGGTTCTGTTGAAAACATTTCAGAAACATTGTTGAGAATTCTCACACACTGACCATGACCATGAAGAGAATCGTAAGGGTGAATTTGTGTCGGAGGAGGTATAAAGACAATGCTTCTCCTTGCTTCCACCTTACAGTTCTGTTAAGCGAAAAGTTGTGTCTCTTGCTAGAGTTGTGACACCAGATCCCACTGCAGCTTGCCAGGTAGCCCCAGGTGAGCTAAGACTGAAGCAGGCCACCAAGGGGGCACAGTCATTGTCATTGTCATCCATTTTCTGTTTTTGAAAAGGTTCAAGAACACAACTAGGTTCAATTATGTCCTAGTATGAACAAGGCTGCATTGAAAAACCCCTGCTCCCGTCTCCTTGCACACAGGGGATTACAGCAGGGTCGGGCCGGGAGCCTTCTCTCTGCTGTCAGGCAGGTTCTGTAGTCCCCGTGGTCTCCAGCACAGCTGTACGGGCGAACGGGACAGTTGCATTGTACACAACTGCACAAAAACAGGTAAAGGGTGGCAGGAGTCTAACCTGCAGGCTCCTGCTCTGGGTCTTCAAAAAGTTCCTGGAAAATATCTTATGAAGAAACTACACATGAATTTCAAAATCATTTTACACCAAAAATAAACTTTCAGCTTTCCCATGAGTTTTCTGAAGCTTGGCCACAGGATCATGCAGGTCTCAAACCTTATTAGACATATTAACAAACTGTTCTCTAAAATAGACCCATTTTTCAAGTCCATCTGCAGAGTAAGAGTTCCCAATATCTTTTTTTTTTTTAAGATTTTTTTTTTTTTTTTTTTGGAAAGGTGGATAGACAGAGAGGAAGATTCTCCGTCCGATGGCTCACTCCCCAAGTGGCTGCAACAGCTGGAGCTGAGCCAATCTAAAGCCAGGAGTCTCCTCCGGGTCTCCCACATGGGTGCAGGGTCCCAAAGTCCTGGGTTGTCCTCAACTGCTTTCCCAGGCCACAGGCAGGGAGCTGGATGGGAAGCGGAGTCGCCGGGATTGGAACTAGTGCCCATATGGGATCCCGGTGGATTCAAGGCAAGGACTTTAACCGCTACACTATCGCGCTGGGCCCAGGAGTTTCCAACATCTTAATAAAGCTTAGCACCACACAATTTAAACTGTGTCTAGCTAATGAGCAATAAACATACCTCATTTAAATTTGTAGTTACTTAATTGGTGAGATAAGGGTTTATTTATAATTGAACTGCTGAGTTTTTCCTCTTATGCAAATTAGCTGTTTCAAGTACACACGCTAATGGGAGTTGCTGATTTTAAATCTAGCACTTTTTCTACCATACTACATACTTTCATAAAAAAGAAACTTAAAAGTAGATTTCCAAGCCTGATATTCTGTTCTTATAAATATTACAAAGGAAAAGCAGATGCTTCTGTGACCTACTAGCCATGAGGCCCTTAGCAAGCCATAAAACTGACAAACCTCAACTGTCTTTGTCAGAAACATGGGCAGACCGCAGAAAGGAGGGTGGTCAGGAGGGCAGGTATGACATACACAGTGTCTAACAGAGGGGAGGCAAGTAACAGGTGCATGCATCAGAAATTTTAAGATTTGTAACAACAAGTGGAACGGAAGTCATACCAATTTTGGTAGCACTATAGATGTTTTCAATAGGAAATATTTCTCCTAGTCCATACAGGAGCACCTTGGCCAGTGCTGGAACCAGCTGGGTGGTAGTGATCAGAACATTCACACAATTCTTTCTATAAGAAAGAAGAAGAAAAAAAAGTCAAATTATTAATGACAAGGGCCAGGTGTGACATGGTTCAGTGCCAATGTTCACTTAGCACTCTTTCAAGTCTATTTACTTTCTACATGAAAGGGCAGGGATGTTCCTCTTTGTTTCACTGTAGAAACAAAGCAGCAACTTCATTCTTGTCTTACTTCCTTTCAGACCTTTCCAGGTCCCTGAAAACTATTAGGAGACATTGCCAAAGCATGTCATTGCTACAAAGTTTGGGAAAACAGACACACAGCCTAGGGCTCTCTGTTACTGTATTATTTTACCTGAGGTTCAGCCCATGAGACCCAGAGGAAGTCCTCTCTGTAATTCATACAACAGCAATACTGGGTCAGGAAAACACACTAATTTTTCTTTTCTTTTCTTCTTCTTATTTTTTTTTAAAAAAGAGTTATTTATTTTTGTTGGAAAGTCAAATATACGGAGAGGAGAAAAGCGAGAGAGGAAGATCTTTCATTCAATGGTTCACTCCCCAAGTGGCTGCAATGGCCGGAGCTGAGCTGATCTGTAACAAGCAGCTTGGAGCCTCTTCTGGGTCTCCCATGCTGGTGCAGGGCCCCAAGGCTTTGAGCTGTCCTTGACTGCTTTCCCAGGTCACAAGCAGGGAGCTGGATGGGAAGTGGGACTGCCAGAATTAGAAACAGTGCACACATAGGACCCTGGGCTTGCAAGGCGAGGACTTTAGCCACTAAACCACCACACTGGGCCCCTGCATACTCCTGGATATCACCAGACTCATCTTCTGGGCTGCAGGGGATGATCACTCAGGGTTTTTGTTTGTATGATTTATTTTTACTAGAAAGGAAGATTTACAGGGAGGAGAGACAAAGAGGAAGATGTTCCATCTGGTGGTTCACACACCAATGGCCACAATGGTCCGAGCTGAGCCAATCCGAAGCTAGGAGCTAGGAGCTTCTTCCGGGTCTCCCACACGGGTGCATTTAGGCCATCCAGTTCGCTGCTTTTTCAGGCCACAAGCAGGGAACTGGATGGGAAATGAAGCAGCCAGGAATCAAACTGGTATCCCTAAGGGATTGCCAGTGCTTGCAGTCAGAGAATTAAGCAGGTAAGCAATTGCACTGGCTCCAAAATTACTCAGTTTTAATTTCGTGGGTAAAAAGTAAGGACAGGGACTGGTGCTGTGTAGCACCAAGTTAAGTCACCATCTGTAGTGCTGGCATCCTAGTTGGGCACCAGTTCAAGTTACTGGCTGCTCCACTTCCAATTCAGCTCCCGGCTAATGGCCTGGGAAAACCACGGAAAGCTGGTCCAAGGAATTGGGCTCTTGAACCTATTTGGGAGACCTGGAAAAAACTCCTATTCTTGGCTTCTGCCTGGCGAAGCCCTGACCGCTGTGGCCATTTCAGGAGTGAACCAACAGAGGGGAGTTTGATCTCTATGTCTCAATCCCCCTCTCTCTGTAACTATGCCTCTTAATTAAGTAAAATAGGTGTTTTTAAAAAGGACAAAAAGTGTTTCATATATAAATAATTTCTAAGAAATTTAAGGTGCTTCCCTCTTAACCTACCTCAACATCTACCTGCATGATTCAACATCTCATCTCCTGATTCTAAAGTCTATTTGGGGACCTGTCCTATCCTGGACTGGGTAGGAAAGAGTCTCTGAGAGGATGAGACCTATAAGAAATCATTCATTCATGGGCCCGTGCAGTGGCCTAGCAGCTAAAGTTCCTCCCTTGAACGCACTGGGATCCTATATGGGCACCAGTTCGTATCCTGGCAGTCCCGCTTCCCATCCAGCTCCCTGCTTGTGGCCTGGGAAAGCAGTCAAGGACAGCTCAAAACCCTGGGACCCTGCACCCACGTGGGAGATCCAGAAGAAGCTCCTGGCTCCTGGTTTTGGACCGGCTCAGCTCTGGTCGTTGGAGTCACTTGGGGAGTGAATCATTGGACAGAGGATCTTTCTCTCTGTCTCTCCTCCTCTCTGTATATCTACCTTTCAAATAAAAATAAGCCAATCTTAAAAAAAAAAAAAAGAAAAAGAAAACATTCATAAGGTGGGGTTTGGTGAGGTGGTGATGCTGCTGCTTGGGACACAAGCATACATTATCAAGAGAGTCAGGGTTTAGTTCCTGCCTCCACTTTCCTTCCCTGCTTGCTACTGATGCACAGCCCCTGAGAAGCAGCAGGTGATGGATCAGGTAGCTGGGTCCCTGCCACCATTTGGGAGACTTGGTGTGAACTCCAGGCTCCTGGTTTCCGCCCAGCCAACCCCACAGCTGAAGACACTTGGGGAGTAACCTTGGGAAGGAGAGCTTTCTCCATATATCTGTCTCTCTGCCTTTATTTCTTTTCTTTTCTTTTTAAAGAATCATTATTTATTTATTTATTTATTTTTTAAATTTGGAAGGCAGAGTTACTCAGAAGGAGAGACAGAGAGACAGAGAAAGAATCTTCCAGTGAATTCCTGGATCCCAGTGGCCACAATAGCAGCAGCTGAACTGAATCTGAATCCAGGAGAGCCAGGAGCTGCTTCTTAATCTCCCACAAGGATCAAGGTCCCAAGAGTTTTGACATTGTCTGTTGCTTTCCCAGGTCATAAACAGGGAAATGGGCAGGAAGTGGAGTAGCTGGGACTTGAACAGGCCTCCCTACGGGATGCCGGTGCCACAGGCAGACATCCTAGAATACTATGCCACTCATGTTGGCTTCTATCTCTCTTTCAAATAAAGAAAAAGTCTTTTCCATACCTTGACTGAATGAGCAGTAAGGACTTTAACGCAGTTCCTAACCAGGAATCTGTTAGCACTTCGATTTCTGCTCTTAGTCTCTGCAGTGCCTCCTTTCTTTGGGGACTGAGAAGCCCTTTAGAGACAAAAGAAAATGCATTCACCACATCACAACACGTATTTGCTGACACTAAGAAAGCAATTTCTAAATTCAATTTAGAAATCGTGTGGGTCCCTGATGTATTCTACCAAGCTGATACATTTCTCAGAGACAGCATGTAGTACTGCTCCTCAAAATGCCATCTGACCTTCTCCCTTCGAATGTTTTGCTACAGGGTACAACAACAACAACAACAGAATCAGCCAAAGGCAGTGTAAGATGGTGAGGCAGGTTCCTCTCAATAGTGCTCAGTGGTGTGTCAGCTGACCGGGGGCCCCACACTGAGTGGCATGCCTTAGAACACACAATCCAGACTGGCCGGGCAGACGCTGAGTGCCAGGGCTGCGGGCAGCCTCTGTGCTGCCCATCTCCTTTGAGAGCAGGTGAGTGCAGGAAGAGAAAGGGGTCTCTGCACAATGACAAAGGCCCTTCCAGTGCCACGCATGACTCCCACGATGACTTCCCTTCCTCCCGTGGGGAACAAACACATCAACCCGAGACCCCAGGCTGAAGGAGCAGCTCTATGCTCTGCTGACAGACTGAAACACTGTCGAACACGAGGTGATTAGGCACAAGATAAATCACAAAGTTTACATGGCAATCTGAGTTAATAATATGCAAACAATGAATTGGGTTCTGAGGTTTTTATAGTGAAGATAAGGGGAAAAAAGTGATTTTGTATTCTGTTAACAAAACAAAAACGAGTATCTGTGAGACGGAAGTAGAATTTATAGTGAGACTGATGGTTTCACAAGTGCAAGACTAGAATCAGATGATTCTCCTCTTTAACATGTTGGATACAATAAAATTATAAAAACAGTATCTATCTGTCACATACTTAGTATGTGCTGTGGTACCTTTGTTAATTTACAGTGTACAAAACACACAGGAGGACATTATTGTTCATCTGTTTCTGTTTCTTCAGGAAACCAGATTTTGACACTGGGAAGAGAAAAGATCAGGACTGAGTCTGTAAAAAAAACCATCAAAAGAAAGCCTAACATCTGTGAGAGGCAAAGTCAAAAAGACTTGGAGTTTCCAGAAAAAAAGTACTTACTCTAAAATTATGTAAATGCTAAGACAAAAGCAGTAAGAAAAATCTGAAAAAAGTGGATCCGATCCCCCAAAGTCTGAAGTCCACTGTTGCCTGGTATTAAAGGACTGTAACAGGAATGCATAGGCCTGTGCTTCACAGGCGTCCAGCAGAAAGCTGCAAACCCTGCCACGTCAGGCAACATGCAGCATGCGCGTGTGCACCTCACAAGGCCAAGACTCAGTTTTCAATATTTTCACACAGGTACAACTCACTCAAAGGGAACCGCAGGAACATAAAGAGCACTGGACCCAAAGTTAGTAGAGGTGGATGCCAACCGTGGTATGGTCACTAACCTGCCATGTAACTGGACAAACTGCCTCTGCTACCTCTATGAGGCGTTGCCCATTTTCTCCAGTGCAAATGAGTTAAGACCAGATCTTTACTTCTAATTTTATCAACTTACTTATTTATTTTAAGTAATAAAATTTTAGACTTTGTGGCATCTGACATTTACAGTATGTCTGGCTAAAAAGAATTTCCAAGGTCCTTCAATCACAACTGATGGAAATTGCCAGGTTACAACACTGCACTTAATCTTCCATTCATGACACACTTAACAGTCCTGTTTGGTCTCAAAGGAGACACACAACCTCTCACACCATCTGTGGATTGTATTTCCTGTAAGAAAGGCATTTGTCTACAGAGAACTTTCCAATGTTACTGAAAAGTCCATTTTCCAAAGGGTTTCTCGATCAAATCTCTTAAAACACACACGCGCACACACTGCTGTGCCATAAATTCATAAGTGTAAGCAGTTGCCAGAGGGAGTCAAGAGTTCAGGAAAGGAACTAGCACGGACAAGATGGCTGGGCCACTCACCGCCCACGTTGCTTTTATGCTTGTCGTAGATCTCTCTCACTTTGCGGTAGCGGAAAGCCAGTTTCCTCATCCAGTCCACACCTCCCTGGACACCGACAGAGGAGCCATGACTACTGCTACCCCCCGAGCCACTGAAGCCGTCTGTGGAGAAACTGTAGTTGCTGCAAAGAGAGGACATGATCCCAGTTAAAGTCTCCACAGCACGAAGGCTTTGGCCGAGCCCCATCTGAGACACTGTCCTGTGCTCCCTGCCCCTGACCTATTCCTGGCAGCTGATCAGCAAAGTTAGTGGCTTTAAGAATCTTCTCCCTGGGGCCTGGCACAATTGCTCAGTGGCTAAATCACTGCTTTACAACTGCTGGGATCCCATACAGGTGCCGGTTCATACCCCGGCTGCTTCCCATGTCATCCAGCCTGGAAAAGCAGTTTAGGACAGCCCAAAGTCTTGGGACCCTGCATCCGCATAAGACCCACAAGAAGCTCCTGGCTCCAGACAGGCTCAGCTCAGGCTGTTATGGACACTTAGGAAGTAAACCAGCAGAGGAAGGTGCTTTTCTCTGTATTTCCCTCTGTAAATCTGCCTTTCCAACAAAGATACATAAATTATTAAACAGAAATTTCTCCCTGGGACCAGGGCTGTGGTGCCATGAATTAAGCTGCTGCTTGTAGTGCCAGCAACCCATATGGGCACCAGTTCAAGTCCCGGTTGTTTCAATTCCAATCTAGTCCCCTGGTTAGGAGTGGACTCTGAATGTAGAGTGTGGTGAATGTGGTAGTGTGCGATTTCCCAGACCAAGTTCCTCTTTCTCCTTCTTGGGCACTTGATTTGGAAAAAGGCAGCAGCCAAATGTCACGCTTCTCCATGGGGAGACAGAGAGAGAGAGAGAGAGAGAGAGAAACACAGAATTCAGTCACCAGTCACCGGTGAGAGTCTGGAACCATGTTTTCCAGCTCCAGCCAAGCCTTCAGATGCCTGCGCTGATTTCTTTCTGGTTCTGGTGCAGTGGCATAGTATGCCAAGCCTCTACCTGTGATGGTTGGCATACCATATAGGCGCTAGTTTGTGTCCTGGCTGCTCCACTTCTGACTCAGCTCCCTGCTAGTGGCCTGGGAAAGCAGAAGATAGTACGAGTCGTTGGGCCCCTACATACACATGGGAGACCAGAAGAAGCTCCTGGCTTTAGACTTGCCCAGCTCTGACCACAGTGTCCACTTGGGACGTGAACCAGAGAATGGAAGATCTTTCTCACTGTGTCTCCTTATGCCTCTCGGTAACTCAAATAAAAGAAATAAATCATCCTTTTTTTTTTTTTTTTAAAAGATCCACATCTATAGAAACTGAAGTGATAAATGCCTAATTTGTTACACAGCAGACTTATTATTCAGCAGTAATTAATATAGTTACTGACACTGGGAAGAACAAATATTTCAGCAGTAGATTTTTAAATAACTGACAGAATAAGAGACAACTCGGATCAACCAAAAGTTAAAATGGAGTTCAACACATTAAGTGTAAGATTCTACATTTCAGAGAACAAAAGAACTTGGGCCTGGCATGGTAGCCTAGTGGCTAGGGTCTTTGCTTTGCACGTGCCGACATCCCTTATAGGCACTGCTTCCTGTCCCAGTGGCTCCACTTCCCATCCAGCTCCCTGCTTGTGGCCTGGGAAAGCAGTCAAGGATGGCCCAAAGCTTTGGGACCCGACACCCACGTGGGAGACCCAGAAGAGCTCTTGGCTTCAGATTGGCACAGGTGTGGCAGTTGCAGCCACATGGGGAATGAATTAGCATGCAGAAGATCTTCCTCTCTATCTCTCTTCCTCTCTGTATATCTGACTTTGCAATAAAAATAAGTAAATCTTAAAAAAAAGTAAAAAAGAAAACCAAAGTTCTAAGCAGTAAGCTGTAGTAACTATTGGATAACCACCCACATAAGAGAAAAGCAAGCCAAATGGGGTTCCGAGTGGACTGCCAGCTGCTTGTTTTCCAGGCCCACAGGGATTCTCATTGTACTGGTGCCTCTCCAGAAGCGGGCAGGGTTCACAGAGTTCAGTCTTCCTAGCGCTATGTAGGCAGGCCCTGACTGTGGGGAGGGAAACCATCTTGGAATCTTCCAGCTTCTGCTGGCTACTGGCATATTCCTTGGCCGTATAATTGTAGCATCTTCATTTTCACATACTGCCTTCTCTCTTTTTTCAAATGTTGTTTTTCAGATTTATTTATATTTATTGTAAGTGCAGATTTATACAAAGAGATACAGAAATAAAGATCTTTCATCTGCTGATTCACTCCCTAAGTGGCTGCAATGACTGGATCTGAGCAGATATGAAGCCAGGAGCCCACCAGCAGCATTTTCTGGGTCTCCCACATGGGAGGATCCCATGTGCAGGATCCCAAGGCATCAGGCTATCCTCGATTGCTTTCCCAGGCCACAAGCAGGGAGCTTGATGGAAAAGTGGAGCAGGCAGGACACGAAGCTGTGCCCATATGGCATTCCAGTGCTTACAGGGTAAGGATTTAGCCATTGAGTCATTGCGCTGGACCCAACTACATCCATATCTATCTCCTTTACTAGATAATGAGTTCTTTTAGAACTACATCCAAATCATCTTGTTTCCATCTTAACTTAACCTGAATTTGCATGTAATAGACACATTCATATTTAAAACATCAACATATTTATCACCTCAAGTCTTGGCCATTGTCATCGGAAGCCACATCTTCCACATGCACTTGGTCACACTCCTGTTAAAGACAAAACAGACTATTTCAGTTTCAGGAGCAGAAAAGTTGTCACCACAACACAAAGCGGCAGGCTGGTGACGTTCTTCAGGGTTTCAAGCGGGGAGGAACGCTCTCATGCCCTTTACTGCCCCTTCCCACACACTTTATTTTACCTTTTTAAAAGGTTTATTTATGAAGTTGCTGTTGTGGTATGGCAGGTTAAGCCATGGCCTGAAATGCTTACATCCCATAAGAGAACCAGTTTGAACCCTTGCTGCTCCATTTCGGATTCAGCTGCCTGCTAATACACCTGGGAAACTAGGGAAAGACGGCCTTTGTACCTGGGTCCCCGCCACTCATGTGGGAGACCCGGATAGAGTTCTTGGGCTTCTGGCTTTGGCCTCACCTATTCTCAGCTGTTGCAGCTATTTGAGGAGTGAAGCAGCAGATGGAAAACCTTATTCTTTTCTCTCTTCGTAACTCTTTTATTAAATAAATACGTAAATAAATCTTCTGGAAGAGAAGCCATGAGAATGAATGAAAGAAAACAAATTTATAGATCTACATTTAGTAGAAATCAGAGGTCATTTAAGCAAACTCTTCACGCTCTGAAAGTAAGCTGATAGGATTTCCTCAAAATCACACAACCACTGAGTAGCAGAGAGACTAGAATAAGGTATAAGATCTCGGGTTTCTTTTCACAAAGCCCAGGCCACTGCTGACATAAAATGCTACCACTGTCAGACTCAGACAGGATACAGGCTTCACAAACCTCTGGTAACTCTTTAAAAAAATGTATTCTTGGGTCCATTCCAGACCTACCAGCATCTGAGTTTCTGCAAGAAGTCTTGAGGAATAAAAATTCAGATATCCTTACTTATCACTACGTGAAGTTGAAAGAAGATTAATGGGGTTTGGAGTTTAAAGCCCAATGACTATATTCTTTAAACAAAACAAAACAAAACAAAACAAAACCCATTTATTCCAAATGTCCACAACAGTCAATGATAGGCCAAGTCAAAGCCAGAAGTTAAAACTCAACTCGGGTCTCCCTTGTGGGTGGCAGGAATCCAACTACTTAAGCCATCACCAAAGCTTCACAGAATACATGTTGGCTGGAAGCTAGAACTGGGAACAGAAGCAAAAATTCCAACGTGAGATGCTCATATCCCAAGCAATGCCTTCACTGCTGTACCAAGTTCGCCTACAGCCTCACCCCCAAATATCCACAACCCAATACAGGTTAATTTAGTCTATTGGAGAACTGTCTATGAGTGGAACTATATTCTGAGATTTTCAGTGGTTTTCTGTGTGGAACAACTGCTTAGCTAAAGTGAAGGATGGTGCCTAAGCGGCTATCAGACTCACACCTTGCTCTTCTGATCCCCTAGTCTGTTCACCTTGAAGGTGAACTCAAATCTCAAACCCAAAAAAATATCAGTATGAACCTCTTGGTATTTCCTGGTGTTACCGGCATGTAACAATCAAGTGATCCCATACTTCAAGTTTAACATATACGTAGACAACAAATATGATAAAATATAATGAGTTAGGGCAGCCTTTTATCAACTGGACAAATCAGCAGACTATCTTTCAAGAGGAGAAAACTGAAGAACAGTCAAAAATTATCAAACTAATTTTACATATAAGTGCACATTATTTTATTTAAGATTGATTTTATTTTTTACTGGAAAGTCAGATATACAGAGAAGAGGAGAGAAAGACAGGAGGATCCTCTGTCCGTTGATTTACTCCCCAAGCAGCTGCAACGGCTGGAGCAGAGCTGATCTGTAACCAGAAGCCTGGAGCCTCTTCTGTGTCTCCCATATGGGTACAGTGTCCCAAGGCTTTGGGTTGACTTGACTGCTTTCTCAGACCACAAGCAGGGAGCTAGATGGGAAGTAGGGCCACCGGAATTAGAAGTGATGCCCATATGGGTTCCTGGTGCACACAAGGCGAGGAATTTAGCTGCTAGGCTACTGGGCCAGGCTGAAATGCACTTTATTTGGACTACTAAATTGGAACATATCTTACTCATCAGTGGTTTATCTGATAGGTTGACATCTTTCTCTGTTCTAGATCACTCCCAAATAAGCTAACCAGGGTGTAAGGGAAAATAAAAAAGTTAACCAAAATTAAAAGTTTTCAGATAATAAAACAGAGCTAGGAGTAAGCACTTGATACTACAACACCTGGGACTCTCGCATCCTGTTTCAGTCTTAGCTTCACTTCCAATTCCAGTTCCTGCTAATGTGCATCATGGGGTAGCAAGTGGTGACAGCTCAAAGTGCTTGGGTCCCTTGGCAGGCCACTCACAAAAAAGAGTTTGATTTACTCACAAGCAAGGTGAACTGTATATGGAATCTTGAGTTCACAGACTGCTGGTGTCAGAGACCAAAGTAAAGTGTGCAGATGGGCAAAAGTCCAAGACCAAGATCAAGGACTGTGGGTGACAGTATGCACACTGGGCAATGGTTCAAGGCCACAGAACTGTGTGCTTTAAAAATATCCTTGAGGGGCCCAACGTGATGGCTCAGTGGCTAAATCCTCGCCTTGCCAGGATCCCATATAGGTGCTAGTTTGTGTCTTGGCTGCCCCACTTCCCATCTAGTTCTCAATCCTTGCCTTGCCAGGATCCCATATAGGTGCCAGTTTGTGTCTTGGCTGCCCCACTTCCCATCTTCTGCTTGTGGCCTGGGAAAACAGTCGAAGACAGCCCAAAACCATGGGACCCTGCCCCCATGGGGGACCTAGAAGAAGATTCTGGCTCCTGGCTTTGGAACAGCTCAACTCTAGTTATTATGGCTACTTGGGGAGTGAACCAGCAGATGGAAGATCTTTTAGTCTCTCCTCTCTGTATATCTGCTTTTCCAATAAAAATAAAATAAATTGTTAAACAAAAATAAAATAAGAATATCCTTGAGAAAGTACACAGTAAATTCTGTACTTGGGTCACACTGTTACTCCCTGATCAACAAGCATTGGCTGGTTGAAATCAATATGGGGCGTGGCCATCAAAATTTGTACCACATCAATTCCTATAATTTCACCCCCTAAGTGGTCCAATAAGTGACTGATGCAGCAAGCCTGAAGGGAGCTTCCCTTTTCATAATCTTATCTATTGTCTGTCTCACTTCTTATTTTCTTAATTGTGTGTCGCGCCTGCCAGCCACGTGGGAGACTTGGATTGGGTCCTGGCCTCTTGGCTTTCTCCTGGCCCAGTCCTGCTGGTGCAGACATTTGGGGAGTGAATCAGCACAAGCAAGTCTTGGTGTTCAGCTGGCCTCTCCATACCTACTCTGACAACACAGTGTCTGAAATACAGGCTCAAAATCATTAGTGAAAACACGTTTTTGTGAAGCACAGAAATGATTTAAAGTGTTACCTCTAAGTCATTGAAAAAGAGATGTGTATCAGCCACTTCAAAAATCATTTCTTCCATTGTTAAACCTGAGCCAATCACCACAGTAGGGTCCTGGAAGAAAACAGAGAAAAAAATTTTTTTGCTTGATTTAAAAAGCACAGTACAGACTCTTATCTCCAAAATACTTCAAAATTATTTTGGCTCAAGGCCAAAGCAACAAGGACACACAGCAGCGTTTCAAATTCATTCACAACTGCGGAATTTGAGATTGTACATCAAAGAGGCTATGAATCTTAAAAAAAAAAAAAAAAAGAGGCTATGGGCAGTTAAATTTCTAGAAATTTCAGAGAATATACAAAACCAAACCAAACTACCCTTACTACTTTACAGTCAGTAACTGTAGTGTTTCCTTGCAGTATTCTCCATTCATTCTAAACAAGATCCATTTACTTTTGGGGGGAAATAACCCTGTTCTAGAGGAAATTTTAAGTACTGCTAAATGTTGCTATTGTAAAGCCCATTTTCTTCCCTGCATGCAAACCCCCAAATATGCACTATAACACAAGAGGTCAGTTAGCTGATAGCCTCAAAAACCAGATAGTAAAGGAAGGCCACAGTTAAAATATCTGTAGGAAAACCAATGAAAATTACTTTAAAATGTATTATCTGGGCTTGGCATGGTAGCCTAGCTGCTCAAGTCCCTGCCTTGCGCGCCCGGGATCTCATGTGGGCACCGGTTCAAGTCTTGGCTGCTCCACTTCCCATCCAGCTCCCTGTCTGTGGCCTGGGAAGCAGTTGAGGACAGCCCAAAGCCTTGGGATCCTGCACCCAACGTGGGAGGCCTTGGAGGAGGTTTCAGGCTCCTGGGTTCGCATCAACTCAGCTCCAGCCATTGTGGCCATTTAGGGAGTGAACTAGCAGATGGAAGATTGTTTATCTCTTCTTTCTGTATATCTGCCTTTCCAATAAAAATAAATAAATCTTAAATAAAAACCATAGCCTACATATTTTTCATTTACAGGTTACATGTTCTTCTTCTATGTTTTTTTATAACCATCATCTTTCTGAAGTACCCTCATGTATCTGGTATATACTTAGCTAAATGAAATGCTCAATTTAGGTTGTTTAAAAAAAAAAGCGCGGGGTGGGGTGGCAGCTTTCAGACTGGCTATTAGAACACTCTATACAAGATGCCACTCTGGGGAAACCCATGCTTTCTGCAGTGGTCCTAGATCAATTCTGCCACAGGTGAGGGTTTACAAGGAAAACTGAAAGCCAACAAGATAAATCAGAAGTGGCAGATGAAACAAGTTTAACCTGCCTAAATAATCATATGAGGGATATTTACAACAAAGGATGATTCAAATTACCTTTCCATATTTCTGAGCATAGGATCCAGTAAGAAGGGAGTGGAAGATAATGATGGTTTCATCCAGGTCCCAAAGAAATACCCGCTAAGGAAAGAAAATAGAAAAAATTAGTATCTTCTTCAAATCACAATGAAATAAAACAAGAAATTAATAACAAAGAAAATGGAAAAATTCACATTAGAAATTAACATAGTTTCAAACAACTAATGAGCAGGTCAAAGAAGAAATCACAAAATACTACAGATAAGTGAAAATAAATACAGCATGCTAAAACTTACAGGATATAGTGAAAGCAGTGTTAAGAGAAAAATTTAGTGGAAATTTTATTTTAAAAGAGAGATCCTAGTTCTACAATATAAGTACATCCATTAAAAATTAGAAAAAACTAAACTGAAAGCCAGTAGAAAGAAGAAAATCATAAAGACTAAACATAAAAAGACAACAGAAAAACCAGTGAAATGGCAAGTGGGGTCTTCAAAAACATCGACAAAACTGACAAGCCCTGCTAGAATGCCTGGGAAAATGAAAGCCTAGAAATCAACCTCAGAAATATATCCAATCGACTGGGACAACGATGCCAAAATTATTCAACAAGGAAAGGAAACTCTTTCCAATAAATGATTCTGGAAAACCAGCTATCCATATGCAAAACATTATGTATTACATACAAGTTATTTCAAAATGATTCAAAATCATAAATTTAAGGGGTAATCAATGAAAAATCTTAGAAGAAAGCAGATCAAAACTTTACATTGTTAACTATCACACCAAAAGCACAGTAATAGGAAAAAAAAATCAGATTTCACACACACACAAAATTTTAGTGCATCAAACAACACTACCAAGAGAGTGAAAATTTTATATATATTTTTTCCTCTTCACATGTTCATTTCCTTCTGCTTAGGAACTACAGGGTAAACAAAATAGAACTGTACCATCTTTCATGAGTTTGGGATATGTGTATGAAAGTTAAAGAAGTGAAAACAAACAGAAAACTAAGTAGGCAACTCAAGTGAGTTTCTTCCCATACTTCCAATTCACTGTCCTGAGAAGAACTTGCATCAGCTTTCCTCTTGCCTCGGTTCTTGCCAGTCATGTTTTTCTTGGACTGATCATCAGCATCTTTACTTGGTGTAGTCTGGGACAGAGAAGGGCTTGTAGAAGGATCTACTGCAAAGAAAAAGCAAGACATACACTGCTGGTTTCAACAGTCTTTGAGTACCAGAGCAGAAAAGAGGGGAGCAGATTCCATGCTCTTACAAACTACTCTGTAGGAACAAAGTCTGGAAAACCAAACGTCATGTAGGCAATTAGGGAACACAAATCTAGGTACTGAGCATCAATAGCAGCTAACAAAAAAAAAGGTAAAATCAGATGTTATGCTTACTGTGATTAAAACACAGCTCTAAAGTTGTTTAACAAAACAAAATAGCAAACATAACCTAAATCTGGTCAGGTTTCCAGATGAGGGCTTTCTCAGCTGGATACAGGTGACATGTGAGCCAGATAATTTTGTGCTCTGTAGGACAAGATGGCTCAATCAAGCAGCATTCTTAGCCTTTACCCACTGGTGTCAGTAGCATCCTCCATCCTGTGTGACAATCAAAACTGTTTCCCTACATCACCACATTTGCTAGGAACAAAATGACCCCAGCCTGAAAACCACTGCTCAAGATTCACCTACCAATTTTCAATAAAGCACAGAGGGCAGTAGGACACTCAACCACCCTAAGATGATATAATTAGCAGAATTCACATGGGATATCTCACTTCTTCAATAAATTAAAAGGGTAAGAACATGACGTGGGAGAATTTGTAGGTAAACAAAATACATACCCCACCAATCCTAACACATGCTCCTAACTGCTGGCTGTCTCCCCACAAGGCCTGCTCAGACCCCATGTGGGCAGAAGCTGGTAACCCAGGAGGAACATAAACACCGAGGGTAATTACTGTCTTCCAAGGTGTGCATCTGCAGAAGGGGCAAGCAGGGGCCGGAGCCCTGAACCAAATTCAGGTAACAGGATCTGAAAAACTAGGCTAATTTCCCATCTCTCTACATTTTTAATTGACAGATAAAAATTGTCTACACTTAACAATCTACAACATGTTTCAAATTACATGTATATGCTATAGACTGGCTTGAATTCTGACACTAAATGTAGAAAACAAAACACACATGAGAAAACTGAAATACAAACACCTTTTGGTACGTCGTGATATTAAATTACTGCTTTTTGTTGTTTTTGTTAAAGCTGAGCTAATAGCACTGTTGTTGGGCTAATGTGTGTTATATTTTAAACAGCAATGTTTGAAAGACGGAACAGGATGAAGTTGAACACCATGACATGAGGCTGCTCGTGCGCGGTAGAAGGATGAGGTGGAACTAAAACTTCATTACACTATTCTGACAGCTTCTATTTTTGTTTGAAATTCTTCATGATTCAAAAATTAAGATTTTTATGAACAAAGAAATTGATAAATGTATCAAAAACGAAGGCACCAACACATAATTATTTCAGTTATGCCTGTCTGAAATAGCAACCTCCTGCACTCAATCTCACAAAGGACAAGTAATACTGAATACTACTTATATACAAAAAGCACTATTTTCAAACATTTGTCCATGTTGGTGAGAAACACTGCTTTCCTCAAAAAAAAAAAAAAAGTTAATCACGAAATTTTCATGAAATACAGAGATAAACATGTGTTTTCTGATTGTGGTGGTGCCTGTATGTCAAAAGTTTACAATCTAGACATCTTAATTTGCTGGTACACTGAAAGGCTCTACACTTCCTAAAATTTCAAGCTAAATTTTAGGTATTCCTTTAGGGAAAAAAGACAACAGATTTCCCAAGAAAACACTTTTGGGGGGAAGTGCCCCCAAGCCAGTTTTGAGAGCTGCAGTGCTTACCAGAGGGAAGTCTCTGTGCTGCAGGGCTGGGTCCCATGACGCTAGGCTTCTCTGTCTGGTACGTGGCTGCTGCTAATGTGGTACTTTCAGGGTCACTGTTAGTCTGGCCCGTGACTCCAAAACTGGAGCTGGGATAGCAGGCCTGGTACTGATTCTGACCAAGAATAGTATAGGTGGGATAGTCCTGTAGGCAAAAGGGAGCAACAGAGAACAAGACTCTTAGAAAGAACATCCATTAATTCCAACAACAAGAGGCTTTCTTCCTGTTATTGATATTTTTGATATTATTGATATTTTTCTCAAAGCACTACTATGACTTCTCATTTACTATTTCATTAACAGTCTCTCAACTAAACTGATGATTTTCAAAAGGCATTCTGTGGAAATTCAAGAATTTGGAGGGTAAAGTATCTTCAGGATTAGAGAAAGCTGACAGGGAAGGATTCCTTGTACACTCATTAATATACCCAGAGTGCCCTTTTATCCACCATGGCGCTACCCACTATCACCAATAGGATGTATTGGATTTCTGCAAACAACTTTTTCTAATATTTATTATTTAGTTGACAGGCTAAGTTAGAAAGAGGTAGAGAATCTTTCATTTGCTGGGCCAATGGCTGGCTGGCCAGGCTGCCATTAGCAGCCTGGGTCCTCTTTATGTGGATGGCAGGGACCCAAGCACTTGGACTGTCTTCTGTTGCTTTCCTATGTGAGTAGTAGGCAGCTGGATTGGAAGTGGAACCTCTGGGCTTCAATAGGCATTCCTACGGTATGCCTGTACTGTAGGCAGTGGCTTAAATCACTGCAATTCAATACGGGCCCCTCTGCAAAAAAAAATTATAAAGTTTACAAACTGGGGCCAGCATCACAGTGTGACAAATAAAACCGCCAACTACAATGCCAAAGCCCATATGGGCAATGGCTCCTGTCCAAGCTGCCCCATTTCTGATCCAGCTTCCTACTAATGGCCTGGGAAAAGCAGTTGAAGATGGTCCAAGTGTTTGGGCCCCTACCACCTACCTGGGAAAACTCCTGGATCCTGGCATCATCCTGCCCAGCTCTGGCTCTTACGGCCATTTATGGGAGTGAACCAATGGATGGAAGTTCTCTTTTGTCTCTCATCCTCTGTAACTCTTTCAAACAAAAAGAAATCTTAAAAAGTTTACAAATAATGCACTAAATAGCAATGCTTACAAACACGGATGAAATTAAGTGAAGAAAGCACATATCCTACATCAGAGTTACCCAGATTAAAATACTAGTTATCTATTTTTTTTAAATCACAATCCATTTGTTTTTAAAAACAAAAAGTTCCTTAACATAATGACAACTCTAGGTCATTTCACAGACACATATGAAGGGCTCACAGATACATATAAAATGCCTTCAAAAAGGAAATACGTGCTATTAAAAATTATGCATAAGTCAATTAAAAATATTTATTTATTTTTATTGAAAAGGCAGATTTACAGAGAGAAAGATCTTTTATCCGTTGGTTTACTCCCCAGATGGCCACAACAGCTGGAGCTGAACTGACCCAAAGCCAGGAACCAGAAGCTTCTTGCAGAAATCCCCGTGGGTAACAGGGGTCCAAGGACTTGAGCCATCCTTCACTGCTTTCCCAAGTCATAAGCAAAGACCTAGATCAAAAATGGAGTAGCCAGCACACAAATTGGCCTATATGGATGCTAGTGCTTGCAGGTGGAGGATTAGCCAACTGAGCCACTCAGTAGTCCATTAGTTAACATTATTTTCCACACCAAAATAAAAACATGTTTTATGCTCCATAAAATACTCTTAGGAGATAGACACAGAAAATTTCCCTCGCTGGAGAACTTCCCAAACACTCATGATTCCTGGGGTCTGCATTAGCAAGAAGCAAGAATCAGCAGTCAGGCACTTTGATGTGGCACCTCTAGTGCTACACTATGTGCTCACCCATGAACTTCTTCAAGATTTACTTATTTATTTGAAAGTCATCAACCTAAGGGTCTCTTGATAAGATATAGAAAATGGAGCAGAATGCCATGAGATATATAAAGAATGAAATTCTGTCATTTATAAATACAATAGAGGATATTATATTGTGAAATCAGGTACAGAAAGAAAAATACTCCATTTTCTCGAGCTGATCTCCTACATGTGGAAGAGCAGGGAAAGGGGAAGAGGATGCTTCATCAGTGCAGGGACGCAGCAGGACAAAAAGAACAGCTCCAAATAGTTCATAGCAAGGTAGGCAATCTGTGACTGATAATAATTAACAGTATTTATCCAAACAGATAATAGAGCTATTTGAATGCTTAACACAAAGAAATGACAAATATCATAAATAACAGTTCTGCAGATTACTCTGATCTTATTACAATATACACATGTTCTGAAAAGCTATGGTATACTCCATAAATCTGTATATTACATGGCAATTACAAGCAAGAAACAGGGGCAGCTGTCTGACATAGCAGTGGAGTCCCATCTCCTAGCAGAGTGACTGGTGTGAGTCCCAGCTCCTCTGTTTCTGACTCGGGTCTCTGCTAAGCTGCACCCTGGGAGGCAGCAGGTAATCTGCAGCCAATGGGAATGGACAAATACAAGAAACAGCTTAACATAACAGATGAATCAGAATAGCAATGCTTTGGCCAAAAAAAACCAAAATCCATGTTGACAACATAAAATCAACAACTGCTGCAGAGAAAATGCAGAAAAACAAAACAACAAAACAATGTTTACAGTGCTTCTGGCAATTTTCTCAGCATGAACGATTCAACCAACAGTGACCACAATTAGACCAGAAAAAGAATCACAAAGGAATGAATAGTTTTAAGTGGACATACTATTTATTCATTTATCCCACAAATATTTACCAAGTACTTTTGATGTGTACCAGGGATTTTTCTAGACTTGGGGAATACAGAATGAACAAAATAGAAAAATAAATTGTAACCTCCCTGGAGCTTACACTCTAGTGGGGGCAGAAACAAGGATAAACATGATAGAACCATATTCTTGACAGGCTTAGCAGAGTAGCCAGAGAAAATGGATGGGTGCCTGGGAAGCCTCAAGGCATCCAGAAAAAGGTCTCCCCAGCCCTGCCCACTCCTGACAGCTTCTGGGATGGACTGACTGACTTTGGAATAAAGACAGGAAGAGCAGGCTAGATGAGTCTTATTAAACAGAATGATCCAAACTGTCACTTACTTGATTTGAGATGCTAGCAACTGCTGCTGCCGGAATATTGGCAATTGTAGATGAAGTGGATATCAGGCTGGCATTTGTGCTTGAAGCTGTGAGATTGAGGGTTAAAAAATATTAAAAATGTTGTATAAAAAGCTAAGAAACAGAAAATGTTATTTTAATTGAACATATCTCTGAGGAGATAAAGAATATATATACTCATTTTGCTTTTTCAGTTTGCCATACATCAATCTAGATTCGATTAGAAACAAAATATCTCAAATTATTTTTGTTTCAACCTGAGTCTTGAATTTGTCCTACTAAACTTCTACAAATCAATCATGGCTCATACTATGAATACTAATGATATCAAGAGTTAACAAGGGCCCGGTGCCGTGGCCTAGAGACTAAAGTCCTCGCCTTGAATGCACCAGGATCCCATATGGGCGCCGGTTCTAATCCCAGCAGCTCCACTTCCCACCCAACTCCCTGCTCGTGGCCTGGGAAAGCAGTAGAGGACGACCCAAAGACTTGGAACCCTGCACCTGCGTGGGAGACCCAGAAGAAGCTCCTGGCTCCTGGCTTCAGATTGGCACAGCACCGGCTGTTGCAGTCACTTGGGGAGTGAATCATCAGATGGAAGATCTTCCTCTCTGTCTCTCCTCCTCTCTGTATATCTGACTTTGCAATAAAAAAATAAATCTTTAAAAAAAAAAGAGTTAAAGAGATTCGTCCACAGTCATGGAGCTAGTGGTTTAGTGGTTCAGAAGCAAGATGATCACTTGCAGCTCTTCTCCTGAGTCAGCAGTTGAGTTACAAATGAGACTTCTTTTTCTTTCCTTTTTCTAATACATATGTATTTATTTTTATTGGGAAGATAGATTTACAGATAGAAGGAAAGGGAGGGAGGGAGGGGGAGGGAGGGGGGGGGAGAGAGAGAGAGAGAGAGAGAGAGAGAGAGAGAGAGAGAGAGAGAGAGAGAGAGAGAGAGAGAATCTTCCATTTGCTGGGTCACTGCCCAAATGGCTGCAATGGTCAGAGTTGTGTTGATGAAGAGCCAGTAGCCTGTTCCGATCTTACACACAGGTGCAGGAACTCAGGGACTTGGGCAATCCTCTGCTGCTTTCCCAGGCCACAAACAGGGAGCTGGAAATGGAGCAGCAGGCACACAAATAGGGATGTGGTGCCATACGCAGAAAATTCGCCTGTTATACCACTGTACCAGCCCCTAGATTTCTTATCTACAAGTACTCACTACTGTGGACAAACTAAAGGAGTTTGCTTTGCAAAAAACAAAGAACTGAATGAAACAGTTATAATCTCACAGCTGATGTCTTCTTTCTATTAATGATTCACTTTCTTTTCTACTGTGGCTACTTTTCCCTAACTAACAAAACAAACTTTTCCCTAACTAACAAAAATGATATATAATTTACAGATAACTCTATAATTAGTTTTAATTATTTTTAAGGGGAAAAAAATTGGCTGGTTGTTACTCTCTTGCTAGCACATTATTCTTGAAACGCCTGTCACAAAACATACTGAACATAGGTGATCTAAGAATAATAAAATGAAAACTAAAATGAAAAACTTATTGAATGTTGAGATTATTTAACCAGCAAAGTCCATTTACAACTCAGTTTCCTTTGGCTCTGGTTCTGCCATATTCTTTTTCTACTACTTATCTTTAATTCCATTCCTCTCAAACTACTAACTGTAAGTCAGTAAGTAACTAACTTACTAAGGTACAACTCACACACATATAATTGTGGGAGATCACCCCTGGATCTCTGCCTGCCTAGCCCATACGGGAGGCCATAGGCACATGGGACACTGTACCCTTGGCTAATAGACCCCTACATTGCTGTTCACAGTCTCTCTTCCCTACTCTGCTAGGATTTCCTTTGTAAACAACTCTAGAAGTCAAATGTTACATTCACCCTGCTTTTCAGCAGGTATCAAGCCTGCCCGAGACATAATTTCCTGTGCTTCTTGACCTTTAACTTCATTGAGGATCCAAGGAGATAAACTATTAGCCAGTCACAATGTTGTTATTGGCCGAAAGTACTGTCAGGACTGTCCTTCTGCCTGCCCCCTTCTCCTATATAAACTTGTGACTTCTTTCAAATACAGGGATACCCTTCACCACCAGTTTGTCTCTAGTGTTTCTGCTGCAGAAGTGCTCTCTCAGCTCACCTTTCAGTGGTCTTGTGGCCTGCTGGACAGAAGACATAATCCCTACTCATATAAAGTACACAGACTGAGCTATAAGGTGGCTTTAGAAACGTTGTTGAAGGGCCCGTTGTTGATGGCTCAATTGGCTAATCCTAGGGATTCTATATGAGCACCAGTTTGTATCCTGGCTGCTCTACTTCCCATCCAGTTCTCTCCTTGTAGCCTGGGAAACCAGTGGAGGATGGCCCAAAGCCTTGGGTCCCTACCTCTGACTGAGAAACTCAGACGCTCCTGGCTCCTGGCATTGGATAAGTTTAGCTCTGACTGTTGTGGTCATCTGGGGAGTGATCCAGTCAATGGAAGACCTTTCTCTGTCTCTCCTTTTCTCTCTAAATCTGCCTTTCCAATAAAAATAATCTTAAAAAAAAAAAAGTTGTTGCGGCCATAATGCTGTGGCCTAGCAGCCAAAGCCCTCGCCTTGAATATGCCAGGATTCCTTATGGGCGCCAGTTCTACTCCTGGCAGCTCCGCTTCCTATCCAGCTCCTTGCTTGTGGCCTGGGAAAGCAGCTAATGACAGGCCAAAATCCTTGGGACCCTGCACTCATGTGGGAGACCCAGAAAAGCTTCTGGTTCCTGGCTTCGGATTGGCTCTTGCCTCCAGCTTTTGTGGCCGCTTGGGGAGTGAATCATCAGACAGAAGGTATTTCCCTCTGTCTCTCTTCCTCTCTTTATATCTGACTTTGCAATAAAAATAAATAAATCTTAAAAAAAAAGTTGTTGGGAAGAAAAGGGAAGACCTTACAATTAATTAACTGGTCAGTTATGACTATTATCCCTGGTAGCAAATTTAATTATACCAGTTTCAGATAGATTACTTACATTTTTAAACAGCTTTTAAAATTTATTTGAAAGGCAAAGTTATAGAGACAGAAGGAAAGATCTGTCTTCCATCTACTGATTCACTTCCCAAATAGTTCTATAGTCAGAGCGAAGCCAGGTTGAAACCAAGGGCCGGAATGCCCATGTGGATCTCCCACCTTGGCATTGGGGGCCCAAGTATTTGGGCCATCTTTTGCTGTTTTCCCAGTTGCATTTGCAGGGAGCAGGACTGGAAGAGGAGCAGCTAGGACTCAAACTGGCATTCATATAGGACGGTGGCATTACAGATGCAAGTGTTCCCAGTGTACCAAACACCAGTCCTAATTTACTGAGTTTTTAATAAGTGTCATCCTATTAATACCCATAAATTTCTCTGAATAGTATGGTGTTTATTATTTGGGATCTTAATATGCACCAAGGAGGATTATAGGGATCAACAAACCTGCTTTCTTGTATTCAAACCAAATCACTTCTAACATGTTATTCAATCACTCATTCATCCTTCTAGCAAATTAGTGTGTCAGGATCTACTGTCGGCCTAGAAGCTATACCATCCACTAAAGAGTAGAATAGTCTCTCCTCAGGAAGTTTTCGCTCTAATCCGAGAAGTTAGTAACTGCATATCTTTGTCTTTATAAACAGCTACAGCCACCTAAAAATGCACATAATCACTGCCTGTCTTTCTCTACCATACAGCCGTGACCAGGCACTTCAGGGGAAGAGGGTGGAAGACAAAAACAAAAACACTGCATTCCTCCTCATCATCATCATTATCTCAAACACACACACACACACATAATCTTGAGAAAAGCAAGATTCAATTGCAGGTTTAAAGAGCAAAAGCAGCAGCGATGAAATATATAATAGAAAGTACAAAATCAGAGAATCAAATAAAGCTCACGTGAGTAGCTCACACTGTGTTTCATCCACAGGCTACAAGATCTCCAATTCCCAACTGCCTGGCCAACTGTTTCTGAACACTAAGAGTGTGACAAGAAGCTGCCAATCCGTGAAAGTCAAAGCTTCTGAGTACTGCGCCCTATTAGAAGCACAGGCTCATACAGGCAATATACAGATACAGCTTGGGTCAGAACAGTGATGGAATGGTGAGTGGCACAGTTAAGTGACATTGCCCTAAAGTTGAAAGGGAATCCCAGGGATAATGGCATATAAGTTTGTGCAGGATTTAGTTCTGGCCATTTCTAATTTTATATCATGTTATCCCATCAGTTTTGTTCACGCTGACTTTCTCTGACTTTTCAAAAACAAGACAAGCTTTTCATCATCCTTTGATGTGCTGTTCTCTTGGAGTGGCTCCCGTGGCCTGCCTGAGTCCAGTTCCATTGGCAGGGGAGCTGTTCTCTTCATACCTTCATGTCATCCACACCTACTGAACGGACCCCAGCAGTGGCCTTTCTCATGCTCCCAGCAGGTTGGCTCCTCCTTCGCATGCCTCACTTCCTCAGGACAACTCTCTGTGCCCTTATTAAACAGTCTTTAATTTCCTAACTGTACATATCTTTATATATTTTTTTCCCTTCAGAGAACTTTTCACAGCTTGTTATTTATTTACTTCTTCTTTTTTCTATTTTCCTCTACTAGTCTGTTAGCTTCATGAAAGTGGAATCTTGTTATCTTACTGTCTCCATATCTACCAAAATCCTGGTATGCCATTCATGATGCTTAAGAAATACTTGTCAGATTAATGCACACCAAGTCATCCATGCACTGCGTGTGAACAACAACAACAAAAAATTCACTATTCTTAGCTAGTGACAGAGAGGTTTGTGGGTTCCTAAAACTTACTCCAGACTGTGAGCAACATAACTAACAAAAACTCGTCCGATTTTTACTCATTCAGGATCTACGGGTGTATTTACAGAGGTCAGAAAACAGACCGATCTATTTCTTTGCTCTGCAAGTTCAGAGTCTAGAACAAATGACACATGACACTCCAACAGCAGTGTGCTTATCTGTATCTAGATCTTTGCTACTAACATTCTCTCCCATAAGAGGAGCCAGAATCTCTTAAGAACAATCCTTGATTACAAGATTCAGGCAGACAATATACAAGATGAACCTGGAGCATCTTGTAGTACAGGAAGATAGTGCTTAAAAATAACAATATTCTCTCTCTCTCCCTCTTTTCCTGCCCCTTGCCACACACAATTTAACAAAAATTATTAAATGAGAATATATATACCAAAAGGCTCAAAGCCAAATGAGAGTTGTCAATGGCTAACTTGGAACAAATGAAACAGCAAAATATAAACTAGATATCCACGAGCCCATGAACAAATCAATGAATAAATTAAATGGGGAACAAAAAACAACCTCCTGTAGGGAAGAACTCCAAGGAAGGGTAACTGAACTACAGTGAGCTGCACATTGTGATCTGGATGTGAGGGCAAAGTATGGTAAGGGAAAAAGAGGCACCTGAGAAAAACTTGACAAACATTACTCAGCCAGGTCATCAAGGTCAACATTGACAGACGTAAATCATGTTGGGAAGTATGAATATTTGACATTATATGAATGAAAAGGTGTTTTATCTCTGTGAGCTTTCCTGCAAGAAATCTATCCTTAAATCACGAGGTAAATTCCGAGAGGAAGGCTAGATCTGACTAGTATTTCTCAATTCTATCAAGGTCATCATAAACAAGGGCAGAGTAAAAAAGTGTAAAATCTAGATAAGCCTAAAACACAACAATTACATTTATTTAATGTCCTATCCTGAATCACATCCCATACCAGAAAAAAGAGTCAGGCAAAAACTAAGGAAGTTAATTCTTACTTTAAAAGAAAAATGTAACATCAGTTCACTAATTGGAATAAATCTAACATACTAATGTAAGATGTTGATAATAGCAGAAACTACAGGCAGAACCGGTGAATCTAAGACTGTGTCATCAGCTCCAATTTTCTGTAAACAAAAACCATTCCAATAAGAAAAGTTTATATAAAATCTGGTCAGCATCAGAGCTCAAGGACATTCATCAAAGTTAAAACTGAGTTAAGGAGCTGGTGTGGTAGTATATCAAGCTAAACTTCCACCTGCAGTGCCCCATATGGCACCAATTCGTGCCCTGATTGGTCTACTTCAGTCCAGCTCCCTGCTGACAGCTGGGAAGACAGCAGAAGACCAAGTGGGAGACCTGCAAAAAGCTGGTTTTCAGCCCAGCCCAGCTGGACTTGGCAGTCATTTGGGGAATGAACCAGCAGATGGAAGATATCTGTCTCTCTCTCACTTGGCAACTTTGACTTTAAAGTGAAATAAATAAATCTTTTTTTTTTAAACTGACTTTGATTTTTAATTTCTGAAACCAATTTTTCCATTTGAATATTAATCAATTAAGCCATCTCTACTGAAGACAATACCAAAAGACAGGGAAGCCTAGTCACCAGACATTCTAGAAAAGATTAATATAAAGAAGTCAGATCGGGCCCGGCGCGGTGGCGCAAGTGGTTAAAGGTCCTCGCCTTGCACGCCCGGGATCCCATATGGGCGCGCCGGTTCTAATCCCGGCAGCCCCGCTTCCCTTCCAGCTCCCTGCCTGTGGCCTGGGAAAGCGGTCGAGGACGGCCCAAGGCTTTGGGACCCTGCACCCGCGTGGGAGACCCGGAGGAGGCTCCTGGCTTCGGATCGGCATAGTATCGGCCCGTTGCGCTCACTTGGGGAGTGAATCATCGGACAGAAGATCTTCCTCTCTGTCTCTCCTCTCTGTATATCCGCCTTTCCAATAAAAAAATAATAAAAATAAATCTTTAAAAAAAAAAAGAAGTCAGATCTATTTATTCAAAGAATTTCTGTAAGCTTACAGAGGCAGTTCTTTCATAGGGAACCAGTGGCTTATACATTTTAAAAAATATTTTGATTAAAATTAAGCCAGAAGTGGAATTTGTTTGCTAGCTCCCCCAGGAAAGATGAGCTGCTGCAACTGCATTGTGCTTGGAGGTGGGAAGAATGGGTATTGCTGTTTGACCAGCTGAGACAGTCCACACACACAGGGTGAAGCAGCAGCCCTGGAAGGCTGAGGGCTGAATACATGCTACAGGAAAGGGAGTGTCAGGGGGAGGGCAGCGATGGCAGCATAGCCAGGTCAGTCAAAATAGGCATCCTATCAGTCAATTGTTTGTCCACAAAATTTCCTTCAGAATAAAAAGCAAAAATCAAGAGACTTGATGGTTAACTTCTGCCTTAATTTCTACTCAGTGTCAAAGTGCTAATGAACAAACAGCACAATGAGCCATGATACTAAGTAGAAAAAGGGAGGGAATTATCCTGAATAGAAAAATGGTGAGGGCCCGGCGGTGTGGCCTAGCGGCTAAAGTCCTCGCCTTGAACGTGCTAGGATCCCATATGGGCGCCGGTTCTGGTCCCGGCAGCTCCACTTCCCATCCAGCTCCCTGCTTGTGGCCTGGGAAGGCAGTTGAGGACGGCCCAAAGCTTTGGGACCCTGCACCCGTGTGGGAGACCCGGAAGAAGTTCCTGGATCCTGGCTTCGGACCGGCACAGCATTGGCCGTTGCCCTCAATTGGGGAGTGATCATCGGACGGAAGATCTTCCTCTCTCTCTCCTCCTCCTCTCTGTATATCTGACTTTCCAATAAATAAATAAATCTTTAAAAAATAAAGAAAAATGGTGAAAGCTAAGTTAACCTATCTAAAGGGAAAATGTCCTATTATTAGACAACAAGTTAAGGACAGTGGTTAGTGATTTGGAAGAAATATTTTCATGACCCTTCTGAAGCAATGCTCCTAAAAGACTCACTGTTACCAGGAAAGAAGCAAACAACCATCAGACTCCTCAAATTCAACTGCAGAGGAATGGGGTTCTAACCTTTGGTAGATGGCTAATGATTAGAAGAGTATCACTGAATTTATTTTACAACTTAGATGTAGCCACTTCAGGCCTAGCCTTTTAGGAGTGACCAGGCACTTGACTTGCCTGTGATTGGGACCGAAGACCTGTCAATCTAGAGAAACACTTTAAAAAAAATGAAAAGGGGTTTTGGAGAAGAAAGTCTTGGATTTTTTTCCCCTTACAGATGTTCCCATTTCAGAATGAAAGAAGTAGGGAGCCTGGTGTGGTGGCATAGCTAGCTAATCCTTCCACTAAGGCAAAACTGGTTCTTGTCCCAGCAGCTTCATTTCTGATCTAGTCTCCTGCTTATGGCCTGAGAAAGCAGGCCTTAAGTCCCTGCACCCATGTCAGAGATGCAACAGGAACTCCTGACCTCCAGCTTTGGAATGGTCCAGCTCTGGCCACTGTAACTATCAGAGGAGTGAGTCAACAAATGGAAGATCTCGCTCTCAAACACTGACTTGAAAGTAAAATAAATAGCTCTTTAAAAACAATAACAAAGAACAGAAGAGGACAAAGAGAAAAAAGGGAAAACAAGAAAAAGAGAAACTGGATAACTTGAAAAAACAAGAAGATATAAAGATAACTCAGAGAAGGTCTGAGAACAGACCAAGCAGAAGTCATTCTGAATTATTTAAATGAAACCATTAAAACAGAAGAATTAAAATAATGATTAATCCCCCCATCACCCTCATTCCTACATTCCCTCACTCATTCCTGTAGTGCTCATTTTACAAGACATAAAATCAGAAAGCTAATACAACCCTGGACCAAGGGCCCAGAAGAGAAACCTGGTGAACGGTCACTAACTCAAGACACAGAACACTGAGACTGTCCCCACTGGATCTGGGAGGCTGGCCAATGAATTCCACAGTGCTTCTGAATTTGCTAATAGTCCTGCTATAATTCTAACCTTTTAGAGGAAAAATTCAGGAAGGTTGTTTAAAGTTTACATTCAATACTATGCTTTTCACCTTGAAATAGGAACAAGAATGAACTTTCTGATCACAAGAAACACAAGCAGTAAATGGGTGTAGGTCTGACAAAGCCACAGCGAAGTGGCACATAGTGCACATTCCACTGACAATCCAGTTAAAGGGCATCAGCAACATCGGACTCATGGAGTCTTCAGTCTCAGGAGAAAGTGTCTAGAGCAAGATCAGAGGGTTTTCTGTACATCAGCATGCAGAAGCCTTACATTTTATCAAGCTGCTCACATTCAAGAGCTAAATTACTTAAGCCACAACCCTAGCTCTAGTTTGTTTAACATGAACAGCATGCAGAAATGCAAATTACCACCATGTCTAATTCTAGATACAGGCAGATTTAAAAACAAGTAACAACAGCAACAATAATTGAAAAACACATACACACACAACCATGCCTATTTACCTTGAATGGGATAAGAATAATGTGCTGGGCTTGGCTGGCTTGTGGTTAACCCTGTAGTGCAGGTAAGAACACTGTGTTGACTTGGAGATGGAGTCTGAATTAAACCACTTTCAGGTTTCATACCTGGCCACAATGCACCTGAATCAGATAAATTGGACCAATTACAAACAATGCACTGGGACTGAGAAGCAGAGTTATGCTTTCAAACATCAGCCAGTAGGGTCAAAATTGGAATCCTCAAACATGAAAAATTTGCTTGCAAGGAATATTACTGAGTCTCTCCCTTATACCACAAGCATGTACATTTTCAAAGAACTAGGGGGTGGGGCCACAGAAACAAAACCGCGTCTACATTCCAACAGTGATTTGCATAGAAATTCATTTCAATGACTAGGGGAGCTGATCAGGGTTTGGAAAACGAGCTTTCGTCATCCAATGGGACTTTGTCAAAAAAAAGTGCCTGACATCCTTGTGCAGACAAAATTTGAACCGTTAAGGCAAGAGATAGTCTCATAATATTTAAAATTCACTTACCCATTAAATAGGCACCACACTTTTTTCTAAGATGTATTAAATACTTTGATTATCTTAAATTGATTATTTTCTGTTACTTTTGATTAACAAAGGCTTATTTTTAAGTTCAAATTTTAGAAACACATAACTCATAGAAAAAAATGAAGCCATGTATAATTTCATCAGCCAGACTTAATCACTATTAATAGTTTGCAGGAGTTATCTGCATCTCTTTTATGCATTTTTTAAAACAAAAATGGAAGCATGCTACACATAGTGTTCATAATTTGCTTTTCTACAGAATATTTCTGAGAGGTATCTTCCCATAAATCACACAGAGCATTCTTATTCATTCCTGCCTTCTTTGCAGGGAAGAAGCAGTGAACACATTTTCAGAATTTCTCAGATGTCCATGACAAAGTCTGACATAGTGCTCTACTACACACTGCAGAGGTGCCTGTAAGTCTACTTGCTGCATGGAAACATTTTGTTAGCACCAAATAAACTCAATAGTTGTTTTTATATCTGTTTTTTCTCTGTGATATTACTTCTTGATAATCTGGCTATACCTCCCTTATAATTTAATAGTACAGGAAACCATAAATGAAGCTCTATTTCTACAAGAGAGCTTCCACATACATTGGAGGTTGCTTGTTCATATGTTCTGTGCTTTTTCTTAGCCAAAAGGTTGAGAAGTGATTGTTTACTGTGTTCTGAATAGGCAGAGTTGCTGGGTCAGTGCAGCTAAGTTGAGAATCTGACCTAACAAAGTTTATCAAACATTTTCCATGTACAAAATCAATCCTCAGGTTAATCAGGGCTTTAAATTCAGTTAACTCATTTGGTTTATTCCTAATTTGGTAAGAAATTTCAGATTTGCTATTACGTGAAATCAAAAAATAGTAAGGGGAGATATAAGAATCTTGACAATGGGGCATGGTAACTGCTTTGTCTCAAACTGTTAATGCATTTTTTCTGATACTAACCATATGAAAGAACTTATTGGAGACTGAGGAATATCTCTAACATGTATTAATTATGAGGTCATCCCTTCCTGTTAGTTCATGATTACTTAAGTGTCTTGTTCAGGTTAATCACAGCTATTGTCTTGGCTAGGTTTGATTTTCAATAAAATAAAAATATTTGCCACTGTCATGTTTTAAACATTCATGATGTGAAATGCACACATTAGTGCCTGATTTTTCATGGCAGTGTATTACAATTTTTGGTAAACTGTCACTTATATGTCACAATGTCTAAATTTATTATAATCAATCTGATATTTTTTTCTAAACAGATTTTGACCTTGAGGTATTAGATTTTGTAAATATTTATCAATACACAAAATAATATCTTATTAATAACAATGGTAAACTGAGAAAGCTTTGCTAGTCATATTTATTTTTTCAAAATTTCAAACTGTAGAGTATCTATAAATTCTCATCAAAATTTGGGCCACAAATGTCTAAGACAAGAAGCAGGATGGCTAGTCTGGAATGTCAAAGCAGATACGTAACACTATCACTTTATGGGGAAGAGAGGAATAAAGGCAATATGAACACTGCCTCCAGCATCATCATGGTCCTGCTCTTTCGGTACATAAACATCTTCTACACGCAGACCTCCCAGAATTCCAGATAATAGATGGCATAACCAAATGCTGTGACTGCCTACCACAAATGATGGAATCAAACCCTGGTTTCCAAACTCTTAGTGCACTGCTCTCTGCTTGCCACAAGGCTTCCAGTACTTCTGAGCATGTATGCTGTCGGGCAAGGGTAGGTCTACCAGTGGGAAAGGGAGACTGTCCTTCTAATGCCCCAGATTGGGGTCTTACATGCACTCCAACCTAAAGTTTCTGAACCCAGGTGTTTCTGTTAATTAGGCACTAACAGAACTAACATGATCAGCTCAGTATATAGTAACACATTATCATAGACATGCACACAATCCTACAAAAAGGGACATGAAAAATACCTTGGTTTGTTGATTTAACAGTACATTATATCTCAGTATCTTTCCGAACTACAAAAACAGATGCTTATTACAGAAAATCAGGAAAATCTAGAAAGTGTAAAGAAAAAAAACATATAATCTCAAACAGAAAACACAGGCTGTTCTTATTTTTGTATGGGACTTTGTTAACTGAAATGCTCATATTGGAACTGTGTCCTTGGCTATGAATAAACCAATGGTAACTGAGATTTATCTGTTGTGCCTTTTAAAACATTTTTATTTTCAGTTTACAATTCTGCAGGCATAGCTCTTCTCTCTCTCCCCCACCCCCTGCACCTTTTGTACCATTAAAATCCACAGGATATTAAACACTGTCTTTTCAGTTTTACATACTTTTTCTCAATGAATAACACTATTTGCTTAGGACTCTAAATACGCTTTAAACATAAACTTTGTAATAGCTACAAAGTTTTCCATTCTATGAATACAGTACCATTTATAAAAAATAATATTTATTTATTTGAAAGGAAGAGTTAAAGAGACAAGAGAAGAGGCAGAGAGAGAAAAAGAGAGAATTTTCCATTCCCTGGCTCATTCCCCAAATGGCTTCAACAGCTGGGGCTACTCCAGGCTGCAGCTGGAGCCCAGCCTTTCTTCCAGGTCTCCATATGGGTGCATAGACTTGGACCATCTTCTTCTGCTTTCACAGACTCCTCAACAAAGAGCTGAACTGGAAGCTGAGCAGCCAAAGCTCAAACTGGCGCCCATATGGGATGTCAGTACAACAGGCTATATTTCAACCTGGGCACCTTTACCATTTACCTTTAACACTTAAAATGCTTCTTCTGGCTTAATATGTAAGTTGTTTCCTTTTTTTTGCTATTATAAATAATACATAAGTGAATATTTTGGCTAATACATTTTTAAAATCATCTCAAACAGTTCCACAGAAAGAACTATCAGAAGTAAAAACAGTGAGGAAAACTTGACATCAACACCTTGAGATTATTAATATATATATTTTAAAGATTTATTTATTTTTATTGCAAAGGCACACATATATAGAGAAGAGGAGAGACAGAAATACGTTCTGTCTGATGATTCACTCCCCAAGTGACTACAACAGCCATGCTGTGCCGATCCGAAGCCAGGAGCCAGGAACTTCTTCCGGGTCTCCCATGTGGGTACAGGGTCCCAAGGCTTTGGGCTGTCCTCGACTGCTTTCCCAGGCCACAAGCAGGGAGCTGGATGGGAAGTGGAGCTGCTGGGATTAGAACCAGCGCCCATATGGGATCCTGGCATGTTCAAGACGAGGACTTTAGCTGCTAGGCCATGGCGTTGGGCCTCATAGATTTTTTAATATTTTTTTTTACCAAATCGTCAATAAACTAAAGTTCTCTTAAACTAAATCAGAGCAGTAGCAACTAAGGGCAATTTTTCAGTCCCTAAAAACATAATCTTTTGGGCCTGCAGGATGAAATTCATGCCTTACAAGCACAGGGTTCCAAAACTGGTGCTGGTTTGTGTCTTGGCTGCCGCATTGCCCATCCAGCTACCTGTATGTGGCCTGGGAAAGCAGTGGAGAATGACCTAATGCCTTGGGACCCTGCACCCACATGTGACATCGGGAAAAAGCTCCGAACTTCTGGCTTGGGATCTGCCCAGGTCTGGCTGTTGCCACTTGAGGAGTACATCAATGGATGGAAGATCTTCCTCTCTGTCTCTCCTCCTTTCTGTATATTTAACTTTCCAATGAAAATAAAAGAAATCTTTTGGGCCCAGCGGCATGGCCTAGCAGCTAAAGTCCTTGCCTTGAATGCACTGGGATCCCATGTGGGCGCCGGTTCTAATCCTGGCAGCTCCACTTCCCATCCAGCTCCCTGCTTGTGGCCTGGGAAAGCAGTTGAGGACGGCCCAAAGCTTTGGAACCCTGCACCCGTGTGGGAGACCTGGAAGGAAGTTCCGGGCTCCTGGCTTTGGATCAGCACAGCACTGCTTGTTGCGGTCACTTGGGAAGTGAATCATCGGATGGAGGGTCTTCCTCTCTGTCTCTTCTCCTCTCTGTATATCTGACTTTGTAATAAAAAATAAATAAATCTTTTAAAAAAAAAAAAGAAATCTTTTAAAAAAAATTACTATCTACTATTGTTGTGATTGTTCTGAGGACTAAGTCAGATAAAATTAAGCACTTATTCTTAGCATATTGTTCGCTATGGTAAGCATTCAATAAGAAGAAGATAATATTACTGTGATGAGGTTTCCCAAAAGTGTAGTAATGTCTGAAACAAAATAACATTAGCTAATATAACAAAACATTCCAAAATCTTGATTTCAAAAAAAAAAAAAAATCAAGCGTTTTTTGACATTTTGACATCCAACATATAAATACTCTGTGTGTTAAGACACAAGAAAATACTTTTAAAAAGTACAGTCATCTTTGAAGAGTGGCTCAGCAGTCTAATGCTCCACCTGCAAGCAGTGGAATCTCATATGGGTGCCTGTTCATGTCCTGGCTGTCCCACTTAAATTCAGCTCCCTGCTTGTGGCCTAGGAAAATAGCAGAGGAGAGCCCAAGTCCTTGGACCCCAACACCCACATGGGAGACCTGAAAGCAGCTCCTGTCTCCTGACTTTGGATTGGCTCAGTTCTGCCATAGTGGTCATTTGGGAAGCGAACCAGTGCATGGAAGATATTTCTCTCTCTCCATTTCCTTTCATTTGTAAATCAGCTTTTGCAATAAAAAGATAAATGAATCTTAAAAAACTCTCTCTGGTAAAATATGAGACTATATCATATCTATTGCTCCTATTATTCCTATCTAAATTACTCTCTCTAGGAAGCCTCACATATTATTTTGTCTAATTAAGCTAACAATTACCTTTCTCTATGAATAATTACTGATGATGATTTTACTAAACACAAGTCTCTTGCATTCAAATATAATACAAAAACAGATTAAGGGAGCTTATCATCATCAAAGTGTATTTCTTATGGAAACACTGTCTTTAACAGAGATCCATTTATCCTACAAAATTTTCCTTTACAATACAAGGGAAATGACCGTAAAAGACACCATAAAAACCACATTGCCAGGGTATTAGGTTAGGTATTTCATAAACTGAGTTCAGAGATAATGAGACTGTTATTTAACATTCAACAGCAGGAATCATAGACTGATTAACAATGTTCTAAAGGGATTAGGCTTATTAACAAACCAATTAAAAGATAAAAAAATAAAAATAATTGCTAGCCTATTACTAGCAAGTCAACTCCTGAAAAATTAACTTTAACATGTGCAAAACGAAATACACACAAACACAATCCTTTGCCTCCCCTAAGGATTACTCAAAAGTGGCTGATACTGACAGGCACAGAGGTATGGATGTTAAAACAGGGGAGAATTTCCCTTATTTCATAAAGTTATTATTATCATTAAACATAAACCCAACTTTTGCTTCTAGTAGTAATCGGCAGTCAAAGAATGCTAACAAGTCTAAAGGAAGGAAACTGCTGTTAAGCATAAAGACTAGCCACATGGGCCAGGAGAAATAGGAACATAGAAACCAAATAATTAATACAAACATTAATACTTGCAGAATCTTGTGGCAATCCGTTATGAAAAGTTTCCTAATTCCTACTTTGATTAAATAAAAAGATGTAATTTTATTAACACAGAGCATATTTAAAAATAACTGGGACTTTTTCAATTTTCTGCTACCAGTGCTAGGAAGGTCTAGGAAGGGCAACAAAGCTCCCTGCATATTATCTGTTAATTTACACAGAGAACCGCACAACAACTTTGGCAAATCACTAACTTATAGATCATGCCAAGACAACTAAAGCCAATGAACAGCATACAGTTACAGAAAATTGGGACTTGTCCCCCATTCTAATATGACTTTTTGGTTCACCAGAACCTTTTATCAGTTTCAGGCAAGGGAAAGAAAAGGGAGATTAAGAAGAAATTGGCATGCACATACATGTACACACACACACACACACACACAATGATGCAAACTCTATTCAGAAGGTTACACTGCCTGTTTTTACCAAGAAACTGACTGGCTCCAAGTACGTTTATTCTGCTTACCTAACCGTGTTACGCTGTTGTATACAAGGTTAGTCAAGTTCAACAAAACAGAAATTCTGAGTTTAGAACCTTCAGAATCAAGACTTAGTACTTTGGAAAGAGCTGTTTCTGGTGAGTATTGAAAAGCCATGATTTTACATTACATGCATCAAGACACGGAAAGTTGGTTAACTTTACCACATGTAACTGAGTAAATGCTTAGCCCAGTTTCCTCTTTGGGAAAAGACAAGTGTCTGTGGATGAAATCAACATTCTTAGGAGCAGCTGACATCAGGCTGCCTTACCAAAAGGAGGTAGTCCGTATGTTTGTGTTGCCTGAGGGTAGACAGCATAGGGTTGAGACTGCTGCAGTGTCTGGTACTGAGTCTGCCCAGGGTAAGCAGTTTCCGAAACAGGAACTGAGAGGATATGTGCATAAGGTCTAGAAAAATTCAAGAAAGCAAACATTTTTATATGTGATTTATTTTAGTAGTGAAAGTAGGTAGAACAGCTAAAGCCACTAAAAGCAAAGCAGCAGCAACAAGGAGACTAATCTTTCCTAAAAGGATTTTCTATGGTTACAAAGTAGAATCCCTAATCCTTGCAGGCTACACTACAATCTATGTAAGGGACAATCAAGGAAAACTCAATAGTTTTAAACATTCCCCACCCGCACCACCAAAAAAAAAAACTAAAAGAAAGAGAGAAACTTAAAAAAAAAAAAATATATATATATATATTCCCAAGTTCTAATTATTTTACAAACATCTGAGATGTGCTGCATGCAAGGCTCTATGTGAAGCATAAGGAACCATTAAACTTGTTTATGCCCCTATGTCTACCAAACAGAGAAATAAACCCCTAAAAAACCCGGAAAACCGTACAAAACAGGATTGAAACTGGTTACCATTGGGTCAAGCTCAAGTTATGCGAGGAAAGTTGAGCCTTGGAAAAGAAGGTACGATTGGTGGAGAAAAAGCAAGCAACCAAATCAGAAAACACAGACTGAGCCCCAATTTCTTCAAAGGAAGCCTTCAAAACAGCAGCCAAGTTAACTGATACATACAGGAAGTCCCAGCCAGGACTCAAACTTCCTGCTGATATTGAAGTTGGAGTGTAAAATCCCAGGTATTTCACTAACTATCCCAGGTATTTCACTGGCCAGTTCATCTTTGCTGAATTTTTAGACTAATTTTTTAAAAGGCTATATGTACTACATAAGTCAACAACAACAAAATACAAGAGGAGAGGCTGTTTTAGAAGGTGAAAAAGGTTTATATTTCAGCCTTGAGGGAAGAAGAAAATGAAGGAAAGTTACAAATTGGCCAAGTGAAGTGAGCAGAGAAGGTGTACAGAAATAGGAAAGGGTGTTCTAGGACAAAGCAGCAAGGCGCCTTCAGGAAGCATAGATTATATTAAGGGAAACATACTAAGAGAAGGTAAGTAGTGAGTCAAGGACAGAAAGATAGCAAAGACACTGAAAATTAAGCTAAAGGGATCCAACAAGTCTGAAACAACTGGGAACTACTGGAATTGCTGATATAGGAACAGAATATTTTTGAACAGCAATTAATTTCTTATTTCTTTTTACAAAACAGACTGCAAGGGGAAGAAACTGAAAATGGAGGTAGAATTAAAAAGTGATCATAATATAGAACTGGCAGCCCCTATGAGTGCTGGTTCAAGTCCCAGCTGCTCCACTTCCAACCCAGCAGTCTGCTAATATATATGCCTTGAAAAGCAGAAGATGGCCCAAGTCCTTGGGCCCCTTCACCCACAAAGGAGACCCGTAAAAAGCTCCTGGCTCCTGAGCAGCCATTCTCAAACTACTGCAGCCATCCCGAGAGTGAACCAGTGGACAGAAGCTTTGTTTCTGCTGCTCTCTTTGTAACACTGCCTTTCATATAAGTAAATAAATCTTTTTTTTTTAATCACTGGAGATGACTATCTAAAAGATTTTTTAAAGAAATGATTATAATGTAATGGAACAGATAAGCATTAAGGAGGTCTGATAATGAACAGATAAGTGATAAGGTAAGCCATTTCCTAGCTCTTGGCTTTGGCCTGGCTCAGTCCTGGTGGTTGGAGCAGGAAGTGAGCCAGCAGATGGGAGACACCTTGCCACATCTATAACTTTTTAAAATGAATAATAAATATAATATATAAATATAGCACAATATAATTATATTCTATTATATATTAATACTATAATGAATAAATATTTTAAAATAAAAGACATAATTAATAACATGTTCTGGATGTAGCAGGTATGAATACAGTTTTACATTTTTTTTTTAGATTTATTTATTTGAAAAGTGGGGGATGGGGAGGAAGGTGGGCAAAGTAGGGGAATAGAGAATCTTTTACCCGCTGATTCACTCACTAAAATGGCTGCAAGAGCAAAGTCTGGGCCAGGGTCAAGGTCAAAGCCACAAGCCAAGAACTCTATCTTGGCCTCCCAGGTTACTGGCAGAGGCCCAATTACTTGGGCCATCTTACACTGCCTTTCCAAGCTCATTAATAGAAAGTTGGGTCAAAAGTGGAGTAACTGCGACTCAAACTGCCTCTCCAGTATAAAATGTTGGTATCCAAAGCACTAGCTTGACGTAGTGTGCCATAACTCTAGCCCTACATGCATTTTTTAAAGTGATATTCTTATACTCTATGTAATTTGCCACTAGCTTACTTCTAAACGCACACAACAGCTGACACTAGGCTGGGCTGAGGTCATGAGCTAAATTACAGTTCAGTTCTCCCACAGAGTGGCAGGAACTTCGTTATTTAAGGTATCACTGCTGCCTCGCAGGGTCTGCCTCACAGGTATTAGGGGCTGGAGTCAGAAACAAGTGGTGGGTATCAAACCCAGGCAACCCCATTTAAATATGGGTACCCTGACTGGCATCCTAAGCAAAGCAGCCTTCAAATATATTTTGAATGAATGACTATGCAACATATCCATTCATTCACATATCAGTAGATAGTACTGATATCACTGATATTCACTGATTTTGAAAATATCTATTCTTAGCCTGAACTGAGTTTTTAAAATTATCTAATAAATCTATTTAAAATAGCTCAATTACAGTTGTTACTCAAGTCACAGGAAATGTCTAAATTTCAGTGACCTCAAATGGGTTAATTTCAATCGTAAAAATGAAACATTCTTTTTTTTTTCATGCTTTATCTTTACAGTTCAAAGTTGAAAGTAAGTGTTCTTCATATTTAGTTTGTTTTTTTAATGATCCCTGAGAAGAGATTTAGCCATTTTACAGAGGACAACTGTGTGATCATGGCCTAAGGATGCCATTAATGTTAATACTGTATTAAAATTTGCAGAAATCATTGAGTTGATTTTTCAAAATTTGTTACTTTTTTAATATTTAAAAACACACCTGTCATATCTGTTACCAATTTTCTTTTGTTCCCCCTTAAAGGCTTATTTTATTTAATTAATAAAGTTACATAGAGGGGGGGAAAAGATACAGATCTTTCATCCATTGGTTCACTCCCTGAAGGGCCATAATGGTCAAAGCCATGAGTCTGGAACTCCCATTTGGGCACCTGGGCCATCTTCTGCTGCCTTCCCAAGTGCATCGCCAGAAGTGGAACAGCTGGAAAATGACTGTGTCATGATGTCAGTCCCACCAATTGCTTTACGTATCATGTATTTCTAAGTGCCTAAGGACATATCCTGTCTTAATAACCACACTTACATGTCTTTAGGTATGTGCATTTCATTTTTTATTAATGCACAATTAGTAACCTGGTAAACACATGGTTGTGCACACCTACTCAACTTGAAGATGAATAACACGGTTGATGTTAAATGCTAATCTTACTCCGTGAAGGCCCAAACATTTCCTCTCGATAACTTAAACTGATCAAACCTGTCTAACTTCAGGCCCAGGTTCATTCTGAGGACATTCCTCAAACAAGAAACGGAACACAGATTAAGCTGATGTCCAACTCTGGCTGACATGTCTGTCAGAGCAAAGAGGAGAGAATGATCAGAAGCCAGTCAGTAATATGCTTGGGTCACTAACAGAATTCTGTATTTTTAGGACTGTGTACTGAGCAAGTTCCTGTCTGACAGTGATCATCAAGTCCATGCAATCACTAATTTTCTAAAAGGATGCTAGCTAGACTATACTGAGAGGGAATCAAAAATTGAAATAAAGATGGAGAATCGGAGCCAGAAAAATAAATACCAAATTAAATCTTGCAGTGAACCTAAAAGAAAAGCATACAGATTTTGGAAATGGTTATTCAACTTACTTTGCAGAATACATTTGTGAGGTATAATCATTGGATGAGCGAGGGATGTAATCGGTGCATGTCATAACTGAAAGAAAGATAATATCACCAGGTAAAAAAGTTAGAACATCTCAAAAATGAAATGGGAAAACCGCACACCTCACTGTATAGTTTTCTAAGCTAATTACAAAATAGTTAGATATAAAAGTTTGAAGGACTATGCAGTTGAAAAAACCCTCATTTTCGCCTTTATAGATGTGTTCATAGATTTGAGAGTGTAGAAGAACGGAGAACATGGGGCAGAAAAGACCTGAAGGCTAGAACCCATTGTTGCCTACCTGCACTCATCCCTGGTCTACAACCACAAAGCAAACTCCTGAACTCTCAGCTGTGTTTGTACGCAAACTGAAAAAGCAAGAAGCTTATGCCATAAATGATATCTGGGTGCTCACTCTGTGCTGAATAAAGGCCATAGGAATGATGAGAAGAGACAGAAGTAGGGCAAATATGCAGTGTCTCACACAGCTGGGTCCTGGGAGGCTTCCATACTACTACTACAATAAGTCAGCCCTGATCTTGGGCAGTATTTGGGAACCGTGAAAAGATTATGAGGAGTCAAGGCCTCATCTGCTTTTGCATAGAGGATCAAGCAATGAGTGTAGTAACACTGGGGTGATGCAAAGACTTTGGAACAGGCTCTCACAGCAAAACTAACAAAGGATGCTGATGCATTTGGATGCAGGGAATTAGGGATATGAGTATAGGGTAAATTCTAGGATTCTAGTTTGAACATCTGGAAGGAGAGTTTTATCATTTCCTAAGACAGGCAAGTTTGAGAGAACGGATTTGATGGAGCTGTGGAGGTGGCTGCAAAAACAATCAAAAGCTCTTTTTCACACATTTTATGTATGACTTTCCTTTCAGACACTTAAGAGGAAATGTCAAAAAGCAGTCTGACATACAAATAAAATCAGAAATCAGATTGGAAATATAAATTCTGGATTCATTAATATATAAGAAACCAAAATTCAAACAGAGGGATAGTACAAAGTGACAAGAGAAAATACAAAGAGGGAGAAACTAGAACTAGAAACTAGAACTGACACTATGAAAGTGCCTGAAGACTTTGACAAAAGTAGCTTCGTTGGAAGACGGGATAAAGCTCAATGTGAGCCGGCTGAAGAGTAAGGAGGTGAGAGTGCAAGTGAGAACAGCTCCTTTAAGAGGTTCTGACACAACATGGAACGATGAGGAAATCTACAACGAAAGGGACATGTGGAGTCAAAGGGGACTTTTGTTTGTGTTAAGATGTTAGATACCAAAATGTGTCTCTTTATTGACAAGAAGTATTAAGACGATAAATGTAATGATACAGGAGTGACAGTAGCATAATCACAGTGCCAAAGTTCTTGGGGAAGCATACAGAGCAAAAATCGAAGCCCTTACTGTCTAACAGGAGCAGGAACACTGCATTCTCAGGAGGAAGCAAGAAAACATGGCCAGAAAACACAGGTAGGTTTGAAGATTTGGCGTTGACAGGATAAGGGAATTTTGTGTTGCACAGATTGTTAAAATTTCCTCTTATCCCCTTGCCCCACCTCCCCTCCAAAAAAAGAAAAAAAGAAAAAAGAAAAAGAAAGAAAGTAAGTTAGTGAAAGAAAGAAAGAAAAAGAAAACTCACTCACTTATCTTAATGGGAGAGGAAGAGGATCTGCCATCTGCTGGTTCACTGTCTGAACACCCACAATAGCACAACAGTAGGGGTTGGGTCAGGCTGAAGTCAGGAGCCTGGAACTCAATCCAGGTCTCCCACGTGGATAGCAGGGACTTAAGTGACTGAACCATCACCTGCTGACTCCCAGGGTGTGTATCAGAAGGAAGCAGAGGTGGGAACTGAAACAAAGTACTGATGTACTTCAATATAGGCATCACAAACAGTATCTAACTACTGTGCCAAACTTGTACTTCGCAGACAGCTTTTATTTGAGAAAATATCACTATTTAAGTGAGGGAAGGTGAATAAGCAGTGATTCTCTGAGAAAAGAGATGGTGTGAAATATTTAAAGGCAAAATTAATTAGAGAATGTAGTAGGATTCCCAAGCATGCCAAATGCCAACTTGATTCCTATAAATTTGTGGCAAAGCATAACCAGACATACATAATTTTATTCAATATTGTTTAGCTATTTGTATGTACTTCTGGAGAAAGAGGGTTAGATTAAATTAGGGCTGAGGTTTGGTGAGGGCAGTAAAATGGACAGACCATTTAAGGAATATTTAAGGGGGTAATTGTAAAAACAACAACAGAGATTTTGTGCTAAGAAGGAAAAGGAAGACAACAGGAATGGGTACTGGGTAAGTCATCTACATGAATGGTAAAATTACCAAGAATGGTAAAAGTCTGGATGAAGATGAAAACAGACACACCCTACCCTTTAAAGAACAGGATGGCTAGGAAATCAATCTTAGGTAAAAATGAAACAGGATATAGTTACGAAGTTCAAAAGAGCTAGAAAAGGAAGAGTAATTAAAAGAAGCAGGAAGACTCAATTTGCTCCCTGATGAGTGAGATGGGACACTGTATTTAATTACAACAGCTTCCCCTAGAATAGACAGTTCTCCATATGTACCACCATCACCTAGAAAATTTCTTAAATATGTAACTCCCCATTCACATCAGACCTACTGCATAATAATATCTGAAAGCAAGGTTGGAATTCCACATTACAGTAAGCATTCCAGAGGATTCCTGTGTATACTGCAAGTCTGAACATCAGTAGAACAGAATCACTTTTGAAGAAACTGAAAACATATCTCTTAAAAAAAAAAAGATCATTTGTTGCTTTTGACACCTTTTTCATCTTTTTCATTATATGAAATGCTTATAAAGGATAACTGTCTTAAGACATATTCTCCAAATCTACACTTAAAGTTTATGGCAAAATATCAAAGGATATACAGATTTAAGCTCAGTGAGTACTGTTTGGCTTGTAGAAGCAAGCTGAGAGATAAGCAGGCATGTTGGACAAAGCCTATGTCTCCACAAGAAAACCACATTTGTGGTTGCTGCTTTGTCTCATGCACAAGTGTAACTGATTTAGAGGAAAGTGAGAGATGGTGTGTGGAGAATCGATCTTATTTGTCTGGATTTCCTTAAAGTCTCCTTTTGGTCCTTGGCTCAGGGGATTCCTTTTATTCTTGGCCAAGATGGACAGTTGGGATCATTTGGCTTTATTAGGAAGGAAGAAATATATCCAGTCCTCTAGAGTTTGGGCCACAAACATTTCTGATCCTGAGTAAGGCTTTATTACCCTTAAAACATTCAACCTCAAAACAGAAATAAAATCAGAAGGTGACTTGGTAGATGAGCACATTCCATGTGACGTTTTCTTCAGCTGGAATGTTAGTGAAGCTTCTGGAAGAGCACAGGATGAACACATACCAACACACACTCACACACACTCTCTCTCTCACAAGAAAGCAGCCTGGACATTCTGGGACACAAAGACCATCAGTGAAAATCCAATTAGCGGAATAGCCTATGGGAAGGCCTCTTGAAGTGGGCCTAAGCTATGGTACTTACGTTCCTCTGACATGGGGAGGTTTGATGCCAGGCTTGCCGTTTCAGGTTTCTGATCACTGGTGTCCGGGCTGCTTACTGGACTAGGAGAACCAAAATGGACACATTAGCCCCTTACTGATTCACTGCAGTGCTAGAAGTAATGAGATCAAGCCCACTGCCTCCCAGGCAAGGTCAACACTCATGTATCCTTATTCTTGTTTTGTTTTTTTAAACCAACTGTTTGCAAAGAGCTCCGTGAGGACTGGCACACTCAGCTCTTCACTGTTTTCATTTCCCTGGCACCTTCAGTTTTTATACTGCCCAGAAATTCCAGGGAAGTCACGGGCAAGTTAAATTATTCTTTAAGATCTTACAGTAAAAGAAAAATTTTAAAAATGTTACTCTTTTTAAAATTGCATATTTGTATCCAAGGTAATACAGTTTACATACTGGAATGATGAAATCGAGATAATTTACAAACCCATCACCTCACACATTGTTTTAATGTGGTGAAAACATTTAAAATCAACTCTTCTGGTGGTTTCGAAATATGTGAATTATTATTTATTATAGTCCCTACTCTGTGCCACCTATACTGTCACTTTCTCAAGGTTTCACAGGAAAGTGGGAAGATAGCAGATTGCATACAGTGGTTCTCAATCAGCTGTAAATCACCCCACCTCCTTGTATTCAAGTATGGGTTCTAAATCCTTAAAATGATTTATTCCATTGTATTTCTCTTGTCTCAAAAAATTTATATTTGTTATTATATTCATACATTTTTCTTTTTTAATATTAAAGGAAAATTAGAAGAAACTTCAAAAGGTAAAAGTAAACTGGGAGGAAAACTTACTACGTTAGATACTTGAATGTTGGCAAGATTTCCCTGGAATTCTGGAGTAGATATTATCCTAACTTTTCCTCCCTCACAATGTTTTCTTTTCTTTCTATTTCAAATCCTGTCCTCCAGTTATTCCCCATGGTAAAGCCTAGTAGTGACTAGAGTGTAGATCTTATTCTGTCACTAAAATACCTGTGACCCTGCGCACCTGAACAAACTCCCTGCGTCACAGGTCCTTCATCCATCAATGAGGATAAAACAAAATCCACTTTGTAATCACTGCTTTGAGGATTAGCGAACTTTATATATAAAAAGCACCTAGAGTAAACTGAACCCAGTAAGCACAATGACACTGTAACTGTTACTGTGCTACTCCTTCCCACACAGGAGCTTCCTGCGCTGCTCTTGCAGGTTCGGTTCCCGATGCGGCAGACACTAGGGAACTCAGACAGCTACAAACACACGACTGGCCAACCAAAGGCAGGTGCTTTTCACACAGCAAAATGTCAAAAACGTTATTTATTTAAAAAATACACAGCACCAAACCTGTTAAAACTCTCATATTATTTACGAAACAAACCACTAATGTTCATTATAATCTTATGAACGCTTGCTATAAATACAGACTTCTGGGCCCCAGCTCAGAATTTACACAGAATTCTCAAGCCAGGAAAATAACATAGGACCAGAACTTCAAATTTCTAACAGTAATTATTGGTCTGTCTTTTATATATATGTATACACACACACACCTTCTATGTGTTAAATATGTACATATATGTTTTTTAATTTAAGTCTAGGGTTCACTCATTGTTGAAGACTATTTCTAGATACTTTAGCTTAGAAGTTAACCATATTTGTATGCTTTGGTATATGCTGAATCAATTCCTAAAATCCTGTGTTACAGTAAAAACCCCTATATACACAACATATCTGGTGGAATATCTGGAGATTAAATGGAAACAACACAAAGATGGCGAATTAACTTGAGCACTTTGCTAATTATTTTAAATTATTATTTCTAGAGAAGAAACAATACACTGTTTCAAAATATAATTCTTTTCAGTTATATAAATGTTGCTTAGTAATGTGAGCACTCTGAATAAAAGGCTACTCTAAAATCAAATGACTAAAAAAAGGGCAAAACTGGGCCTGGCACGATAGCATAATGGTTAATGCGTTGCACGCACCGGGATCCCATATGGGTGCTAGTTCTAATCCCAGCAGCCCCATTTCCCATCCACCTCCCTGCTTGTGGCTTGGGAAAGCAGTCGAGGACGGCCCAAAGCCTTGGGACTATGCATCCACGTGGGAAACACAGAGGAGGCTCCTGGCTCCTGACTTCAGATCGGCTCAGCTTGGCCATTGTGGTCACTTGGTGAGTGAATCAGCAGACGGAGGATCTTCCTCTCTGTCTCTCCTCTCTGCATATCTGACTTTCCAACTAAAAATTTAAAGATAAATATTTTTTAAAAACCCATAAACAAAACATTAGCAAATAAATAAATAAACAGCATCTAGAAGAAACTGAAGTTCTCTCTAAGGGAAGGATCACAGCTGCTGTTAGTGTAAATGTAACAGAACATTGAACTGAATGTGTTAAGACACGGGATGGTCTGACACTTTGTAAGTGAAAAACAACAGCACATAATAATTGTGGAAATCTGCAAACCACAGAGTAAGCCAGGGTGGGAAGAAGAGAAGCCATCTCTTCTCTTTAGGGATAGTGAGTTAAAGACCAAAGAGTTCCATATCCATTTGCTAATTAAAATCCCTTGAATTTACCTTATTTTCTATACCTTACTGGAGAATATGGGTTTTTTTTTTTAAATCTTGACTATCAAATTTCTCTTATATGGTGCAGTACACAAATTCAGTACACACTGTTGAAAAAATAGTGAATGCATTAAAAATGCATGTATTTTAAGGAAAAACTATTTGAAGAAAATTTGAACCATAAGGCTAATAATTTAAGATGTGTAGTCAACACAAAGCATAACCATACACTAAACACAGCACATGAAAACAAGCCCTAAGTACATCGTTACAGTGAAATTCAGCTTCACATACTTTAAAGTTTGCTCTCCCGATTCCTGCATCTTGGCTTTTTTCACCTGCAAAAATAAACAGACAAAGGTGTCAATGTGGTGATTTGATTTTTAAAACATCTAGCTACTCAAATATGGCTTGTTTTAGGTATCTGGAAGACTGGCTCCAGACCCTGTGGATGCCAAAACGTGCAAACGCTTAAGTCACTAACATAAAATGACACAGCGTTTGCAAATAACCTTCATATATTCTCTGATATACTCTAAATCATCTCCAGATTACTTATAATGCGTAAGGCAATATAAAATGCTACACTGTCATCAAAGGAATAATAAGAAAAAGGTCTGCACATATTTGTATAAGTGCAACCTCCTGCACTTTTTTTTTTTTAAACAAAGTCAGATATACAGAGAGGAGAGACAGAGAGGAAGATCATCCACCCAATGATTCACTCCCCAAATGAGCACAACGGCCAATGCTATGCCGATCCGAAGCCAGGATCCAGGAACCCCCTCCGGGTCTCCCATGCGGGTGCAGGGTCCCAAAGCTTTGGGCTGTCTTCAACTGCTTTCCCAGGCCATAAGCAGGGAGCTGGATGGGAAGTGGAGCTGCCGGGACCAGAACCGGCACCCACATGGGATCCCGGCATGTCCAAGGGAAGGACTTTAGCCCCTAGGCCACGCTGCCGGGCCCCCTCCTGCACTTTTCAAAAAAGATTTATTTTATTTTTACAGGAAAGTCAGATACACAGAGGAGAAGAGACAGAGAGGAAGATCTTCCGTCAGATGGTTCGCTCCCCAAGTGGCTGCAATGGCCAGATCTAAGCCAATCTGAAGCCAGGAGACACTTTCAGATCTCCCACATGGGTGCAGGGTCCCAAGGCTTTGGGCCGTCCTCTACTGCTTTCCCAGGTCACAAGCAGGGAGCTGGATGGGAAGCAGGGCTGTTGGGATTAGAACTGGTGCCCATATGGGACCCCAGCGCATACAAGGTGAGAGTTTAGGCTGCTAGACTACCAATGTGGGGCCCTTGCATGTATTTTTAATCCACTGTTGGTTAAGCCATGAATGTGGAACTCAACTAACTAGAATGCCAATTTAGTAGGCCAATATTAACCAACACATTATCGAATAATTTTCACGTTAGAAAATTCCATATCTACATTTAAGATAAATTCTTTTTTTTAAGATTTATTTTAAACTTTTATTGCAAAAGTCCGACATACAGAGAAGAGGAGAGAAAGAGAGGAAGATCCTCCGCCAATGATTCACTCCCCAAGTGATTGGAATGACCGGAGTTGACCTGGTCCAAAGTCAGGAGTCAGGAGTCAGAAGCCCCTTCCAGTCTCCCATGCAGGTACAGGGTCCCAAGGCTTTGGGCTGTCCTTGACTGCTTTCCCAGGCCACAAGCAGGGAGCTGGATGGGAAGCAGGACCGCCAGGATTAGAACCAGCACCCATATGGGATCCCAGAGCGTGCAAGGTGAGGATTTTAGCCACTGGACTATTGCACTGGGCCCAAGATAAATTACTAAAAGGTTACCCCTCACAGATTCCCCCCAATGTTGACTCAGGTGCTAGATGAAAAACTCTGTAGTCATATTAATAAGTACTGAATTATGTACCTTGAAAGAGTGAATTGTAGTGGAGAATGAAGATGGCAGAATAGGGTACAGACATGTTTAAACAACAGGGGGATCATTAGCCAGGATGAAGCAGAAGGCACATTCCAGGAAATAGGAGAGGACAGGCCAATGGCAGAGGGTGGCTTTCAGAAGACTAAATCAAACAATGAACAAGCCATTGCTAAAATGATAAAACCAAGTAATGACCTATTCATATTAACCCCGAATGTAAAAGGCTTAAAAACATTAATCAAATGTCATAGATTAGTACACTGTATTAAAAAAATAAAACCTATCTATCTATCTGCTGCCTCCAGGAGATACATCTCTCCTATATCCCATTGATTTGATATTTGTTTTTAGCTTCATTTAAGTTTTTTTTCCTCATATTAAATTCTTTACTGACTCATAGGTCATACTGTAGCATCATTTTCTTCCAGAAGGTACTTGATTTTTCTTTTCATTTCTTCACCAACACATTAGTCATTCAGAAGTATGTTATTTAATTTCATGGTGTTGTAAATTTCTATTTTTCTTCCTGTTGCTGATTTTCTTTTGTGGCTTTTCATTTAAGGGGATGTATTGTAACTGTGTAATGGAGACTGTCACATCCAGATGTGAGGATACAATGCTCTCTGCTTCCATATTAAACAAGGACTCCCAATCAAACTGTTAAATGACAGAAGGGTGCTGGACACTGTGCCACTGTCCATGCCTGCAATGATAGACTTATAACTGCTTATGAAGAACTATACTACTGTAAAAATACAGGGGAAATCAGTGGGGGGAGGGGATTTGGGGAGTGGGTAAGGGAGCTCTCAGCATATGCAACTATATCATAAAACACTAATTAAAAAATGGAAAAAATATAATTGACTAAAAAAAGAGTAAATTGCAAAACATGCAAATTATATCTCAATAAAGCTATTATCTAAAACAATGCCATTTTATGATCACACAATGGCTAAAGAAAGGAAGAATCATTGGAAAATTCATGCATCATGTTTCTATTTATGCTTCTGCTTAAAAAAAAATAAATCATGTTTTAAAGATTTTTTAATTTGAAAGGTAGAGAGGGAAGAGGAAACAGGGAGAGGGAGACAAAATCTCCGACGCACTGGTTCACTCCCCAATTGGAGACGACAGTCATGCTGAAGCCAGGTCTCCACAGTGGGTGCAAATGTCCAGGAACTTGGGCCATCCTCTTTCTGAGGCACATCAGTAGAGAGCTGGATTAGAACTGGAGCAGCCACGATTTGAGGCACCAACCATATGGGATGCTGGTGCCACAGATGGCAGCTTTACCTACTATGCCATTATACCGGCTCCAACAAATAAATTCTTAAAAAACAAAAAAAAAAGGGAGGGATTCACACAATGTACAAGATACACATTTTAAAATATACCACCCTGGGCCTGTGCAATAACCTAGTGGCTAAAAGATCTTGCCTTGCACGTGCTGGGCTCCCAAATGGGCGGCAGTTCTAACCCCAGCTGCTCCACTTCCCATCCAGCTCCCTCCTGTAGCCAATCTGAAGCTAGGAGCCAGAAGCTTCTTCCAGGTCTCCCATGTGGATGCAGGATCCCAAGGCTTTAGGCCATCCTCTACTGTTTTCCCAGGCCAAGCAGGAAGCTGGATGGGAAATGAAACAGCTGAGATACGAACTGTTGCCGAAATGGGATCCCAGTACATGCAAGGTGAAAATTTAGCCACTAGGCTATGACACCAGGCCCATGTGATGCCTCACCTGCTGATCCTCTATCTGCAAATATCAGCATCCCATATGGCTGTCGGTTCGAGTCCTGGCAGTGCTGCTTCCCATCCAGCTCTCTGCTTGTGGCCTGGGAAAGTAGTGAAGGATGGCCCAAAGCCTTGGGATCTGTATCCATGCAGGAGACCTGGAAGAGGCTGCTGACTCCTGGCTTGGTATCAGCTCAGCTCTGGCTTCCACAGCCACTTTGGAATTTAATCAGCAGCTGGAAGATCTTTCTGTTTCTCATTCTCTCCGTAAAGTGCCTTTCCAATAAAAATAAATAAATCTTCCCCTCCCCCTCCAAAAAAGCATATACCTATAATGGCTATGAGAAGGAAATATTTGCATCAGAACTGACTACTACAGACCAACCAAGGGACGCATACTGCTCTGATTACTAGGCTACCTCCTACACACTTGGGGGGACAGAGATTAGGGCTTGACCGTAATTCATAGATAAAATATCACATATAAAACTAGCTAATACCACTTTCATTGGCCATGCTTAATAACACCCATCTAATTGCTAATCTGACTTCAAGAAGCTGACAAGGGAAAATTAAAAAGTGAGATAAAAATTCCAAATTACTAGAAAGGTAAATACCTTTGAAAAAAATAGCTGCATGTTACACCACTGTATCCTGGGCTTAACTTGTAAATGGAGCAAAAATGTACCTTTTATGTGTGTGGGCTACTATACTAAAAGAAGTCACACTTGGGTCTAGCAGAAACTACTAGGCATCAGACACCCTGAAAGTGTTCTGGACTCAGCAACTCAAGAAACTGCCCAGGGAGTTCTGGGGAGGGAGACACACACTCCCGCACATGTGAAATGAAGCAGTTCAGTGGACTCAAGGGGCGGCCATGCAGCTTCACTGGCAATGCTTACTCACTGCCTCATTCTGAGCACACAGGATGGCTGCATTTTCCAGCTCCCTTTACCAAAATCCTGAGCCACGTAAATGCTGGTCATTGGAAAGAGTGTAGACATGACATAAGTCATTTCCAGAAATGGTTCTTAAAAACAGCTCATGTGATCCTCCAATCCTCTCTTCTCCCTCTTTAGAAACCAAGGCGGTCACAAATTGAAGACACTGGCATCACAGGACAAGGCAGTCTTCATGAAGAACTGGCCCAGGAACACACAAATCCATACGAGATTAATGTGAGGTAAAAATAGAATTTTTTGTGTTAAACCATGGCACTGAGGGTTATGTGTCATAGTACCAAGTAGCATTGCCCTGACTAGCAATTACTATACATTTTGCAGGGCTAAGTACCGGTAACTGAGAACCCTGTTTCATAGTCATTCTATCATTCACTCAACAAAGTCATCCTGAAAAAGAATCTGATGATAAAGAAAACACAGCTCCTGACTTCAAGTTTAGCAGACACAAAATTATGTAAATAGAGAATGTAAGGATACTAGTTGAAGTGTAATGAGCTACAGACATATAAATGTAAAACATGGGAAATACAGCCTGCTTACATCACATGCTTTCAAAATTTAGTTTTCTAGGCTGTGTTTTCATAAAGAAAAGTAAACATTTACCATTCCTTATCTCTCAGCATGAATTTCAGGAGGCCATTCAGGGGAGCAAATTGAATTAATATTTTTCTAATTTCAGAAAAATGAAACACAAGACAAAAATAGAAGATTCTTTAACATAAAAATTATCTTAAAAGATCATTTCTTTTTTCTTTTGACATGTAAAGGGTCAAAAACCTAAGAGACCATGGCAAGACAAAAACTCGTATTACTTGAGGACATTCAAGAGTATCTCTGGGCCCAGTAAGATAGCCTAGCAGCTAAATCCTTGCCTTGCACACTCCGGGATTCCATATGGATGTCAGGTTGTGTCCCAGCTGCTCCACTTCCCTTTCAGCTCCCTGCTTGTGGCCTGGGAAAGCAGAAGAGAACAGCCCAAAGCCTTGGAACCCTGCACCCACATGGGAGACCTGGAAGAAGCTCCTGGGTTTGGATCGGCTCAGCTCTGGTTGCTGTGGCCACTTAGGGAGTGAACTAGCAGAAGGAAGAACTTTCTCCCCTCTCTGTTAATCGGCCTTTCCGATAAAAAACAAATAATTTTTACTTAAAACAAATAATTCTTAATTCTTACTTACTTATTTGTCTACATTAAATTTTAATTTTTTTAATTTATTAATTACATTGCAGTATGTGACTCAGTTTTATAGGCACTGGGATGTCCCCCCTCCCCCCATGGTGGATTCCTTCACCTCGTTGCATTACCACAGTTCAAGTACAGTTGAGACTCTTTCATTGCAAGCATATACCAAGCATGGAGTCCAGCATCTTATTGTCCAGATAAGTTCAATGGCTTCTTGGGGAGACCTTCTCTGATCTGAAGGTAGAGCCGGCACAGTATCATCCCAATCAATTAAATATTTAAAAGGAATTAAGAATTGAATCTCATCTCTAAGGTTGCACTTGTTTTTATAAAATTAGCCAGTTGGGCGTTGTAGCACAGAGGACTAAGCTGTTCCTTGGGATGCCTGTGTCCCATTTCAGAATAACAGTTCAAGTCCTGCTTAATCTGCTTCTGATCCATTTCTTTGCTAATGTTCTGGGAAGCAGCAAAAAGGAAACTCAAGTCCTTGTCACTAATATGGGGAACCCAGATAACATTCCTCGCTCCTGGCTTCAGCCTTGTCCAGCCTAAGCTGCCATAGCCATTTAGACAGTGGATCAGTTGGTGGAAGATCTCTCTTTCTGTGCCATTCTATTTACAAATAAATTTAAAAATAAAAAAAAAGTTGCTTATCACACTATATTTTATCACTACTTATAAAATATTAAAAGAAAACTTAGGTAAAAATAAAATTTCCAGCAGAAACAGTGATATATGATCTTGCCAGGAAAGAGCAACCTTTTTCAGTAAGTCAGTAAACTGTAATGCAGGCCACAGGTTGTTTTAAAATAGCACTTCCGAAACCATATTCCCTTCACACTGCTGAATTTTATAAACAGACTCCTTAGCACACAGTTGGCACAAAATAAATTTAAGAACATGTAACAGTTTTTTTTTAGAAGGAAACTATTAAGTAATCTATTTCTAATTCAAAATCTAGAAGTATAAACTAATAAAATTTAGAATTTTTTAAGATTAGCTTTTCTACAACGAACTTAAATTGTGAAAGAAATACTCACTGGCTGTTCCGGTAAATCCTGTTCTTCTTCCATGAGGATCAATACTTCTTCACTATGCCTATGTGACGAACTGCAAGTCTCTCTCTGCAACCTTCAGAGTCTGTTTAAAAAAGAGGATCCAAAGCTTTTTATACTATTAAGACATTATCATTGAGGTCATCAGATAATTTTTTTTTAATATTTTGCTACCCTCAAGCTTTCTGCGTGAGTTCCAATCTCAAAATCTCAAGCTTGCACGTGGCTTTTCAAACCTGACATGCTGCACCGAGTCCAGAGAGGTGAACACAATGGCCGTCATAATTCCTCGCAAAGCAACGTGTGCAGCCACTTCTGCTGGTTACTATAGTGCCTAATGCAGTAAACATTTTACGACGACAGCCATGTGCAGATAATAAAATAATTTTTTTAAGGATTACAGTGACATTAAAAATGATAGACACTGGCTTAGCAAGTCAGTAAGTTATGATAACATCTAACCTGCTTTAATGTAGAACATTTACATAACTATTAACACAGAGAATCATTTTAAATAGGACAAACAAATATCAATTAAAAACACCATTCCAATTATCTGCATATGTAATCAATTTAAAGGAAAAATCAATTCTTATGGTTCTGAATAATGACAAGAGTCAGAAAAGTAAAATCTGGAATCTTAGAATTAAGGAAAAATAATCATGTAAAGCTAGAACCCAATTTAATTATAAAACAATGGGCTTCCATTCAATGTATTTCCTATACAACTACTAAAGAAATATCTTTAACTTTTCAGATTCTGCCCCCTCCTTTTGAATTTTATAATTGTTTACATAGTTTGAGAGGGATGCAGCCCATGCAGGCCTGTGATTAGGGTGGAGAGGGTCAGGTGCAGAGGAAGGTAAGTGGCACACACGTTTCAGGTTTTTTCCCCACTCCTGTGTCTGCATGGGAAGATGGGGAGAGGGCCACTCCTTGCTGCCCAACCACAGGAGTACCCAGGGATGGGAGTGTGGACCCTGCCCTTCCTGTCTTGATTTGCAAATAAAACAGAAAAATATGACAAGCTTCACTTTTATTGGTAAGAACACCTTACTGTGTCCTGCCTACAAGAGACAGGAATTAGAAAACTACTAAACATTATAAACATGAAATATTCTATTTCTATAAAACAAACGTCAGAGTAGCCTGTTTCTCAAACAAATGTTGCTTTACAGTCACTTATTTTTACTTCTACTATCACAAAGGTATGAAATCTTACTGCAGAAGTAATGAAAATAACATGAAAAATCACACAATTCAAAAACTGAAGTTGTACCAGTATTCCACCACTCTACTGATCTGTTACTCCACATGTCAGCTCACTTTTATAGTACTCGGGACTATGAAAACACATGGAAGTGCTACAGTGAGACGCCAACCTGTCCAACCCTGACGTAGCTACACTCCCTGCGCTCGTTCAGAACGTCACAAGAACACAGGTTTAAAGGTCAGAAGATTTGCTGCTTAGTGCACTCACGTGTAGCTCACACGGCCTCGGCAGCTAGTTTCCTTTCCATATGACGCAGATAACCAGAGGCACAAGTGCAAGAAATAAAGCTCCCAAGAGCTACCAGCCCCGCACTTGTTTTGCTCAGCTCAGAAGAGCATAATCAATGTCCTGACACTGATCCACAGTGGTGAAATATGAAATCTGACCAGTTCGTGAACTGAAATGCCTTTATGGAACGTTAGTGCTAAGTGTGTATAACGCACATACATGATCTCATCCCACGAAAAATGGAAAAACAGGGCTAAATTCAGTAGGAAAATACAATTGTTTTAATACCTCATGTGCTGAATTTTTGTGTCCACCATCTCTCATTTATAGATGAACACTGAGTATAAAAATTGTAATCTGTAATTAGTATATTCTATATTTTTATTGGAAAGAGATTTACACAGGAGAGACAGAAAGGCCTTCCATCCACTGGCTCACTCCTCAGGAAACCGCAACGGCCGGAGCTGAGCCAATCTGGAACCAGGGGTCAGGAGCTTCTTCCAGTCTCACATGCGGGAACAGGGTCCGAATGCTTTTGGCCATTCTCTACTGCTTCCCCAGGTCACAGGCAGGGAGCTGGATGGGAGGTGGAGCGGCCAGGACATGAAATGGTACCCATCTGGGATTCCAGTGCTTGCAACATAGGAATTTAGAACTAAACCATCGTGCTGAGCCCCAAGCATACTATTTTTTTGTTGGTTAGAGGACTTACGGAACTGAAAAATTAAGCAGCACTACTAATCCTGAGATGGGTTTTTAGTGTAGAGCATCACTGACTGGCACACACCAGTCCACACCAAAGCTATGGATGGGAGCCTGTCTGGCAGGGCTAGGTATCAGTGCCTGACTAAGTGGTGGAACAGGGGATGGGTCACACTTGGCAGGGTCAAAACACCAACCAGCACGCTAGAGAACCAGGTCCGAGGGTAGATTCTGTGGGAGAAGTGTGGTCCCAACCCTGTGGAAAGACAAGTCCCGCTGGCTAGCTCACGAGTTGGGATGGTGAAGGGCTGAGCTAGGTGTGACCATGGAACCTGCCATCACTTACGGGTAAAGGAACCAACAGCAGTCTGGGCAGGTCAAGGCAGCAGCATCCGAATGCGGATCCTGAAACAGGATGTGAGGTGTGCCGAGCTGCAACTGGAAGGGGGTGGACCAGACAGGGCTGAGCAAACCTTAATTCACGAGGAAGAACAGAAATCATGATGGAGCACAAGTCATGCTGAGCTAGGCTCTTATACTGACTAGCTGCATGAGCCAGGTATACTAGGCCACAGCATCGAAGGCAAAAGCTGAGACAGGTAAGGGGCTAAGCCAACTGGCTCAAGCAACCACTGGCATGCGTGTAATCTCAGGCTGGGAATAGGACCGGTTGGGGAGCTATGAGAGTACATTATTGCTGGGTTCAGGTTCCCACTGGTGAGTGTGGGGGCCGGAGTGAGGGTTACGTTCTGGTCTGGATATGGCTGCAACATCCCTTTTGCACAAGTGCGAACTGGGGCTTAGTGCACCTAACTGAGCCAGACTTTAGCACCATCTGGTGCTCTGGACAATCTGGGTAGATATAGGACGAACTAGGCTAGGTCTCTGCCCCTACTGAGCCATATGTGAGCAGTCTGGGTATGGACGAACCTTATCTGGGCTGAAACATCCAACAGTAAGAACCGGAATGGATTGAAGGCCAGCAAGGAAAAGCCACTGTTACTACCAGGACACGAGGTGGACTAAGTAGGGCTGGCCCATGGACCCACCAGTATGTGCAAGAACTGGCATAGGGAGAGGCTCTGATGGTGGAGCTTGGGAAACTCCTCTGTTGGAACACAGTCCCTGCATGTGAGCACACGAACCACGATAGGGAGCAACCCAGACCAAGCCAGAGACAGATACCCACCAGCATACATTTGGCATAGGTTGGGGGCAGACCAGGCTCAACCTGTTCACATCACCCGTGGGTGAATCTGATCACCAGAACAGAGTGTGGGTTGGGCCAGGTTCGGTCGCAACACATATCAGCGCACATTACAAAACGTGAAGGTGAGGTGAGCCGTACCAGACTGGGCTGCAGTGCCTAACCAACACATGTGAGAACCAGGGAGGGAGAGGACAAAGCCAGCGGGGGGAATGTGGGCTCCCCTGCTGGACAACCACTCCCACTAGAGAGTATGAATTGAAATGGGGACAGACCAGACCAGGCAAGGCTACAACACCTGTGAGCCTCACGTGAGCCAGATCAGGGAAAAGCCAGACTGGGCTGATTGTTCCTCCTGGTGCAAGCACAAATTAGAGTGGGTGAAGGTTGGTTGGGCCTAGCCACAACATCAGCTGGCAGAGGCTGGCAATGGGGGCTAATTCTGTCAAGCCAAACTGCAGAACCACATGGAGAATGTATGATACGGCAGTGGGAGTGGCATAGTAGGAAAACAGTGGGCACTTTCCACTTGGGTTACCACTCCCACAGGAAAGCATGAAAACCAGGACTGGGGCAGGGGTGGCTAAAACAGAAAGGCACCCGCCAGTATGTGTGTGGGCTGGAGAGGAGGGCTGGTTGGGTTGAACTAGGCTTCAATGCCCATTGACAAGTACAAGAGCTGAATGGGAGGTGGGATAGACTAAATAAGTCTGTGGCAATTAGTGGCAAGCTTGGGAATCAGGGTAGGTGGCAGGCCTGGTTGGGGTTATGGCTAATCCCCAACCAGGCTGCAGTTCCCACTGGTTTGCATGAGGGCTGAATATGAAGTGGGCAGGATCGGGCTGGACTGCGACAATCATCGGTTTACGTGGAAGACGGGGCTGGATACAGAACTGACCCAGCAATTGCAACAACCAGCATGGTGACGGACTGTGCAGGACTCTGTACTGGAAAGCACACACGAGAAACAGATCTGGGATCACCACAAAGTTTCTTTGCGGACCCCTCAAACTGAACTGCTGATCTCAGAACCTCAACCATGAAGACTATGTCACCCACTGGATTTTGAATAGAGTTCACAATGCTTGAAATGAATGGTGAGACTGGCAGCAATTCAGAACTGCTGAACTATCAAAGCTGCTTGAGCAGGACCCTTAGAGCACGCCCCACATCGAGGACCTAGGATGTGGGGGGAGGCTGGGTGGGGCTTCACCCTTTGTTTCTCCCCTTACCCCAGATAGAGGGGGAAAAGGATATTAGTGTGAAAACAATGATCTTACCCACTTTCCTGTAACCCTGACCCTTTGTACCCTAATCAACTACATAAGATTATCTAAATAAATAAATGTAAATAAGAAGCACTACTCAGAAGGGCAGGGAAATAAACTTCAGCTATACAAAACAATTGTTAAAATCTTCTACTTTATTTTTCAGAAATATAACATTACACTGATTTGAAAGCAGAGGAATCTGTTACTTCTCTTGAAATAAATCCCATGATGCACTATAAAAACTTTTAAAAAGCAGAAGAAATTCCTCTTTGCCACTTTTTATGATTTCCAAACTCTTAAATCATGATTACTTTCTTTTCTTTTCACTTTAAGGGGATAAAAGGGAAATAACAACTTTTACTCTGCCTTGTAATCACCAGAATCCCATGTGAGCACCTTGGTATTCTGACTGCTCCACTTCCCATCCAGCCCCCTGCTTGTGGCCTAGGAAAGCAGTCGAGGATGGCCCAAAGCCTTGGGACCCTGCAACCACATGGGAGACTCGGAAGAGCTTCTGGCTCCTGCCTTCAGATTGGCTCAGCTCCAGCTGCTGCAGTCAATTGGGGAGTGAACCAGTGGATGGAAGATCTTTGTCTCCTTCTCTTTAAATCTGCCTTTCCAATGAAAACAAAAAATAAATCTAAAATTTTTTTTATTCTAAAGAAAAGAACTCTAAAAATCAGGCTTGCTATCTAGAGTAACAGGTCAATGACATCCACAATTTTAATCTATTAGAACAAACGCCAGCCTACAAAAAAAACATCTGGATGGATTGGGATTCTACTGGCAACCTGTGATGTGAGAAGTCTATATTTTTATCCACTTCTGCAATGATAATACACTATAGAATTCCATCAAAACATGCAGCTCAGTTAAAACTTACTATGTATACTAAGATACGAAATGTAAAACATGGCCCTGGTGTGGCAGTCCAGTGGCTAAAATCCTACCCTTGCACATGCTGGGATCCCACACAGGGGCCAGTTTATACCCTGGCTGCTCCACTTCCCATTCAGCTCCCTGATTGTGGCCTGGGAAAGAAGTCAAGGATGGCCCAAAACCTTGGACCCTGCACCCACATAGAAGACCCAGAAGAAGCCCCTGACTCTTATTCCGGGTTGGCTCAGCTCCAGCCATTGTGGCCACTTGGAGAGTGAGCCAGCAGGCGGAAGATCTTTCTATCTATATCTCCTCTCTATAAATCTGATTATCCAACTGAAATAAATAAATCTTTAAAACCAATTCTAAATAGATTTCAAACTTTTAAGTTCTGTTTTATAGCAAGTTCAATACACTTATCTCACAACTGTAATGGTGGCAATCAACCTAGGTTATTTCAGTATGTTGTTACAACTCAGCCCTTAAGTGGAGGAAAGGCTGGCGCAGGGCTGTAGCCTAGTAACTCCAGTCCTCGCCTTGTATGCACTGGGGGATCCCATATGGTTGCCGGTTCGTGCCCCGGCAGCTCCACTTCCCATTCAGCTTCCTGTTTGTGGCCTGGGAAAACAGTTAAGGACAGCCCAAAGTCTTGGGACCCTGCACCTGCGTGGGAGTCCCAGAAGAGTCTCCTGGCTCCTAGCTTCAGATCAGCTCAGCGCCAACTGCTGAGGCCACAAGGGGAGAGAATCAGTGGACAGAAGATCTTCCTCTATGTTTCTCCTCTTCTCTGTATATCTGCCTTTCCAATAAAAATAAATTAAAAATCTTAAAAATAAAAGCAGAGGAAGCAAACAGATATACACAGAAAATAAAGTCAAACTGTTTTCAATGAAAACAAACTATTACTTTAATTACACCTTTATAAGAAGTGTCTAGACAGAACAAAACAATTTGATTACAGGTTTTAGAACAGAAACTTACATGTGGTTAAGTGAACACAGAAGTATTTGAGGGTCAACTGAATATTTTTGATATAGTCCTACACATAAAACAAGTAGCTAATAAATTTGATAACTGATTACATTGTAGTTTAGAAGTTTATTTGCTACTTCTTCTAAAGCTTTCCTGTGTGTTTTTAGATCACAAAGAAAAGACCATAGACATTTCTCTTGGAAAAATGAACATCCTTCCTTCCAAGTAAAACTAGTAGTTATAAGCAACAGTGTCCTGAGAAAGTATTTTTAAAAACTGGTGTGTCATCACTTAAAGTGTATGCACTATCTTAGGATTTTTTAAAAAGATTTATTTACTTTTATTGGAAAGTCAGATTTAGATTGAGAAATTAAAAAGATCTTCCATCTGATGATTTATTCTCCAAGTAGCGACAATGGCCGGAGCTGAGCTGATATGAAGCCAGGACCCAGGAGCTTCTTCCAGGTCTCCCATGCAGGTGCAGGGTCCAAGGCTTTGAGCCATCCTTAACTGCTTTCCCAGGCCACAAACAGGGAGCTGGACAGGGAAGGAGGGCAGCCGGGATTAGAACTGGCGCCCATATGGGATCCTGGTGTGTGCAAGGCAAGGACCTTAACCTCTAGGCTACCTTGCTGGGCCCTATTTAGGATTTTAAATAGGTAATTAGCAAATGCCTTGTTTCTTCTGATGGGAAAAAAGAATGTCAAAACAATAGTTTCACCCACTTTCCTCTAGCCCTTGGCCCTTTGCTCCCTAATCAAATATGTAAAAATTATCCAAAATAAAATCTAGGCAATAAAATAGTTTCTCCTGACAGTTTCAAGATAATTTCTTCCAGTATTATTACCGGACAGTTACTGATCTAGTCCATTTCTTTGAAAGTCAGAATGACAGATGGAAAAGGAAATGGAAGCAAAAAGCTTTGATTTGCTGGCTTTATCCCCAGATGATCTCAAGAGCCAGGGCTGGGCCAGGCTGATACAGACCTTAACTTAGTGTTAATGAAGCAAGTAATTTTAACGACATAGAAAATGAAAACAAGTTACCGTTTCTAGAGATTTTAGAAAACACACACACACACACACACACAACTTAACCTACTATAATCCCAAAGCTACTAGTTTCCTGCTTCATTACCAATTAATAATTAACAGTCCTTCAAAACTATTCCTCTGATCTCTCTTTGTGACCTGTAAATCTGGCTGTTAATTCTGCTGAAACTGTTCCCTTTTCCTTGCACCTAGGACTCCAGGGAAATTCTAACCCTAAACTGCAGAGTGCAGAGGCTGCTTTGTTCTTATCAGGAGCTGATAGCATGCAGCATGCATTTCATAAACGGCTGTTCAATCAAGCACAATCGCCAGACTCTTGGTTTCTTTAAACATTTACTTACAGCCAGATCATTAAGAACCTTCATTAGGTTTGGAAGCACAAAAACCTCAAATCTTCACATTTCTCATAAACTTATGCAGGGGTCATCTTGAAGTCTGTGCTAACACAAAGCCCCTTTTAAAGTGTTTGGATTCCTTGCACTCACATGCCAGTTGATGGGAGTGTGCCTGTGCCTCTCTC